CTCCACCCCCACGCCTTTTTAAAGGAGGCAAAAGCACTTTTAAAGTTTATATTCAGAACACTCAGGGCACAGAACAATTAAGATGTTGTATCTAGAGCTACAATGGAAAAGACTCAAATATAAAGAGAAGTACAGCATAAGTATATCTACTAAAAACTGTCCTTACGTAACAAAGGTAGATTTACCTATTTGTAAAGAATAGGTCTTTTGAGGGATTTCTGCCTTCTTTTCACTTGCTGTATGTATCAGACAAGACCGAGCATCAATTTGATTGATGATGGCTGGGCAGAGATAGTTAAACTCCGTTGCATTCAACAGAACCTGGATGTTCATGCCATGGGATGTCAGCAGCTTTGTTGCATTGAAGCACTGAAGGAAACAAGGCAGTCAAAATCACAGAAGAAATTCCCACTAGGAGACTCCAAAATGTAGTCTGACTCATCACCCTTAAGCTCTACCAAAGCTACTCTGTTGATAAAATTAATGCCAGTTAAAATCTGCTCTGCTTTCAGCACTTTGGAATTTGCCTCTAGTAGCCTGAAGAAGATACTATGTCACAATGATGGTATGTCATTCTCCTCTGACCACATCACAAGTCACGAAGGGAGAAAACCTCCCTTGGAAGGATCTTGGGGATAACTGGAGATTCACAAGCCTGTTAAATCATTGTATAAAGCTATTAAGGAAACGAGCTTTAATTTAGAAATGGGGTTCATTAGAGATTGAGAAATAGGTTTTGGGACTAATGCTCTCTGTCTCAGCCCAAACAAGCCCAAGACATGTTGCTCCTCCCGCTGTGACACTCCTTGCAAAAACACAGCTCAGTTCTGTCTACGTGCCTGGCAAGACGATTCTCTGCAATGAGCGATTTTTAAATTATACAGATGACTCTTGCAGAGGGCAACGCTGGTTAATAAAACAAACCTGTTTCGGCAGGCAGAAGCCTTCAACAGTTTAATTGATGACAAGCTTAGTTTGAAGAGAAACTCCTCTATGCAATTTAATGCCTGCCCTTCAAAAAAACAAAACAAAACAAAAAACCCCTCATCTGGTTACAGTATCTGTTTCTCATCCTCTACAAAGATATTTTAGACTCACAATTCTTCACCAACAATATTTAGAACAACTTTGTTACCATTGTTGCTGTGGCTAAGATCATTCATTCCTATGATTACTAAAGACTTCACAGTCACACACAGCCTTGAATGAAAGTCATTAAAGACTAACAACAAATGCTTGGTTTTTTTGTTCGTTTGTTTATTTGCTTTTTTTTTTTTTGCCTGATATTCATTAGCCAAAGTAAATTATGTAGTGCTGGCAAGTTTATTCTAGAAAAGCCCACGATCTGGGAATTTCACTACTCAACATTCTCAGTCCAACCTGTTTTAACTTCAATTACTCCACAAGCCACTGTTGGATCCTTGTGTCAAGGAGAGACATATAGGTGTTCTTGTGTTTTCAGCACCTTAACCAGATTCTTCAGGTCCCATCTTGCCTATATATTATTACTATTCATCTATTCATCCTTAAACTCAATCAACCTTGGCATCTTCCTATAGTTATAACAAACTCTGTGTCAGAAAAGCCCAGCAGAGCCGGGCGTTGGTGGCGCACGCCTTTAATCCCAGCACTCGGGAGGCAGAGGCAGGCGGATCTCTGTGAGTTCGAGACCAGCCTGGACTACCAAGCGAGTTCCAGGACAGGCTCCAAAGCCACAGAAAAACCCTGTCTCGAAAAACCAAAAAAAAAAAAAAAAAAAAAAAAAAAAAAAAGAAAGAAAAGCCCAGCAGACGGAACATTCTGGACAGCTAGTTCTCAAAGATGCTTACAACAGTCTGCACATTATGGCCAGAGCCTCACTGAGAAGGAAAAAAGCTGTTTCATTTTTATTTCACTCATCCCTGGAAGGAAAAACAAGCACATTAAATACTGCACAGCATTTATCTTACCTCCTGAATATTGTCATTTGTGTTCCGGGAATACATAAAGCTCTTTCTAGGCTCACTCACAGACTCATTGCTTTTCCTACTAGCTAGCCGGCTCAGTCGGCCCACACGGCTCTTCTCTGTGATGCTGGGTGGGGTAGAAGGGTTTACATCTTTGGGGCGTTTCCCATGTTTCAGAGTCTCTACTGTCTCTAGAAAGTGAGTTCCTTCAGAGACAGCGTTGTACACAGTCGAGGTCACTTCACTGGTGCTCACACTCTCCTTGACGTTCCTTCTTCCATTCACACGCTCTGGTGGGCGAGAGCCTTTCCCTTGGCTGGTTCTAGGAGTTTTACCTGAACTATCAGAATCATGATCTGGGCAAAAGGCCTTTCGGTTGTTTTTACCACCAGTAGCATGACTGCGGCGAGAATGGCGCTCATGGTCAGAGTGATGGTCATGGTCATGGTCAGAGTGATGGTCATGGTCATGGTCAGAGTGGTGGTCATGGTCATGGTCAGAGTGGTGGTCATGGTCAGAGTGGTGGTCATGGTGTATGTGGACTCTTTTAAGCTTATCTATGCCTATGTTCTGAAGCAATTTTCTGAACCCTTCAACTGACAAGGAATCATTCTCTCCATAGCGGTAGAAAAGCTGTTGCAGATGATGTCGCTGCATGGTGACCGCCAAGTCCACATTGATGCCAGAGTCCCAGTTCGAATTAATTTTCTCAGTGGTCTGAGAGAAAGCAGCTGTTGGTTGTAGTTGATGAAGGGGATTCATGACCCAAACGGCAAAGGTCAGGATCATGATTACAGATAAATTCCTGGCCATTGTACCTTCCTAGAAAAGATAAGGGGGAAAATTCTTTACCATACTTCTAAATCAATTTAAGAAACATCATGCTGAACACTGATTACGAATTACACCGTCAACAAAGCACTAATTGTTCTGACTGGGATAGTCTGAGGCACTTCTGAGGTATGGAGACTAGGAGCATGGGGGCTCCTCCTGCATGCTAAAACACCTGAAGGAAACGCAGGACAGTCACGTGCAAAGAGACAGTAATTAGACCTGCAAGAGCAACAGCAGGAGGGAAAGATTCATGTGCTCAGACCTTCTGTCAGCTTCTCACTGAGCTGAACACTACAGCTCGAAACCAAACCTTTAGGAAGACAGTCAGAAGAGGCAGAAACAGTGGAAACTGACACTTTGAAGTTTAAAAACAGTCTCATTTTCCCTGGACACACACCCATGTCCTTTATTCCCACTCTACACGATTCTACCAAGTCTTTTGTGTGAATCACACTATTTTCTATACATCTTCAAACTTACTGGAGCGCGCACACACACACACACACACACACACACACACACACACACACACACGGAGATCTCTGCACCCCGACTCCGGCAATGAATCAGACCCGATGTCACATCGGTGTCATCGAGATTTCCCAAGTTGTCTGAATGACTGCATAATAGCTCTCTGAGCAAAGGAAACTTCATGAAAATGCACTCCATTGTTCTTCAGTTGCTACACATTAGCTAGAGAACGATTTATCTCACAGCGTTTGGACTCAAGGCCTATGCCTGAAGAGTCCTCCTCCTCACTCCTTTCCAAGGGGAGCTTGAAAAGCAGAATTCACTGAGGCAGTATAGTACAGTCAGATCTTTAGATGGAGGCTAAACCCATGTCTCTAGCAAAAGACGCCGAGGGCTTTTGAACTATATAGGAGCACTGGGCAACAGACTACCATTTTCCAGGCTGTTTCTTGGCAAGTTCTCACGTTCATGACTTCACCTGAAAAGCCGGTAATATCTATTTGCAAGGACCACACAGTGGAAGTGCTTGTTAAACTCCCCTGTTGCCCAAGTGCTGATTATCATACTAGGCACTCAGGTAAATGGGGGCACACACAACCAGTTAGGACCAGACTCCTGCAAACAATCTTGGGGCCGCCCGTTTTGAGGCTTCACGTGATAGGCAAAAAAAAAGGCTCAGGAATCATTCCCAGGGGGGAGAGGCGAGTCATCAGATGGGTGGGGCAGATCTGGCCTGGAGCCAGAGGAAGATGCTGAGGGCCAGAGACGGGTCCCCAGCTCTCCTTATAGGCCAAGTCTGCGAGCGTGGAAGAAACAAAAGCTTGCTTTTGAGGGCTCCCGTAAGGAAACGCGTTAGCAGCTTCTTTGAACGCGGGTGAAAAGTTAAACCATCGCAGAAAGTCCCTAGTTTTGGGTCCCCAAGGCCACATGGGGACCCCAAGTTGGGAGGGACAGCCGCAGCTATCCAGGGCGAGTGGGGCTCGAGGCGGGGCCCTCGCAGCATCCCTTCCCCAAGCCATCCCTGCTAGGCTGCAGTGTCCCCTCTCCGAGGATCCGGGCCTGCGGGGCTCCTTTCTGCCGCCCCGCCGCAGTCGTGCGGAACTCACCTCTCTCGGCGTCCCGCCGCCGCGCCGGGTCCCGCGCGCTGCTTCCCCGAGGGTGGTTCGAGGGGGTGCTGAGAACCAGCCCGGCTCCGGCTTCCGAGAAGCCTTTACAGGGCGCGGAGCAGCGGCGGAACCATGAGCCCGGCCGCCCCTCGGCCCCAGGTGGCCGCGCCTCCTCCAAGCAGGACAATCGGTAATTACCGCCGCCGCCTCCCGCGGCTAGGACCGCGGCGCAGGCGCAGTGCAGCTCCGGAGCCCGGTCTGCAAAGACCGATCCGCTTTTCCGCGTGTTCTCAGACGCCACGGGCTCGCCGCGATGGAGGGCGGGCGCGGGTCCTTCCCTCGCGCCCTTCGGCTCCACCGCCAGGACCGCGGCCCAGCCGGCTCGGTGGTCGGGAGGGAGCCGCCCGTGATGACCGCGAGCTCCCTCGAGAGCGCCCGGCGTGCAGCGGTCGGGCCTGGCGGGCGCACGGGGAAGCGGCCGGGGGAGATGCGCGTGGCCAGCAGAGGCTACGGGGAAGAACCACGCCAGCAGACGGGGGTGTGGCCGGGAGGCGTGGTCTGTGGGCTGGGTCGCCTTAGCCCCGCCCCGCCCCCGCCCCCTCGGAAACGCAGACCCGCGGGCTTCTGCGGGAGAAGCCGAGGCTAGCCAGACTAGTTCCGGTCCGGGGCGGAAGTGCGCGGGACTGTCTCGGCCGCTGACCGTCTGGCATCATGGTGGCTCACGGGCTGCAGGTGGCTCACGTGTTTTGCTGCCCAAACCGGGTTCGAGGAGCTTTGAGCTGGAATTGCGGGTCTGGGGGACTCCTGGCCTTCGGCACGTCCTGCTCCGTGGTTCTCTATGACCCTCAGGTACGAGGATGAGGCGCGCGCTGCGGGCCCAGCTTGCAGGCCGAGGGCGCGGTGCAGGACACTCAAAGGGTCTGGGCGAGCCTCCCGAGGGGCCTGGACTCTTCCTGGGCCGCGCTGCTTCTGCCGAGGGTGACCATGGCCCGTAAGCCCCGAACCGAAACCCCAAGGATGGTATCTTTCTGAGAACCCTTAAAACAATTGAAATTTAGGCGTGGGTTAAGGGCCACACATGGCATCTGAATTCTTTATTACCTCGCAGTACAGTTAACGAACCTAACACTGCATCGCAAAGAAACGTTACGGGTATTTTAGGTACGCACGTGAATGCAGCCATTAAAGAATGGGAAAAATAGAGGATGAGGGCGCCAAGCCCTGGTTGTAAAGTAGGGCTTAAGTAATTTCTTGAGCACCAGCCAGCAGATTATCTTCTGACAGTTTTCCTACTCAGCTCCTCAAGTGAGCAATTAGTGCATGCTTCCCGGAGCCGTGACCCCTCCCCCCTGTTTACATTAGGATGGCGCAGTTATTGTTGCACGGGTCAGGGTTGAGACACTGAAAACTGAGGTGCAGAGCAGATGTTTCTGACAGCGCTGCATTGCTAGAGTTTTGATTCGAAATCCCACTTCCCTCAACGTTTGCATGTACAAAATTCTATACGAAAAGCATGTCCATCCCTTCCTCTTACCTATAGCACGCTCTTACCTCTCTTCTGGTCTTTCTTTCCTATCAATTGTCGTGTGTGTGTTCTTGGTTGGCAAGAAGCAGCATAATCAAACCCAAGGTGAACTTGACATTGGCCATCAGCGGCCGGGTTAGCCAGTAGAAGCCCATGTCTGTGCAGAAGTGAGTGGATTTGTGCCCTTTGTTGCTGCTGCTGTTGTTTGTTTCACTTTGTAGCCCAGGCTGGCTCGCGTTTGGACCCACTGTAGTTGAGGTTGCCTGCTAGCTTACGGTCCATCCTCTTGCCTTAGCCTCCCAGGTGCTGAGACTACAGATCTGAGCCACCATGTCCATCTCTGTCACCTTTTTAATGATAACCTGATCGTCAGGTTACAGGATTCTTAACGTATCATTTATCGAACCCCCAAGTACTTTCTGGTTGGGCACCTAGTTAAAGAATAGGAACCCTTGAAATGTGGGGCTGGAGAGATGGCTCCTAGGGAGTAAAGTGCTTGCTAGGCAAACATGAGGCAAACATGAGGACCTAAATTAAGATTTCACAGCACCCATGTAAGAACCGGGCGTGTCTGTACATCTAACGCCAGAGCTTACTGGCCACCCAGCCTAGCCAAAATATTAATCTCAGGTTCAGAAAATAAGGTGGAGAATTGATGAGAAAGACATTCTGAGATCAGCCTATGGCCTTCACACACACACACACACACACACACACACACACACACACACACACCGCTACAGTACAATTTTGAGGATGATGTTTATCTGGCAGTTTTTGAGATCCCATCTAGGTTTGCTGTTGGCGTTGGGACGCTGCAAAAATAATGAGTAATTACTTCTCAGTTTAATGGGAGAGACAAGGAAATGCATTTAAGTACTTTCCCCCAGTTCCTTTTTCCCAGCCATGAGAAATTCTGCTTGGCATACAAGCAGGCATCAAGTCAGTGCTATTGATAACAAACACGGAAAGGCTGTAATGAGAAGTACTGTGATCAGATCTTTAGCTGTGTGTGAAGTCGGGCTGCCCAAGGGTGGCTGAGGAGCTGGCTGTGCACCTTGCGGGGATCTGATCTAAAAGGATTTTATCAATTGTTATGACCTTGTGTCCCTGTCACTGAGGCTAAAGAACCTACCACTTGTCTAACCATGAATTTATATACGTTAACTGCAGATGTTTGTCTTTTTTGAACCATCAACATGGGATGGAGAGATGGCTCAGTTGTTGGACCCGGGTTCAATTCCTAGCACCCACATGGCAGCTCACAACTGTCTGTAACTCCAGTTCCAGGGGATCTGACACCCTCACGCAGACATGCACCAATGCACATGGAAAAAAAATTAAGCCCTCTGCTTAATGTGCCTTGATAGTATTTTGCTGAGGACTATGGCTCACAAAGTGACTTCTTGTTTATTCTGGAGAGTCAAGACAGGCTTGCTGACACAGGGCTTGGGTGAGCAGAACTATGTAGATGAAGACCCAGGGAGCTAAGATTGTCAGTTATTAATAGGATGGTGGGAATACGTGTGGAAAGGCAGAAAATCGCTCTAGTGAATCGGTAACTCAAGCCACAGTTCGAGATTTGTGACTTGAAAGGCAACTCTGTTGATGGAATTTTGTCTTTTTATTGCATCAAAATATTGGTAACTGATTTTTGCTTGTCAATCACTATGTGGGCTACATTTTTTTTTTGTTTGTTTGTTTGTTTTTCGAGACAGGGTTTCTCTGTATTGTTTTGGAGGCTGTTCTGGAACTCGCTCTGTAGACCAGGCTGGCCTCGAACTCACAGAGATCCGCCTGCCTCTGCCTCCCGAGTGCTGGTATTAAAAGTGTGTGCCACCACCGCCCGGCTCGTGTGGGCTACATTTTAATATACTAATCGATTTTTTTTCCTCTAAAGAAATGCGTGGTTATTAACAACCTGAATGGTCACACCGCTCGAGTCAATTGCCTGCATTGGATACGTAGACTGGATTGCTGTAAGTATTAAACCAAGAAGGCTGATCTCAAATGTTTTTGATAAAGTATGGTTAGTGATTTTTTTTTTTCTTTATCATTTCTTTGATTGATGTATGTTTGGAAAAAGATGAGAACTGGTCTACCCAGTGAGGTAGGTAGCTGACTAGTATTTTTACTTGATAACAGTTGAAGCATGGCCTGCTGTGCCTAGTCTCTGGTTGGAAACCCTGTGAGCAGGGCACAGGTAGAAACTAACATTTAGCTGACTCAGTCTGTTTGTGCTGTAGATACGTGGTTGCTTTAGTTAAGACATAGTATGTCTGTTGCACCCGATAGTATGGTCTGGAAAGTAAGAGGCTGTACTGGGTCAGAGGACTCTCGACGCCCCAGGAATTGTGAGGTCCACGCTGTTTTCACAATCCTGAGGAGCGTATTCATTCACGGACTGTCAAGAGTGTGCTGTGTGGTTTTTCTATGCACCACATGACATAACATGATACCGTAACCGACTAAAGAAAGCAGCAAAGATGAAATTCAGCTCTTTTCTAATATAGTCAGACATCAAAGAGCCTTGTAGACATCCAGAATTGGGCTTCTGGTCTTAATTTTTCATGGTTCTAACATGAGAGTTCTTCCGCTCCCATGGAAATTTGTATTAACATATTTTGTGCATCATTATAATTAAATTACTATTGCTAGTGTGTGATGGCGGGTACATGCCACGGTGCGCCAGTAGAGTTGATTCTCTTCATCCACCTTTGTGAGGGTTTGGGGAATCAAACTCAGATCTCTAGGTTTGTACAGAATGTGCCTAAGATGGGAGCTACCATGTGGTTGTTGGGAATCAAACTCAGGACCTCTGGAAAAGCAGCCAGTGCTCCAAACCGCTGCACCATCTCTCCAGCCCTGGTGCCTAAGATGTATGTATGGTTTTTTGTTTGTTTTTGAGACTAGGTCTCACTGTGTCCTGGATGACCTAGAACTCACTATGTAGACTGTACTGGCCTCAAATCCACAGAGATGCCCCTGCCTCTTCCTCCAGAGTGCTGGGACTAAAGGTGTGTGTTTTCATACCCAACATGATTGTAGTTTTTAGGTGAACTATTAAAAAAATGCTTTTTAGTTTTAACTTCTAATATTGATATACATAACCCACATTAAAAACTTTTTAAGGGTTCTTAAAGAGTATGAAGTAGAACAAAAATTTTGAGAATTGCTGGGATGCAGTGGATTATTTCTCTTCATTGTAAGATTCTCTGACTCGGGAGTTTTTAATTGACCTATTGGTTGCTGTGAACAGTCAGTCCAGTGGAAGTCTCTGCTGTCCTTCTGTCCTACCGTGCTGTTTGTTGTCTGACTGTCCGAGTTTCTTTTCATTCTGTGATCCAGGTGCAAGTCCACAAGTCTCTTGAGCGGGTGAGACTCTTCTCTGTGGTTTTACCTGTGGTATTAGAGAAAGTTAATACAATACTTATCTCAAGTGTGAGTCAGAGTAAGATGTGCATCAGGTCAGTAGAAGCCATTGTATGATACGAAGGGTGGCTCTAATGTGTGTGCAAAAACACAGGTGACATCAGAGACTACTGCACCACACCATAGGACTTTGTTGTGCAGTATTGATCTTACATCGTCTAGAAGTGAAGTCACACAAAATGAATTCCATGCGTTATCACTGTAACCTGTGACCTTCTAGTAACGGCTGTCATTGGATAATTTAGATTTTTTAAGAAGTTAATAAAACAACTAGGGAAAGACATGGCATGAATGCAAATATTTACCAAAAACAACTTTTTCAGCCCCTTCCTCTGAATTGGTGTCTGGAGGATCTGACAATCGAGTGATTTACTGGGAATTAGAGAATAATCAGGTCAGTAGATGTTCCTACTTCTAAGAAACGACTGTATTTACTTTCCAAGTTTTAGCTCTCATTTCTTGTTTTTTTGATTTATGAAATGCCCTCATTTTCTCTCATTTATGAACTTACTGTATTTGCTATTTTACTATAACCCATACACTTTGTTGGTTTTTAAAATCTGAAGACAAAATCCCAGAGAAGGGAGAGATGGACACAAAGTCTTCAACCAAGTGACTGTTTGCTACAATTGGTATCTGGATTTATGACTCCTCCTAGCCAAGCCCTGTGTCTAGGAGTAGCTGGCCAATATAAAACTGATTCCATGTTTCTGTTTTGTTTGCTGTTTTTTCCTTTTTTGATTTTTGTATTTATTTTGCATTTCTGTTTGTATTGATTTTCAGTTTTTACTTTTTGTTTGTTTGGAGCAAGAATGAGAATATGAAGTTGGATGGGGAACATGATTGAATATATTATACATGATCAAATATATGAAAAGAAAATATCTCTGAGCTTTATTCAATTGTTGTGCAGGAAAGTAAAAGGTCTCATATGCTCCATACTGAATATTTCAAGTAAATTTGGGTCATAAATATATTACAAAATAAATTGCCAAAAAAGCATTAGGGAAAAAAAAGTCTGAAGCCCAAATACTTTATCGTTTGTTTGTTTGTTTTGTTTTTTGAGACTGGGTTTCTCTGTATTGTTTTGGAGGCTGTCCTGGAACTCGTTCTGTAGACCAGGCTGGTCTCAAACTCAGAGAGATCCGCCTGCCTCTGCCTCCCAAGTGCTGGGATTAAAGGCGTGCCCACCACGGCCCGGCTTTTTTTTTTTTAAGTATCTAGCTCTCTTAGCTGGTGTTCTGTTGCTGTGAAGAGGCATCATGACCACAGCAACTCTTATAAAGAAAATACTTAATTGGGGTTCTTGACGTCTCAGAGGGTTAGTCCATTATTGTCATAACAGAGTGTGGTGGCATGTGGGGTGACATGGGGCTGGAGCAGGAGCTGAGAGTTCTGTGTCCTCAGACAATAGGAAGAAAGAAACCCTGGGCCTGGTTTGAGCGTTCGAAACCCCACCCTCAGTGACACTTCCTCTAACAAGGCCACACCCTTTAATCCATGTGAAGTAGTGCCGCTCACTAATGATCAAGCATTCCAATGTGGGTCCCATTCCTAGTCAAACCACCACAGCAGCCAAGACACGTTATTTATTTATGTATTTTAATAAAAAAAAAAGTGTCTGAAACATGGGCTGGGGAGATACAGGGGATAAAATTCTTGCTGTGCAGGCTGGAGGGCCTGAGTTCCAGTCTCCAGAGCCCACACAGTGGCTGGGCATGGAAGCCATCACCTGGAATCCCAGATCCTGTCCTGTGGAGGGAAAATGGAGACAGGAGAGTGCCCAGCAGCTCTGGGACAGCTAGCCTGGGCTACATCATGGTGACAACTAGGAGAGACCAAGGTCATATCAGGTGGAAGATGAGGATAGACACCCACGTGCGTGCCGTGCATTTGCATAAGCATACACATTTTCTGAGACACGGTGTCACTGTGTGTCCTAATCTTCTTAAAGGCATGATCCCCTGGCGGGCTGGGATTGCAGGTGGGCGCCATCACACCCTGCTGAGATTGTTACCTTCCTCGTGTCAGGGGCACTGCGCCCTTCTTCTAATTTCTGCTTCCATATCTGTGTGCTGTCACTTGTCCCTGTGAATCCCTCATTCAGGCTGAGCCGTTCTGTTCTTGGTAATGGCAGACAATTTGGGGTATTAAATGGGCAGCTGCGATGTTCCACACAGTGTGTGATGTGCGTGGGCCTCTTTAGTGGACAGTTAGGTTGTTCCTAGTTTTAGGCAAAGATTAATAAGAGTGAAGCAAGTTGTGTTGGTTTTGTACATTTTTCTCTTGCTCATGAGTCAAGGACATTATCTTGAAGGTAGAGTAGACTTGAATAGTGAAGCCTCAGATTGCTCCATGCCCAGGTGTGTGAGCTTGCTGTGCCTCCGCTGCAAACGGAAGGCATTTGAGTTGGATTGTAAAGAGTGGAGGGTGATTGTCTTGGGAAACATTTAAAGAGCGAGGATTCCAAGTACGAAAAACATTACACAAATGAACCTGCCTTTCCCCAAATCTCTTAGCATGCCTTTGAACTTGGAGGAGACAGTTTCGGAAATGTTACTAGATTACGCATGTGTTCAGAAATACCAGAAAATAAGGAAGATCACATTTGAGTGCTAGCATTGGGAGTTTGTTCTTAGGATGGTCACGTGGTGCAGGCCTCTGTTGTCAGCACTTACCAGGCTGAGGCAGGAACAGTTTGAGTTCAAGGTCAGTCAGTATAGACCATATAGCAAAGTGTGTATCCCAGTTTTTGTTGCTGTGGTTGCGCAGGGATGCAGATTTGCAGCAGAGAGAGCACCTAACTGCCTGTGTGTGTGAGGCCGGGTTCAGTCCTTAGCTCCCAGGAGAGGGCTCCTATTCATCAGGCATTTGGAGCCAGTGAGGTTGCTAAGGAGGGGACTATGTCAGAGTACTGTGACAGCACTGCTAACTTAGCATCGGGAAAACGGGAAGAAAAGGCGAGATGATGTAAAAAAACGCTTTGACACTGGCAGGTTAGTTAGTTACATAATAAATTGGGGATATGATGGACAGAGACAATTGAGTTCTTTTAGGGCCCTTGGAGAATGGTGCTTCTGCAGAAAAAGAGGGCAAGTAGGAAGATAAGGAACCAGGTGCAGCCCTGTCGTGGGACCTGCTGGCTGTGTGACCAGACCCACTGTTCATGCCCCAGTGCTGCAGGAATTGGAAGGTCTAGTGGAGATGGGATTCTGGAGCCATCTATATTTAAATGAGAGTAGAATGCCACCCGCACTGGGCTCAGTCTTAGCAGAAGAATCCAGGGAGGCAAAGTGAGCTCTTACTTTTGAGACCTGAAGTGAGAGACTAGCCAGACTTTTCCTCAGTGCTTCCCTAAGCTCCTAGTGGCAGGACAGTCAACTGAGGGGGGAATGAGGGGGTGGGGGTATGAGAGGCATAGAGGAAGGATGTAAGGAATGGGATACGGGAAAGGCTGAGCATCGCAGGGATTGGGTACCCATTGATGCGTCTGTGTGCTGCCTGGTGTAACTGAGGGTGACCTTGAACTAATGCTCCTCCTGCTCCACCTCCCAGTGCTGGGATTACAAGTGTGCAGCCATCACGCTCTGTCTGCAGCCTCCTCGATTCTCCTCTTTGAGACAGTCTTGTTTGACAGTCCAGGCTGTTCTCAGACTCACAGTGGTCCTCTGGATCAGCCTCCTGATTACAGGATTCCGGGATTATAAATATGAGTCACCGTGCCCAGCTATATAATTCCTTTGTTCTCGTAACACGTGTGACACTCTTCCTGATTCAGGTTTTAAAAGTAGCCCGTCTTCAAGGCCATGAGGGACCTGTTTATGCTCTGCACGCTATTTACCAGAGTGACCCATCTGATGGTGTGCTGCGTACTCTGATAGCTTCTGCATCTTCAGACTCTACAGTTCGACTATGGTCTAAAAAGGGACCGGAAGGTAGGTTTGGGGGCTTTGTAATCTAGGTAAAAGGAATAGAGGTTGTGAGTAACAGCTATGAGAACACACATATGTTCCAACATTTTCAGCAACTTGGAAGTGTTATCCTAATGTGTGTTTCTTTTGTACTTTGTCTAAATACTCCTTAACCAAAGTATCTGTTTAACTAAATTCCAACTAAGCCTTTTTTAAGTGAGCAATTTTGTTCTCTCTGATCTCGTTGAAATTCAACAATTTAATTTCTCAAAGTCACTGAAGCATGGGTTTGACTTCTCCATTTGTCTGCTGACATCTTAGACTAGTGATGCCACCCAGCTTCTTTAGGTAGACAAGCTCAGGGATAATTGTTTATGGTGAGTTTTTGTTTTTTAGTAAAACACCTTCAGACCTTGAACTTTGGGGATGGATGTGTTCTGGCTGTCTGCCTGTCTGTTTTGCCTGATACTAATGGTGAGTGTCCTCCGATTTATTAAAAGAACAGTGTAAGAGATGTTTGGGAGCTGGGTGGTGGTGGTGCACCCCTTTAATCCCAGCACTTGGGAGGCAGGGGCAGGCGGAGCTCTGAGTTCAAGGCCAGCCTGCTCTACAAAGTGAGTTCCAGGACAAGCAGGGCTGTTACATGGAGAAACCCTGTCTCAAAAAAAGAAAAAAAAAACAACAAAAACAAACAAGAAATGTTTGGGACCTTGATTTTGTATCTGTTACATTTGTCTTTCTTGTGTTGGTGATCCAGGGGATGGCTTCCTGCATGCTAAACAGCCCTCTACCACTGAGCTAAACTCCCAGCCCTGTATCTAAATACTCTTATGAAATCAACAAACTGGGCATTGAGGTAAACACCTATAACCTCACCATTAGGAAGATGGAGGCAGGTGAATCAGGAGTTCAAGGCTTGCCTGAGCTACATGAGATTCTGTTTCAGAAACAGAACAACAGCAAGTAAATTGAGATGTTGATAATGTAATAGTACTCAACAACCCAAGTGTAACTCATAAAATTAGGAATTCTGGTAGGTAAGATATGTGCCACATTGGTATCACTGCTTGTTGAATTTATCATGGGTGTATCTAAATGCAGTTTGGAGAAAGTCGTTCTTTGAGGGTGATGTTGGGCTAAGATGAAAGGTGATTAACTGTGTGAGCCTTTCAAGGTGGCAACTCTTCATGTCCTGCATGGTGAGTTGACTTTACCTGCCTTCTTTAGCCACAGAAATGACACGATATGAAACAGTGATTCTCTTTACCTGGAGGGCAGGCCCAGCCGCCAGAGGCATGGCCAGGAAACTCCAGCCACTCCTGCTCTCTGTCCTCTGTGGCAGGCGCTGGGGCTCTGGTTCCATGTCTGCTTCCTTTATGCAAAGGTGGCTGGGAAGTGAGGTTAGTTTTGCAACACATACGTTCTAGTCATCTCAGAGTTCCTAGCCATTTGTTTGATTATGTGCTCTTTTATTTTAACATTTCATTTATTCTCAAGCCAGATGTAAAGTCCTTAAAGTTAATAAACACATGGAAACCAGATTTTTTAAAAAGCCAAGCAGTGATGGTGCACGCCTTTACTCTCAGCCCTCGAGAGGTAGAGGTAGACTGATCTCTGTGAGTTCAAGGCCAGCCTGGCCTACAGAGCAAGTTTCAGGACAGGCTCCAAGCTGCAAGAGAAACCCTGTCTGGGGGGAAGGGGGATTTTTAGGTAGCAGCTAATGCTGGGCTAATCAGCATCCAGCTAGGCTAACAGTTCCCTTTGGTCCTCTGGCTGGTGTTGTAGAAATACACCTTATTTGTTCTTACTTGAAACGTGTTTTGGTTGGGGACAACTTTTGGGAGTCTTTCTGTCTGTCTACCCTGTTTCTAAGGCAAGGGCTCTCTTGTTTCTACATACTCCGTGTATTCTAGGTTAGGTGGCCAGCAACTTCTTCTGCCTGCTTCTCATCTTGCCAGAGGAGTGCTGGGATTACAGACGCACAGCACCACATCTGACTCTTTTATGTTGGTCCCAGGGGTTGCACTCAGGTTTTCAGGCATATACGGCAAGCGCTTACCCCTGCGCCTTCTCCCCGGGTCCCTCTTGTCCTTCCCTTTCAGTCCCCTTCTGTCATGGTGCTCAGAATGGACGCACTAATTGTCTTAGATGTGCCATAACCACTGGCTGTAAGCTGCAGCGTCCATTTATTCCTGGAGACAGGTGGACCCTTTCAGTTAATTTGTGTGATAGTGTGGGGAGAAGTCGGTGTCTTTGCCCAGTGATTTACCTGCAGTACTTACAGCCATGCTTGTTTTCCTTCCCAGTACCAATATTAGCGTGCGGTGATGATGACTGCAAAATTCACCTATTTATTCAACAGGATGACCAGGTAACGGATGGTTTTTATTGAGAGACTAGAATTACGTTTGCTTAGCAGTGAATCTTAACAGAAATTTAAAACTAGTTGGAGAAGTTCAGCTGTCCAGCACTTTCAGGGCTGCGTTCGCAGTACGTCTGTTTTATCTCATGATCCTTTAAACTGCTTGAGATTTGAAGATAGCGACGAGCCCTTCTAGTGACTGAGGTGTCATGTACCTTACTGACTGCTATCTTCTAGTTCCAGAAAGTGCTTTCTCTCTGTGGACATGAGGACTGGATAAGAGGAGTGGAATGGGCGACCTTTGGTCAGTATGGAATTTTATTAGATGTGAGCATGATGGGGACAAGTTTAAGATTTCTTTGAGTGCTACATCGTCTACTGCCCCAGTTAGAAAAGGAACTTAAGAAAATTTTAACATGGAGCACACATACTATGGCGTGCACCTGCAGATTAGAAGACAGCACTGGGGAGCGGGAGCAGGTTCCCTCTAAGGCCACACTTACTGAGACTTGCAGCAGGGACATTGTCTGCTGAGCCATCTCCCTGGCCTAGAACAGGGGGTTCTTAACTTCTGTTAACTGTTGATCGGGTGGTAAAGAATGAAACAAGTTGATTTTTATAAGATGACAATATTTGTCTTAGTTATATGTAGATGTTCTTGAGGAATTCTTCCTAGAACTTCATGGCCTAGCTATAGAGAACCACTTGTTTTATATGTATTTATTAACATTGTGTATATATTTGCCAACGCTGTTAAAAATGAATTCCAATCAAATAAATGAAGGATAAGGAAAGAATAATATTTTTGGATCTGGAAATATATACAGCATAGATGAAAAAGTCTTATACCTAAATTTATGGCATTCAGTGTTTTTAACAGTAATGTAATATGTATTTTCTAAATAGGTAGCGACCTTTGCCTAGCAAGCTGTTCACAGGATTGCCTAATAAGAGTATGGAGACTGTATATGAGACCAACATCGTTAGAAGATGAGGACGATAGCATAAAGCTAAAGGAAAACACCTTCACTCTACAGGATGGAGGTGAGTAACCGGGACTTGTTTGCTGTAAGTGTTTAGCTCTGCTAGCTGTTTCATTTGTCTGTCTCCACACATCTGTGTGGAGCTTAGTTTTGTATTTTTATGTGAGACCTATTATTTTTCATGTTTGAAACACTTTTATAAACTCTGCTAGTCAGGTCTTTTTAACTGCTGAAAGCTGTGCTTACTGTTTGTCAGTGAATTAATGTGTGAAATGTGGCAAGCATAGGTAGCATAGGAAGACCTGAGGAATAGTGTGAGCTCTGGTCCTGTGGAGCGCATTCATGAAGCTAAACTCTTCCTCTACGTGGGAGTGGCGTGTGCAGTTCTGGTTTTCTTACAGTGCTGTGATAGACTGGCTTCCCTGCTCATAGATCCTATTGGAATGGTGTGTCATGGAGATACGTCTGGGATTGTTTCTAAATACCAAAATCAGTCCTCGTTAGTCCTCACTCACTAGGTGTGCTGCTCTTGGTTGGTCTTAGTTATAAGGTCTATCAGAGGTGTGGCTTTGGTAACAGTTGTATGGAGGAAACCAAGAAGTGATGTAGCCCACATACTATAAATAGGTATGCCAAAATATGAAAATGTTCATTTATTTGTTTTAAAGGTCTGGAATATGAATTTAGCTTCCCTTATTTCTTCATTATGGTAAATTTAAAACAAAATTGATAATTATTGCCGGCCAGTGGTGGTGCATGCCTTTAATTCCAGCACATGGGTGGCAGAGACACTCGGATCTCTGAGTTCAAGGCCAGCCTGGTTTATAGAGTGAGTAGCAGGACCAGGCTCCAAAGCTACAGAGAAACTCCTCCTACCTCTCACCCCCCCCAAAAAAGAAAATTGATAATTATCAAAAGGGAAACAAAGAGGCTGACTTACCTGTTTTGGGTATTTATTTATTGGTTTGTTTGTTTGTTTGTTTAAGACAGGGTCTCCTGTATCCCAGGCTGACCTCCTTAATCCCTGAACCTCCCCCTTCTACCTCCTGAATGCTTGTGGTGGAGGGCTGCGCCACACCTCCCCGTTAACGCCACCCTGTGTGTCCCAGGCACACTTGCTGTCTCAACTCAGCTGTATGCCCAGCCCTTGTTTTTGCTTTAATACTGCTTCTTTAATGCGGGCATTTTTGGTTTGGTGTGCTGGAAATTAAACCAGGACGTGCACGTGTATATGGCGGAGCCACACTCCCAGCTCTAGTTTTGAACTGATGCATAAGAATTGCATGTGTGATGTTTCAAAATGTAAATGATGTGTGATTTTGCTTTTCAATTGCTGTGTAACAGCCTTTTCAAGAATATTTCAAATAGTAAAATATGTTCTTTAATATTTGTTTATGCACAGAATGAGAAAAATTAGGGGAAAATTCATTTTTAGCTCTTTTTTTTTCCATTGTGGGAGTTGAGTGAAGTTTTTAATTCCTGTTCTTTGTTGAATCTGGGTATTATATTTTGTCCTAATTTCTTGACATAACTTTACCGCAGACTTGCTTTTACGAATGTTCTTTTAGAGGAGCTGTGAGGAAAGAGTCTGTGTCGCTTCTGTTGTAGGAATTAGTATAACGGCTGCGATAACCCTGGAGACCCTGCTGGCTGGACACGAGAACTGGGTAAACTCAATTCACTGGCAGCCTCCATTTTACAAAGGTAGGAGGAAGACAGCTCTTGCTTCAGTAATTGTAACAGTGCTTTAAGCCGGCCAGCTAATTGGAGGATTGTTTGATGGGACTAAAGTCCGTAAATGTAAGGCATTTTTTAGTTGGCCCGTATAATTACCATGCCCATAGCAGCTCCTCTGAAAGTTGTACTCAGGCAGGCTGACTGATTGCTGCCAGGTGCTGAAGCAGCCATACCCTGTTAACTGTGTGAGTCAATTAAGAAAAATTAATTGACCTTCACTCTTGAAAGTGGGGAAGTGGTGCCACGGGGAGGGAGTACTGAGGAGAAACAACACCCTTTCCCTTTTTTCTTTACCCTTAACCTCTGTGGGGCACGGGGTTACCCTCTGTGGAGGGGCGGGGTTACCCTCTGTGGAGGGGCGGGGTTACCCTCTGCGGAGGGGCGGGGTTACCCTCTGCGGAGGGGCGGGGTTACCCTCTGTGGAGGGGCGGGGTTACCTTCTGCGGAGGGGCGGGGTTACCTCTGAGGAGGGGCGGGGTTACCTCTGTGGAGGGGCGGGGTTACCCTCTGGCTGGTGCTGCTGTGACGCTGAGCAAGACATAACCCAGGTCTTGTCCCTAGGGTAGCTAGCAGTCATTAATGCTCAGCTCTTAGGTGTCCTATTTGCCACAGTGTCTTCATCATCATCTGTCCTTTGAAGCCAGCTCCACGCACTCCATGTACCCTTGCTACTGGTTTCTCTCTTTCCATCCCATCACCCCCCACTTTCCCTGACCCGTGTGCTCTGTTGTCAGATGTCTGTACCCGCTCCGTGCCAGGGCTCATTCTTTTACCGTCTCTCTAACTGAGAGATTTACTTATTACTGTGTACTACTCCATTGTCTAACTGTATCACAACTTGTTTATACTAAGGGTGGATCTTAGGCTATTTTTATGCTTATGCGTTTGGAGATGGGATCTCACAGTGCAGCCTTGAGTGTAGAGCAGTTGTGCTGCCTCAGCTTGCCAAGTGCTGGAGCTAGTGCTAGGTGTGGGCCGTCACAGCTGCTTTTGTACACCTTTGCTGTACCTTCTGCTCTGCTCTGGCAGTCTCTAACTCTGCATGTTGATGATGTCAAGACCCTGGTTTTCACTTTTCAGATGGTGTTCTGCAGCAGCCAATGAAATTGCTATCTGCCTCCATGGACAAAACCATGATTCTCTGGTCTCCAGATGAAGAGTCGGGGGTTTGGTTAGAACAGGTAAGAGGTGGATATTTAAGAAATACAAAGTGGAGCTTTTTAAAGTCAGTATATACACAAACCTACGTTCCTAGAGCTGTAAAGTTTCACTCTTTGTGTACATTAAATGAGCTGTCACTTAGTCTCTGCACTCCTTTTCTAGTGTTGACTGATAATGTTTTTCTCTTCTTGTGTAGGTCCGAGTAGGTGAAGTAGGTGGAAATACCCTGGGCTTTTACAATTGCCAGTTTGGAGAGAATGGCACCATGATCATCGCTCACGCATTCCACGGAGCACTGCACCTTTGGAAGCAGAGTATAGTAAACCCGGTATGAGCATGAGGCTCCTTGCTGACTTGTGCTTTCCTAGTGGATGCATTTGAGCTGAGATGACATTCATTCTAAACATAGGCTGTGGTATTTGTACTAGGTTACAAGTTTGGACTTTTCTAGGAAGGAAAGATCAGAGTTGTGCAGCAGTGTGACAGTCGTGAGTGATGCCCAGATGTTACTCATGTGCTCTGGATGTGGCTCAGTGGCATTGGCCTAGTTTATATGAGGCCCTGGGTTGTCTACCTGCCCCTCCCCTTCATGTACAGATGAAGGTCGGAGTCTGCATGCTAGATAAGGGATTTTTAAATTTAATAAATAAATAAGAATATCGGGTGAAATGTGACTTATCATAATTTGAGTGTGTGATATCTTCCTTTTGAAACACTATTTTGCACATTTTTACTGTGTGTGTTAGTGCGCATGTGCAGAGGTTAGAAGGCAACCTGCTGTGGTGCGGTGAATAGGTTGACCAACTGATCGTGACTCATTTCTGTGTCCTTTATCCCCACCAGTGTCTCTCTGTGTAACTCTAGCTGTTCTGGAGTTGGAGTGTAGACCAGCCTGACCTTGAACTCAGGGAGCTGACTGCTGCTGCCTCCCAGTGCTGGATGAGGAGGCGTGCACCACCACACCTGGCTCAGTCCTTTAACTTAATATAGAAACCCTCTAGGCTCACACTCAAAATCGCTCTCATTTTACTCGATATTCTTTCTTCATTACGGAGTTTAATAAATGCTTGGTGAGCTTGTGGTGTGTGCTGCCAGTGCCTGCATACTTCACGAGTATAAACTCATTTAATCCTTCTAATGCATTTGTGTGGTGGGGACCATTATCTACCTGTTTTAGTTGATAGAGTTACCATCAGGCTGTCTGGCTGGAAATTTCCCACAGTTACTGTTTAAAGAATAGAATACATATTTGGATATTACAGCTTAGTGTGGTGGATGGGGAAACAGCTTTTATTTTATGATCTCTTCTTGAATATTTAGTTTTGCAACGTTCCTCTTAATGGTTCTTGTTTATCTTGATGTATGTTATTATCATTTTAATTGCAGAGACGATGGGTTCCAGGGATTGTTATTTCGGGACACTTTGATGGTGTCCAGGACCTAATATGGGATCCAGAGGGAGAATTCATCATCACCACTAGCACCGACCAGACAACTCGCCTTTTTGCTCCATGGAAGAAGAAAGGCCAGTCACAGGTTAGGTCTTCCTCCCTAACTCAAGTCTTCCTTCTTTTGAAATCTCTCTGTGGAGCAGCCTCCTCAGCCATTAGGAAGATGCAGGCTGTGGCTGTGATAAACTGCACCCCCTTTAGGTGGCTGGCACTGGGAATTACTTGACAGTAGCAAATTTTGCATCCTATATCTTGCTTGTTGGAGAAGACTGATTTTTGAAGCATGCAGTCATTTTTATTGTGTCTGTTGTGTTTTAATCCCAGATGACTTGGCATGAGATTGCAAGGCCCCAGATTCATGGATACAACCTGAAGTGTTTAGCCTTGATTGATCGGTTTCTGTTTGTGTCTGGAGCAGATGAAAAAGTTCTTCGTGTTTTTTCTGCTCCTCGGAATTTTGTGGAAAATTTTTGTTCCATTTCAGGGCAGTCACTGGACCACATGCTTTGTGATGTGAGTATTCCTCTAAATGTTTTATTTCAGTCATTTTCTTTCCAATTGAAAGCTGTTTGCTTCAGGCTACAGATGTAGTGTACACGTAGGAAAGGAGTTACATGGGGTGGTTCTGCTTGGCGAGACTTCTGTGGACCGTGGCATGTGATGACTTGACTGGTAAGCACAGGCTGGGGAGACGGCTCCGCAGTTCAGAGCGTTTGCTGTTCTTGCAGACGGCTGGGCTTGGTTTTCAGCACCCACACGTGGTTCCCAACCATCCTTAACTCGGGTTCCATGGGATCCGGTGCTTTCTGCTCACCTTCGCAGGCACCGGGCATGTGTGTGGTGCACATGTATGCATGTAGGCTAAACACACACACACACACATACATACATACGTAGCTCTGAAATAGGTGACTAGACGCATATTGTATGGCAGATTGGTTTGACTAAAGCAGCAGTGTCGCATGTTCACTTGAGACATGGCTATCCTTTGTTGCCTCTGTGGTAGGTTCCTGGGTAAGTGAAGGATGAGCCCCATCTTCCTGGAGATTACTGTAGGGCAGGAGTGGACACTAATAGGGTGACACTAGTTAATTGCTACTTTTTTTTTCCTTGAGATAGTGTTTCATTATGTAGACCAGGCTGGCCTCAAACTCATAGAGATCTGCCTCCTGAGTGCTGGGATTAAGATGCATGCCACCGTTCCTGGCCTAATAGCCGCATGTTATGACAGAAAAATTAGCTGTGGAAGAGAGAGGTCACCAGTTATAGTAATGAGAATGTTGTCGTTTTTTTAAGTTACTGTAAATTTGTATGTGAGTGTCTTGCCTGTGCACATATCTGTGTACTATCTGAGTCATAGCCTTCAGCGCACAGAAGAAGGGGATCTCCTGGGACTGGAGTTGCAGATGACTGTGAACCACCATGTGGGTGTTAGAGATGGAGCCGGGTTCTGTGGGGAGCAGCTAGTGCTCCCAACCACTAAGCCATTGCTCTAGCCTCAATGAAAATGTTTTGGTAGGACTCATTTATGATACACGTACATTTTTGTTCTGTTTGTTTATGCCTGCTTTTTACATAAGATTTGAGCTTACAGAAATATATGAATTTGGTTTTAGAACACAGCTTGGGTTACTTAGCATGTACATGGCCCAGGGTTCTAGCACTGAAGAAAACAAATAATATGGATCATAAGATTATGAAGTAGGTGGTGTATGCTTTTAGTCTCGGCACTCAGAAGGCAGAGGCTGGCAGATGTATGAGTTCAAGGCTAGCCTGGTCTTCATAGTGAGTTCTAGATCCGCCAAGGCTGTACACCTGTCTTTAAAATCCCAAATAAATAAATAAGTAAATAAAATAATGAGGTCATGGAAATGAAGAGGGAAGACGTTGGCTACAGAGAGTGGTTCTGTTGCACATAAGCATCTGTTTAGACGTTATTACTAAGAGTTGCATCATAGGTAAAAGGGAGAAGAGAGAGAAAGAACCAGCAAGCAGGGAGGCCAGAGCTTTGGGGCTCTGTTGGAGTGAAGAGGGAATTGGAGAATTGTGGGAGTGCTGGAGGGCTTTCATGACAGGTGCATTAATGTTGTGCTGTTGGGAGGATGCAATGAAAACCATTTTGCAACAAAGAGCCTTGTGTGGGAGCCCAGATATTGAGGGGAAGCCAAGAGAGAGCCGAGTGGCGGGAAATGAAGTCCAGCTTCACTGGGCAGCGCCTCCTGTCTCAGCTGCCTCCCTTGCTGAAGGCAGTTGCTTTGTTGTGCTCACTGCTGCTGAGCAGTTGGAACAAGACCAAGGGAGCTCAGACTTCACCAGCAGAGGGAGCGCAGGAGCAGGGTCTGCCCAGCTCTAGCAAAGGAAGTAGGGTTTTCTGGGATTCCAGGAAAGGTGTAACTCCAGGCACACTTGGCTCCCTGTGCTACAACACCGGTTCCCCGTGGCTTCAAGTGACTCACTGATTTGTTCTTGTGTCGAGTGGTGTTGGGTGAGCTTCAGGGTGGCTTCTCACTGCCCTGTTCTGCAGTGTGTAGGCTTGCACGCAGCACCTTACATCCAGGCGGCCGTTCTCAGTCATCTGGTGTTTTAAGTTCATACCACTCGTGTCCAGTTCCAGCCTGTGTGTTAAGGGTGAATTGGTGAACCCTCAGCATGTGGTATACTATTTCTGATGATCATCAGCACGTAGCTTACATGCGAGTGCAGGATCTAACAGAGCTTTGTTTCTGCAGACCATACTTCACTAAGTTGTAAAGTAGCTTTACATTATTTACATATGCATAATAAAACCAACATGACCATGCCTTTATGGGCCACAACCTTGTCCCAGGGGCATCCCTTGAGGCTTTCTTGGGGGCAGAGTTCTTGGCCTTGCATTTCAGCCTGCTGAATGAGTCAGGCCCTGTAGCCTGCTGTGTTGTGGGGGCTGAGGGGCTTACCTAGGAGAGAATGCCTGAGGGGGTGGGGGTGGTGATAGTGCCATCTGTTGGAGGATGGTTGAAGTGGCAGCTGTCAGCTCAGAAGTTAGAAAGGTGGCAGACAGCCACACACGTCAGATTGGAAACATTCTCAGCATTTATGAACATCACTTTTAGTGTCTGAAATGTACTTACTCTCCTTTTCATTCTAGGACGACCCTGATTTTCCAGAAGGAGCCACTGTTCCTGCATTGGGGCTGTCAAATAAAGCTATCTTTCCAGGTAAGGATTTAGTCTCCAAAATTACTGAACAGTTCTATTACTTAAAATATAATTGGAAACTTGTGTAACGTACACCTGATGTTCACATGTAGGCCACGGACACAGGTGCAGTTTTCACCCAGGATTCACAGAATACTCCAATAATGTGAGCGACTTGAAGGGTTGGTTATAGATGCTAGAAAATAACCTTTTAAATGTCTAGTGGAAGTAAATGGACAGAATCCTTATGGAATCACTCCTACTCTATTTGGAAAATACTGGAGTAGAAATAACTGTGCAGTCTCGTGGACACAGCTCTGAAATACACTGTTTGGACGCGCTGCTGCTCTCTGATATGTGTCAACTCCATACATGGTATCCGTGTTTTCTAAACTAGGAGACCTGGTCCCTCAGATATATGAGGAGGATCCGCTGTTATCTAACCCTGCCTTTGGGTATCCCGAGGTGATCTTTCAGCCTGCTGTCCTTTCTGGTAAGACACGATGGAAGACAAGTTACACAGTCTGTACTCTGTGGCTATGGACCGAGAGCTGTGACTTTATTTTTTGTTTGGCTAAATTGGGGGAAATTCCAAATGTATTAAAAATTTATTATAGAATTAAAAATATATTGTAGAGCCTCCCGCTGAGGACCATCTTCTGCAGAACACGTTGTGGCCTGAAGTTCAGAAACTGTAAGTTGAGCTGTGTGTGGAGTCATACATAGCTTGGGGTCCACTATGACTTGACTTCTCCTTCCCATTCCATCTTCATTTTTCTCCTGCCCAATAGAGCTTCACAGGGGTGAGAATCAAACCTCACTTGGGCTTGATTTTCTCTTTTATGTTGCTGTTTCTTATGTTTATTAGTTGGTTGGTGTTAATTTCCCAGACAGACAGAGAGGCGTAACAAAGTATGTGCTTCTGTTTGTTTCTCAGCTAGTCATTTTTTGTTGGCTCCCATCAACATCTGTCATGGTGGTTTATTGGACTGGCGGGCATTAGCTGTGAAAACCTATGTTTAATCAGATCACTTTGATGTGTTATATTACCTTTGGAAGCTATCATTTTTCTTTGGTTTCTGACTTTTTCCCTAAATAGTTGTCTAAGCAAAATGTGATGTTCTTTAAGGAATTGTGAGTTAGGTCAAGAGAATGGTCCTCTTCACTTTAGAATGTTTTGCAACATAAGAATAAGTATATTACTAATACAAAAGCCATATGCTTTCTCCTTAAATTATAGGTATGGACATGGCTATGAGATATTTTGTGTTGCTTGTAACAATTCGAAGACTCTGATTGCCTCTGCTTGCAAGGTAGGGCATTTGTGGTGTCTGTGTGTGTGTTTTAGTTTTACTTGGTCACAGGTAATCGCTGTCATGGGGCTTTTGTAAATTTGGCAGATATAGGCAGAATCCACATGAAATGAGCCTTTTGGGTACCGTTGCCTGAATCTCTTACGTTCTCTTTTCCTCTTCCCTTTAAAAAATGTGTGATTATGTTTTAAATCTGTTTTAACTACTCATTTATTCTTAGAGTTGATCTTTCAACAGTTTGGGTTTGGGGTTGCATTAGCACACACTAAAAATTGTGCATATGATCTTACCAGTGATTACATGACTGAAGAAAATGTTCTATGCAGACAGTGAAGTGGACTAGGTCTTTTCCTCACAGAAATATGCAATGGCTGCAGCAGCACCCTTCTTGGGAGAGGGAAGCCTGTTGCTTGTGTTGTCATAAGGCACCTGTGAGACAGTTTGAGTGTGTGTGTGTGTGTGACAGAGAGAGAGAGAGAGAGAGAGAGAGAGAGAGAGAGAGAGAGAGAGAGAGAGAGAGAGAGAGAGAGAGAGAGCGATCCTCAGGCTAGACTCCAGGCAGGTGCCTTTGGAAAGCTCCAGAGCACAGTGGTCAGGGGTCATATTGGCCAAGTCATCATGTCATTTTACACCAAGCTATAAAAGAACATGTGATTGAGGCCCTGAACAGAGCCAAGTCAAGTTACCTGGCTGCCAGCAGTTCTGTTGCAAGGAACTGGGGCTTCCCCAAGTTTAATGCAGATGATGTTGAAGATGTAGCTGATACATCACTCGTCCCTGACGACTGTGGGGTAATGGACAAGGAGCTGGCCCTGCACTGCTGAGGGCTCTGCTGTGTTGAACCTGCCACCACTGTCCAGTCACAATCACTGGTAAATGCCATATCCTGTTCACCTTGAAAGAAAAGAAAAGAAATTCCTCTGCAGCCATTTGAGGCCTATAGCTCCTAGGAGGGGTGCAGCCTTGTGAGCTCTTCCTGCCAACTGTTATCTTTATAAAATATCTTTAAATTAGGAAATTGTCTTCCAACTTTATTCTCTTTTTGGTTATTTTATTTACTGTGTAATTTTAGAGTCAGCTTGAAGTATTCTCAGTCTCTTTGATGGGGATGACATTGAGTCTGTAGATCAGTTTGAGGAGAATTTTAACAATATTCCTCCTTTATATAAGTCTTTAATTTCTCCTAGGGATGGTGTTTTAAAAAATCTTTTGAAGTAATTTTAGATTTAAAGAAAAACAGTGATCCATATACCTCCCTCAGTTTTCTGTTCTCACCATAGTGTCTGGGGTCTAATCTCACACACATTCTGTGAGACTCACTTTTTTCCCTATAGTTTCTCTGTTTTGACATAAGGAAATTTACAATGTTGGCCTTGAGCTCCCAGAGATTTGCCTGTCTCTGCTCCTGAAGTGTGGGGACTATAGCCGTGTGCTGCCATCACATTGTATGATTTTTAATCTTCTTTTTTTTTTTTTGTCTTTTTAGAGCCAAGCCTACTTTATAACATGTTTTCTTTTTACATATTTTCCAACTCAATTTGATACAAGTTTGTTATAAACTTTTCCAAGTGCTGGTGCAATACTTAGTAGACCCCTTTGATCTCTAGAATCCACATGGAGGAAGGAGAGAACCAACTCTTACAAGTTGGTCTCTGTCCTCCACAAATGACCCCCCACATGCACATACACGAGAAATAACTAACTATAGGTTAAAAAATGTAAAGCTGGGGTGATGGTGTACATCTGTAATCTCTGCAGTTGGGGGGTTGAGGCAGGAAGATGACGAACCCTAGGTCCGCTTCAGCTGCCTCTGTAAGGGATTTGCAGCCAGCCTGGGCTACATGAGACTCTGTCTCAGAAAACTCATAACTCAAAAGCCTGTATATTCTCTGTGGTTTTGAGGCATGAGCAATTTGAGCCTCATGGAAGGACCTCCTTTTCTACAGTCTCTTTGCTTATAAAACTGGTGTTGCTTTTTTTTTCCCTGAGACTACATGTGTGAATGTTTACCTGCATGTATGTTCGTGCACCACATACATGCATGCCTATGAAGGCCAGAAGAAGACCCTGGATCTCTTGGTTCTGGTTAGAAGCAGTTGTGAGCCATCCTGTGGGTGCTGGGAACTGAATCAGAAGAGCAGCCAGTGTTCTTGACCCCTGAGCCATCTCTCCAGCCCCCTCCCCCAATATCTTTATAAAGCCTTCGTGGATTTTCTAGGTAGACACTGATGGAGGTGTTTTTAAGGGAAATGTTTTTGATTGTTTTAGTTTGTTTGTTTGTTTTGTTTTTTTCGAGACAGGGTTTCTCTGTATTGTTTTGGAAGCTGTCCTGGAACTAGCTCTCGTAGACCAGGCTGGCCTCGAACTCACAGAGCTCTGCCTGCCTCTGCCTCCCTAGTGCTGGGATTAAAGGCCTGCGCCACCAACGTCCGGATTAAGGGAAATGTTTTAACTGTGTGTCTTAGTCAGTGTTCTATGACCAAGTCAGTGCTTAAAAAGACAGCATTTAATTGAGGCTAACTTAGCGTTTCATCTGTTAGGCCATTTTCATCATGGCAGGGAGCATGGCGGCAGGCAGGCAGGCAGACATGTTGCTGATGGAGAAGCTCAGAGTTCTGCATCCAGGACCACAAGCAGCAGGAAAAGAAAGACACTGGGACTGCTTGAGCCCTTGAAACCTCAAAGCACACCTCCAGTGCCACACTTCCTCCAACAGGGCCACACCTCCTAATCCTTTCAAACAGTGACCCATTCAAATCTGTGAGCACGAGGGGGGGGGGGCGCGTTCTCATTCAGACTGCCACACTGTGGGAATCCTTTAATGGGTACTAAATAAGGCCTTTAGTTTTACAATTATCCCTTAGGATCATGTCAGAGGGTGCAGAATCACAGTGACGCTGTTTTTTCTGTTGCTGTGATAAAAACCATGACCAAGGCAGTAGAAGGAAGGGTTTATGTGGGCTTACAGCTCCAGAGGGTAAGAGTCCATCATCATCATGGTGGGGAAGTGTGTCCGCAGGGAGCCATGGTGGCAGGACAGCTAAGAGCAGAGAGTCTTTTGAAACCTCAGAACCTTTCTCCAGTAAGGCCATGCTTCCCAAGTTCCCCAGACAGTCACTGAAGACCGAGTCGTCAGATGACGCCACAGATGCCATCCTTTTGTTCTTCCTACTGGCAGCCCCTCTCCTTCCCTTTGTATCTGTGTCTGTGCGTCTGTGTGTCCATGTGTGTTTTCTGTCAGCACAACTAAGTGCACCTGGAATTGTCTGATCTCTTCTCTCTCACAGTGCTGTGGCCAGTTCTCATAGCCTCGGAACTAGCTTTTACCAAATAAGGCAGTCGTTCCACAAATTTTAATATCTTGCATTTTTATTCAGTTAAAAATACTTTGCAACCTTTTGATCACCTTTGACCTCTTGGCTGTTTTTAAATGTATTGTTTGTTTTCTAGGTATTTTTTAGTGACTGGTTTTTATTTTCGTTTCACTGTAATTTCACATTGTGACTTGAAGCTTGGGAAATCTGATCTCATCTCATGTTCAGTTGGAAAGCGTGTTTGGTCTGTGGATAGCATGCCGGTGATTTAGTCACTGGTTAGTTGAGCATGGTGTTATGATCTTTATGCTCTCAGCTGTCTTGAGGAGGCTTTGAGATCTCTAACTATGCTATACTTAGGGGATTTACCTTTTTCTTTCAATCTGTTCTTTGTTTGAAGCTGTGTTGGTAGATTTGTTTGTAAACAGTTACGGTGCTGTCCTCTTCCCTAGTCTGCTTATTTGTTATTGTGGAGTGGCCGACCCTCTTTCAGTAATACTGACTCCTTGTTCACCAGAGCAGACTCTAAACTGTTAACCTTGCAGTTCATACACACATGACTCGTCATAAAAAGTTGTAACGTTCTTATTACTCAGGGTCCCTGATGAATCATCTCCCTTTGCCTAGAACCTGGTCTTTGTGGTTGTGTTACCACCCAGAAGCTCTCTGTGGAGCTCTGTAGGTAAATTCATTAAGATGGACTACAGAAAGATCCATCTATTTTAGATGTCCTCTTTTGACTGTTCTGCTTCCCTGGTGTCACCGTCTCGTCTCTGTCCTGCAGGCAGCTCAGAAGGAACATGCAGCGATCATTCTTTGGAGCACAATGTCTTGGAAACAAGTGCAGAGTCTTGTTTTCCACACCCTGACTGTCACGCAGATGGCCTTCTCACCTGATGACAAGTTCTTACTGGCTGTGTCCAGAGATCGAACCTGGTCTTTGTGGAAGAGGCAGGATGTGACCTCACCCGAGTTCGGTAAGCAGCTTGAGTGGCAAAGGTTATCAGTAAGGCAGTCGCGTCCGAGCTGTCCACATTGAGCAGCTGTGAGATAAGAGGAAGGTGACAGGTGAAGACAGCCTTCTGGCTGGGAGGATTCAAGGCTCTTAGGCAACTGGGGAGCACTTGACTTTCCTTGTCAGGTTTTATTTAAACCTTTCTTTTAAGATTTATTGATTCATTATTTATTTGTGTGTGTGTGAGGTAAGGGACAGACACAGCTCATTCCTCATGGTGAGGTGAAAGCTGTCAGCTATGGTCCGGACTAGTTTGGATTTTGAATCTTGATCTTCTCTTGAGTGTGAGGTGTGTATAGTGGGCCCGCCGTTGTCCCCCACGATTTGTGTGAGCTGTGGTGTTCAGTAGACTGGGAGTATTGGGTGCATTTTTGACTTAACAATACTTTCCATTCGTGACTGATTTGCCTCTGTAAGTTCAGAGCATTTGTTTTCCTTTGGCATCACTAGTGACTTCATTTTAAAAGTTGAAGTGCTGGACCACTGAGATGGCTCAGCAGGTAAAGGTGCTTGCCCAAGCCTGAGGACCAAATTCAGTGTCGAGTGCAGTGTGGGGAGTGTAGAGTGCAGAGTGTAGAGTGCAGTGTGGGGAGTGCAGAGTGTAGAGTGCAGTGTGGTGGTGCAGAGTGTAGAGTGCAGTGTGGCGGTGTAGAGTGCAGTGTGGCGGTGTAGAGTGCAGTGTGGCGGTGCAGAGTGTAGAGTGCATTGTGGGAGTGCAGAGTGCAATGTGAGAGTGCAGTGTGGGGAGTGTAGAGTGCATTGTGGGAGTGCAGAGTGCAGTGTGGGGAGTGTAGAGTGCAGTGTGGGGAGTGCAGAGTGCAGTGTGGGGTTCAGAGTGCAGTGTGGGAGTGTAGAGTACAGTGTGGGGAGTGTAGAGTGCAGTGTGGGGAGTGCAGAGTGTAGAGTGCAGTGTGGGGAGTGCAGAGTGCAGTGTGGGGAGTGCAGAGTGCAGTGTAGAGTGCAGAGTGCAGTGTGGGGAGTGCAGAGTGCAGTGTGGTGGCGGTGCAGTGTAGAGTGCAGTGTGGGAGTGCAGAGTGCAGTGTGGGGAGTGCAGTGTGGGGAGTGCAGTGTGGGGAGTGCAGAGTGCAGTGTGGGGAGTGCAGAGTGCAGTGTGGGGAGTGCAGAGTGCAGTGTGGTGAGTGCAGAGTGCAGTGTGGGGAGTGCAGAGTGCAGTGTGGGGAGTGTAGAGTGCAGTGTGGGGAGTGCAGAGTGCAGTGTGGGGAGTGCAGAGTGTAGAGTGCAGTGTGGGGAGTGCAGAGTGCAGTGTGGGGAGTGCAGAGTGTAGAGTGCAGTGTGGGGAGTGTAGAGTGCAGTGTGGGGAGTGTAGAGTGCAGAGTGCAGTGTGGGGAGTGTAGAGTGCAGAATGCAGTGTGGGGAGTGTAGAGTGCAGTGTGGGGAGTGTAGAGTGTAGAGTGCAGTGTGGGGAGTGCAGAATGCAGTGTGGGGAGTGTAGAGTGCAGTGTGGTGTGCAGAGTGCAGTGTGGGTGAGGGCAGCATGGCTAAGCACAGTGGTGAAGTGGCCCTGGAGTTGATGTTGGTGCCCAGACAGACCTCGCGGGTTAGAAGAGGAGCCGCTTGTCCTGATTGGGAGTAATGTATGTGTGATTATTTATTTATTTTTTTCCCAGACCCATTTTTCAGTCTCTTTGCATTCACCAACAAGATCACTTCTGTGCACAGTAGAATCATCTGGTCTTGTGACTGGAGTCCTGATAGCAAGTATTTCTTCACTGGAAGTCGAGACAAAAAGGTAATGTTTTTTTCAATAAAAGATAAAATAATACTTTATTGAAATGTAAAATAATGTTTTTGCAGTTAGGCTTAAAATCAGATTATTCTGCCTTTCTGATGAGATGTTTACAAATTCGTGGTGTCCCCTTTATATATGTACATTGGAAAGGTTTTCCTTGTTAAACTCTACATATTTCTCTGAAACATGAAGAGAAGACCTTTGGTCAGTTTCTTTCATCAGGTAGCCCCAGTGCAAGAGAAGGGATGAATAGTCAGCCCTTGGTCGAGAGTAAGAGCCCAGGAGAGCAGGGAGGCTGGAGACACCATTTCTAGTCTTCTGACCAATGTGGCTGCCGAGCCTCCCCCAATGGTGCTGTCTGCCTCTTCAGTGCTGGGTTAGGCACAGCGCCTTGCTTGGCAAGTGTTTGTTCTAGTTTGGGCTTTATTTTTAATACAGGCACTGGGAATCAAACACAAGTTCTCGTGTTTGTGTGGCAGACCTTGAAAGACTCTGCTGTCTCCCCAGCTCCCATTTTCTAGTAGTAAAGGTTAGGACCTTTTAATTCAGTGACAGAAAGGGGCAGAACCTGGCAGGAGCTTGAAAAACTCAGGATAAGTTAGGCAGTCCTCTGTGTTTGAACTCGCCCTTTTCCTTGTTGCCTGACGACTGCCCTTAGCTCCTGCTTGTCCCTCTGGTTTTGTGCTCTGTAAAGCATTGCCACTTCTGCGTTTCTAGTCCAGGGCTGGTAGAATGCTGTAGTGTTTCTTTTAGCTGCTCTTCCCCTTCTAGTGATAACACTCCAGAGAACTGACACAGCGCTGGCGTGGGCCTGGTGACACCCAGGTTAAACACCCAGTGTGAGCTGTCAGCTGTCGTTCTCCCAGACTGGCTGTTGGTTCCCTTCCTGGGTGTCTTGCTGGGTGCTGAGGAAGCAAGCTCTGTCTGCTAACTGTTGGCGATAGAGTGGCTGAACCAGACCAGCTGCTCTGCCAGCCTCAGAAGTGTGTGCTGCTTCCCAGAGCCTCTGTGGAGAGGTGACCAGTCAGACTCCCTTGAACCCTGGGCTCCAAGGGAAACCCATGTCTTGTGTGGTGGCCAAGTTGACTGCCTGAGCACTGGGCAGTAGAGAAGAGGAACCTGGTGTCCTCTCCAATAAACCTCTTGCAGGTTCTGAGGGTGGCATCTGTAGCCAGGACATGGTGGATGGTGTTTGACTGCATCGGAACCATGTCGTGTGTCACGGAATGCACTAGATAACACTCATGCTCTCTGGATGCGCTTCTGTAGCTGAGGTCCCAACCCATGTCTGCCACACTGTGACTTCTCTGGGATGCACAAAACCCCAGAGCAGATAGTTTTCATCCTCTACTGGGATTTGAACACACCACTGGAAACCTTGCAGAGAAAGTTTCACAATGTCATCTGTGTTCTAGGTGGTTGTCTGGGGTGAGTGCAACTCCAATGATGACCTCGTGGAGCACAGCATTGGCCCCTGCTCCTCTGTCCTGGATGTGGGCAGTTCTGTGACAGCTGTCAGTGTCTGCCCCGTGCTGGACCTAGTCCACAGGTCAGTTTCTTCAGATTTGGTCGTTCAGTAGCTAGCATCTCAGTTTTCAAGTCAGCCCAGTGGTGGTGGTGGCACCTTTAATCCCAGCACCTGAGTTTGAGGCCAGCCTGGTCTACAGAGTGAGTGACTTATAAAACATGGGGGTGAACTTAAAGGTGGGGAAGGGTTAAATGGAGTAAGGGGCTACGTGAGCTTCAGAGGCTGCAGCTCTTATGACACTCTGGTGAGGAGGAATTCCTTTCTCTGGGGCCTTTTTGAGAATATAAAGCACCCAATACATAGTCTGTATATCAAAATTATACAGCCAAATTCATAAGAACAGATATTCTGGAGTCTGTATTTCTTGCAGACTTTGCAAGGCAAATTTTCTCCATGAGAAGTCAATTGTGGTGGGTTGTTACCTAGAATATTAAATTCTACTTCTGTAATAAATGATAAGGCTCTCAGCAGGAGAACAGGAGTTGGTGCAGCCTGCTGGGGAAACTGTAGCTTGTGGGCTTTGGAAGGAAAGGACAGGTGGACCTTCGTGCATCCTCTGTAGAGAGGAGCCTGGAGGATATACAGAGGCAGTGCAGGCGGGTGATAGAGGGAAGAGAACTCATACTGACCCAGCCTGCCGTCTCCCTCCCTTGATAACAGATATGTGGTAGCAGTCGGATTGGAGAGTGGGAAGATTTGTTTATACTCCTGGAAAAAGACCAATCAAGAAGTCAATGACTGGACCCGGTGTATAGAAACAACTCCAAGGTATCTTCTTCCTACTTTGCTTCCATCTGATTAGATAGAAAGAGGGTTGGTGGCAAATCTGTGACCATTTTCATCTTTGTCTCTGGTGTTAAGAGTCAAATAGTACCTCTTAACATGATGTTTGCTAGCATGGTGGGCTCGGGTATTGTCCACTCAACTGCAATGCTGGTCTGTGTCATACTGCCCCCCTTGCCTCTCCTCTCTCCTCTGCTTTGCTTCCTAGGGTGGGGTGGGGTGGGGTGGGGGAGTGGGGAAGGGGTTGTCTCTTGACCCTGATCCTCTTCCATCTACATTCTGGGATCACAGGCCTGCACCGTGACACCCAGTTTTGAATGTGCTGGGATGGAACCTAGGGCTTCAGACATGTAAGGCAAGTGTTCTGCCCACTAAGCGACATCCCTAACTCCATCAGAGGCTATTTTAATTTGCCTTTATGCACAAGTTAATTGTTAATGTTAATTGTTTTTAATTCATGTCTAAGCTTTCAGGAAGTCATTGATAGCTTTCTGTGGCTCATTTTCTTGAGCTTTTCAATCTTCCTCGTCTGTACTGTTTAAACATAATTTCAAATACTTTTCTAAACACAGTGTCATGGCGAGTGTGAGAGATTAGGGAGAGCTGGCCTTGCACAGCTGTGTCCTCGAGAGGAGCTTGTCTCTGTCAGTGCTCATTGTGACTGTTAAAATGTGTCTGCCGTGTTGCAGCTGTCGTAGCGTGTGCCCGGCTCGCAACAAGAGAGAGCCGCTGACGTCCTCTTCCATAGGGCCTTCTCGCCCTTGCCGTCCCTTTTCCTTCCTCCTCCTGTCTTGTAAGCCATAGAGCTCTGCCCGCGTTGGTACAGACGACTCCCGTGGCCCCACTGTGGGACAATTTCCTTCCTTGTTGTTGTAATGATAGGGTTGTCATGTGGAAGTAGTTTTGGATTTAATACATTGTTATTTGGATAGCTATTCTTCTAATTACTAAATTTTAACTTTTTGCTGGTAATACATTCACAGAAATAAAAGCAAGACTTTCAGACTGACTTTCTAAGGACCTTGTCTTGTAATTAACTGATGAATTTTGTGGTGCTAGGAATTCAACCAGGGCCTTAAACATGTTAGAAAAGTACTCTATAACTAGACTACATTCCCAGTCCCCCAGATCTCTTTTATCTTTTTTATCTTCCCTCTTCCCTCCCTGTGTCTGTGTGTGTGTGTCTGTGTGTGTGTCTGTCTGTCTTTTTGAGATAGTCTTACTATATATAGGTCTATTTGGCCTAGAACTTGAATGTATAACCCATCCTGGACTTGAACTTGGAACCACCCTCCTGCCTCTGACTCCCAACCGTCTGAGTCATACATCTCTGTGTCTGAGTGTGCATGCGTGTGTGTTCTAGCATGCACCCATCTCCTTGCATATATGCAGAGGCCGGAAAAGGCGGTCAGGTCTGCTGTTCTAGTCCTCTCTGCCATACTCACTTGAGATAGGGTCTCTCATTGAATCTGGAGTTAGGCTGGTGGCCAGCAATCTCCCTGTCTACACCCCACACAGCACTAGGGTTGCAGGAGTATGTACCTAGTCTTGTTTTTTACATGAGTCCTGAGATGTACATTCAAGTGATCTCATTTGCATGGAGATGCATTTCTCTAGGGCCCTCCATATCTTTTAAATATGTGTGTTAACATGCTAGGTTTAAAGAAGAAATAAAACAAGCCAAAAAAACCCATCATTTTTTATAAATAATAAGTTATGTCCTTCAGAATATGTTAGTTGATCACCATTAATAGGATGAGAAAAACGTATTTAAGGAATGCTGACAGTGGCTGGGCCCTCTGTGATTAGCATGGCTTTTGGAGCTTCTTTTTCAAAACTGTGTCCCAAACCTTGATAAGTTGTGATGTGAGAAAAACCAGTAACAATGCTTTTTATAGTGTTGCTCAATTAGACCTTGCCTTTTTAAAACTCAGCACCCATATTTATAGAGCTTGATATTCACAGTACAGCTACCGTTTTTATTTATCGTGTCCAAGAGACTGGTGTTTTTTCACATTCCCCCTCAGGAAGATTGGCTCTCATTGAGGCACTCAAGTCACAGTCTGCATAACATATTAGCATTTCCTGTAGAGCGTTCTCAGAAAACATTGCACACAGCAGCACCTTCTCATGGCTATTTCTGTAAGCTGTGACATCTCTCCTGGGTTGGACATGACTCTCTGAGCTGAAGCACATCAGGCCTATTAACATGACTTATATGGGGCAGCAGATCTTCAGGGAGGCTCAGAAGGTCCTCACTCTCTGAAATTATTTGAGGTGAACACTTGACAGGTCTGTAGCTGCCCATTCATCCCCATACTCTTTTGAGTAAGCCCAATAAACTCAGGTTCACTGAACTTGACCAGGCTGAATGCTGTCTGTGCAGTCTGTCTCAGTGAAAGAACCTATGTTCCCTGCACCATAAGGATTCATGCTCACCCAGGCTGTAAGGGTCTATACTCACCCAGGCTGTAAGGGTCCATACTTACCCAGGCTGTAAGGATTCATGCTCACCCAGGCTGGGTTCAAGCCCCTTTCTTCAGACTTGCACCTCCTGGCCTACTGACCCCTGGCCCATATGAAGGTGAGATCTGTGCCCCGAGCTCTCTTTCAGTCTCTGTGCTTTAAAACCTGCATAGGAGTTTTGCTCTTGGTTTCAATCATTTGAGTGCTTGTTTACCAGTTTGACATGGAGAGTGTCACACTTTGTTCAGGAGCTATGGCTACTCTGTTTGGTAGTGTCTTGGGGGACTTGGGAGCAGGAACCAGTTCATGTTCAATTTATTATCTTGCCTGACACCCTACAGTTAGGTGACCCTGAGACCGTGACCCTTACTGTGCAGTTCCTGAGGGTTTTACAGCACCTTTCTTTTACCAGCAGTAGAAATATTAAGTCCATCTATCTCTAGCAGTGTCAGCAGAACAAAATAACCCGAAGTGTGTTGCAAAATTGAAACACATTCAGTAATGTTATCTTGAAAGACTAGATTGTTAAGAAATTTTCATTTATTTATGTGTGTGTTTGTGTATGAGCATGTACATGCAATGGTATGTGGAGGTTAGAGGTTAACTTGGAGGAGTTGGATTCTCAGAGTTGTTGAGCTAAGGTTGCAAGGCTTGTTTGGAAGTGCCTTTACCTACTGAGACATCTTTCTGGCCTCTGAAAGCCTTAATAGTCATTTCAGATCGGGCGGTGGTGGCGCACTCAGGAGGCAGAGGCAGGCAGATCTATGGTTTCGAAGCCAGCCTGGTCTACAGAGTGAGCTCTTGAAAAAAACAAACAAAAAACAAGGTCATTCTATGGATGCTTAAAACATGACAGAAATGTATTATTTCTTGTTTTTTTTTTGCGGTGTCATTGGCCACTGCGTAAGGTGTTAGTCTGTTTTGAAAGTAGACTAAGATTCTTTCATTATAGGATAAAATTACTGGAGGGTAGACTTGTATCCATTTGTAACAGCTGTCCAGGCGCCCAGCTTGTATCACTGCAGAAAGCTTCTAGGGTACTGCAGTCATGGCTTGTGCTGACCTTTTGATGTCTGTCTCGTTTGCAGCCAAGGTCACGCGCTTGGTGTCAGAAAGATTGCCTGGAAGAGCTGCAGTGGGGACACCGAGGAGCCTCACGAGGTCACCGAGTGGCTGCACTTCGCAAGCTGTGGTGAAGATCACACTGTGAAGATTTACAGGGTTAGCAGGTGTGCACTGACAGACATGACACACCCTGCCGTGCCTCACGGGTGTTAGGATGCCCCTCCTCCTGCCGTCCCCTGGAGGCCCTGGCTGCTTTCCCTTGCTGTGTACACATACAAACGCCCAGATCTCACCCCCACCGTCAGAGAGGATTGGGTCTACCTGTGTGTTCCTCGTGAAGGACATTTGTTCCTCGTGGCTAGATTTGTCTCATTTTGTATTGTGTTGAGTCTTTAGCTCTCTCTGTGTAAGTTTTGTGCTGTGACAGCATGCTGGAGGAAGGGTACTAGGTGAAGAAAAAGGTTTTTTAGCTCAGAGTTCTGGGAGTTGAAGAGCATGGCCCTGGGATCTGCTTGGTTCTGATGAGGGCCTTGTGGGTAGGCTGACAGTACTGGGAAATGTGTCTGGGAAAGGGAGATCACATGATGGACAGGAAGCCAGAGAGATTGAGGAAGGTACCACATCTGTTTAAAACCCTCTCACTTGGGGCTGGAGAGATGGCTCAGCAGTTAAGAGCACTAACTGCTCTTCCAGAGGACCTGAGTTCAATTCCCAGCACCCACATGGTGGCTCACAACCATCTGTAATGAGGTCTGGTGCCCTCTTCTGGTGTGTAGAAATATGTGCATGCAGAACACTGTATACATAATAAATAATAAAAACGTCTTAAAAAAAAAACACATTAGACAGTAGACTTTTCCAGCACGTGACTTCTGGAATGTACACTCAGATGTGTCCAAAGCACTTTCTTTGGGATGCTTTCTTATTTATCACCTTCTTCAGAGGCTGGAGATTGAGGGAATAACAGAAGCCCAGAGTGTTCGATTTTTACTTTTACACTCCATCTAAATAAGCACACCACACACAGTGTGCTGTCTTGACCTCTTTTTCCTACTAGCTGCCAAGTATTCCAGAACTTGGCAGGCAGTTGTAAGCTTGAACTGTAGCCATTCCCTTGCTTTATCTAAAGAAAGGCATTGAGATTCTTCTCTTAAAAACTTCAAGTATCATTTCTGGATTTTAAGTAATAAATCGGGCTGGACAGTAAGCGATCTGAGTTAGATGACAGCTGATGTCATGAGAGTGAAGGGTGAGTGTCGCCAGGGAGGCTCAGAGGGGAGGCTCTGGGATGAGGAGGCCTGTGTGAGTGGGAGCTTGCGAGAGGTTTGGACTCACCACAGCCCTCCCGGGAAGTGGTCACCTGACAAGGTGATGTGAAGGGAAGGAATGAGACCTCCCTGTTGGGAGAAGATACCACTGTCAGGCTGAGGTTATCTTTCCCCGTGTTTTACCTGCCCCTCAGCTCAGCGTGGAATTCAGACAGCACAGTGAATGAAAGTCTTGACAACTTTCCTAGGCAGAGGAGAAATGATAGGATTTTTCCAAGTACACCGTTTGCTTTGAACCCCAGGAGTCATATATGTCCCCGTGTCTCCTTGGTCTCATCTGAGGAAAGTGGATCTGTTACTCATTCCAGCGGGAGAGAGTGAGAACTGAACACTTTGTACACGTCGGGGGGGGGGGGCTGGGGGGAGGCGGGGACAGGGACTCAGTCTCCCTGGCAGCATTGGGAAAGTCCTGGGTGGGCTGTGCTGAGCTAAAAGTAGACAAGATATGCTGCTGTCAGTGGTTCTTTCGTGTGTGTGTGTGTGTGTGTGTGTGTGTGTGTGTGTGTGTGTGTGAGAGAGAGAGAGAGAGAGAGAGAGAGAGAGAGAGAGAGAGAGAGAGAGAGAGAGAGAGAGAGAGAGCATCACCTCTCCAGCTGCTCATAAACTGATAACTGGCACTGAGTTTCAGTCTTGATGGCACTCCTGTCATGTTGTAACCTCAGCCCTCAGCTCTCCCACCCCCACCCCACCCCCCAAACCATACATCCACGCCCAGAGACGGAATCTGCTTCAACCATCTCCAGGTGACTGAAAGACCTTCCAGCTTTAGAAGCCCTGTGGCACGGCTTGAACGCACAATACCGTCCATACCATGTTTTCATATTGATGCCTTCCTGGAGTCTTCAAAGTGTCTTTCTGGGTCAGCCTTGTGCACAACAATAAGAGTTGAGTTTCTGATTTTAGTGCCATTTTGAAAAGCCCACGGAATGGGGAGTGTGGCCCCAAAAGCACACATAAGAGTGGGCGTGGTGGTTCCCAGCTGTAATCCCAGCACTTTGGTAGCTTCTTATTTCCGTACTCAGTAACTGTGACCTTAGAGTCCACATGGCAGAAGACCTCGTGCACACACGAGGTTGGTACAGGGGTGGTCTGTTGCTGTTGGTGTCCTGATTGTATGGGGTCCTGGTTAATTGTACAGATTTTTTGGTTCATTACTATGAAGAGACACCATGACCACAGCAACTCTTAAAAAGGAAATCATTTAATTGGGACTTGCCTACAGGTATGTTAATATCATGCTGGTTTTATTGCTATAGTTGTGTATTACAGTTTGAAATCAGGATAGTGATGCCTCCAGAAGTTCTCTTATTATTCAGGATTGTTGTAGCTATCCTGGGTTGGTTTGTTTGTTTTTTCATATGAAGGTGAAAATTATCTTTCCAGTATCTGTGAAGAGTTGTATTGGTATTTCGATGGGGATTACATTGAATCTGTAGATTGCTTTTGGCATGATGGTCATTTTTGCTGTATTAGCCCTGCTGACCGAAGAGTGTGGGAGTCTTTCCATTCTCTGATGTCTTCTCCAACCTCTTAAAGCGTTTACTATACGAGTCCTTCACTTGCTTGCTTACAGTTAGCCCCAAGACATTTTTTGAGGCTATTATGAAAGGTATTGTTTCCCTGACTTCTTCCCCAGTCTGTCATTTGTATACAGGAAGGGTACTGATTTTTGTGTGCTAATATTGTGTCCTGGTATTTTGCTGAAGGTGTTTTTCAGCTGTAGAAGCTTCCTGATGGAGTTTTTAGGGTCTCTTATGAATAAAATCATGTCATCTGCACATAAGAGTACTTTGATTTTTTTTCCCTTCCTAGTTGTGTCCTTTTGATCTCCTTCAGTTGTCTTTATGGTTCTAGCTAAGACTTTAAGACTTTATAGAATAGGTATGGAAAAAGTGGACAGCTTTGCCTTGTTCCTGATTTTAGTGGAAATGCTTTCAGTTTCTCTCCATTTAGGTTGACATTGGCTGTGGGCTTACTGTATATAATCGATACTGTTTTGTGGTATATCCCTTTTATCTCTGACTCTCTGGGCCTTATTTTTGTGTTTTTGATCTTTGAGACAGTTCCTCTGTGTGACCCTGGCTGGCCTGAAACACTCTGTGTAGCCCAGGCTGGCCTTGAGCTCCAGGGAATGCAGTTGAGGTGGGGAGAGGAGACCTGTATGCACACTGTTCCTGAGCTGAGGGTAAGAAGAGGGATTGTAATGGAGGACAGGGAGGATAGTGTGAGTCACCTGACCTGAGGCCCACCCCCACCCCCCACCCCCCCCCCCGGCTGCTGGCACAAGAGAATAGAGTGGACTAGAAGGGAGGGCTGGGAGGGCCCCTAGGGAATGCAGGTCCAGCTGATGTTCTTATCTACTGAGGCATCTCCAGCACTGCATGTGCTGGAAAAATCGATTTTATGTTTCAGTTATGTGTAGATGTGTGTGGGTGTGTACAAGCGAATGCAGGTGTGCCAGGAGGCCAGGGTGTTGGATTTCCTTGGAGCTTGAGTTACAGGTGGCTGTGTGATGCCTGTGGGTGCTGGGAATAGAACTCAGGTCCCCTCCAAGGTCAGCATGTGCTTCTAACCTTAGAGCCATCTCTCCAGCTCAGTAAGTGTCTCTTGGTCTCCCTGTGCCTCTGCCTTTCAACTGCTGCGGTTTCGTGGGAGCTACCATGCCTAGCTCCTTGTAAGCACTTTGGGGCCATATTACCCATTCTTTTGGCCTTTCAAAATTGACTCTGGCTGGGCAGTGGTGGCGCACACCTTTAGTCCCAGCACTGAGCAGGCAGAGGCAGGCGAATCTCTGTGAGTTTGAGGCCAGCCTGGTCTACAGAGTGAGTTCCTGGACAGGCTCCAAAGCTACAGAGAAATCCTTTATATTGCTGCGGTCTTGCAACATTCAGGGGAGTAGGTCCTGCACCTCACATGGGCAGCACAATAGAGCCAACCCCATTGGCAGAGGTGTGAGCAAGCCAGTCTGATAGTGTGAGCATGGGAGAGCTGTCCCCATTACCCACCTGTCATATGGCAGCATGGGCAGCAGAGAGGTGTCATGCCCCCCCCCATGCTGCTCACTGGAGGCAGCTGGGGGAATCTGGCATTAAAGTCAAAGTCATATAGCAGGAGAGCTACCCTGCTCATCAACTGTAGCACTCGGGCGAGTGACCCCTACCTCACGCCTGGACAACACAGTAGAGCTGGCCCCGAAGGTGTGGGTGTGGGAGATCTGACTGAGGACTTGAAAGCAGAGCTGGCCCTGCCCCTTGCTCATCACTTCAGAAAGTAAACTCACCCTGTGGTGAGGACAAGGGAGAGCTGGCGGGCTGACCAACCTGCAACTACCCAGGCCCAGAACCACGGTTATGAGTTGACCCACCCAACATCCACCCCATCTGTGGCCTGCAGACCCAAGCTGCAGGGGCTCCACAACACAGGGCAACAGCAGGTAACCAGGAGGACCCAGTGAGGCCCAGCATCGATAGTGTGCAGACACCAGAGGCCTCGAACCAGACCAATGGCTCTTTGCAGTGATGAACACTTAGCAGGTAAAGATATACGGATGACACACTGTCACACTACAGCTTCCATGACAAGATTTCCCCCCTTTCTTTTTTCTCTTAAATTGTATCTGTGGCAGGGGCTGCAAGGGTAGAGGGTGGGTATGCAGGGATGGGAAATGAATGTCTCCAGATGCATGCTGTGAAAGACACAAAGGGTAAATAAAGAGAAAGTTAAAAAAAGGTTTCTATGGTTATGGTTCACAGCAGTGGAAACCCTACCTAAGACAGTTAACGTCGGAGGGTTCATGCTACAAAGGGAGATGCTGTGTGACTCACTTAACTAGCTCTCCAGAGAAAGCATGCCTAAAGACAGTACAGTGGTGCTGACCAGAGCCTGAGGGAGGGGAGATGTGTGATGCGCACACTATCACAGGACAAAAGGGTTCTGGAGCTTGTGTAACGAGCACACAGACCTATAAAACTAGTGCGTACAATGGCAGGTATGTTTAACCACAGTTTTGAGAGATGTTCATAGACACACCCTTCTGGGTGTTAATTGGTATGCCTGAGAAATCCCCAAATAGAATATATTTGGATGCTTCACCCTGGGTATCGGGGTCATCATACTACCTTCTTATATGTTTAAAAGTTCCTTGTATAGTCTCTAAATGGCAAGTCCATAGATGGGATACCAACGGATGTATTTTGTTACTCCTTCCCCTTCTAACAAATAGGAGGTGGCTCACTTGGAGCCCCCTGCCATCACAAGCCAGAAGCCTGGATGACAGAGACCATAAGGCTGGAGGGAAGGGAGAGACAGAAGGGATGGTGGCACTCTGGAAGCTGGAAGATCTAGAGAACCCTGAACCCAGTCAGGTGGGCCTATTGCTCTGGAACCAAGTTGGAAGGCGCCCTCCTGGGATCTGAGCATTAGCTCTGTCAGCTCTCTCAAGCGCCCCCTCCAGCTAGTGGCCACTGGCTGTCCTGAGGGTTGCCTTGACTGAGTTCTGTGTGTTCCCGAAGGCCACCTAAGTGCAGCTCAGAACCTCCACTGGAGGAATCCGTGGATGAGGTTTTGCGTCTGGGCTCACCCTGGCTTTCACCACGGGCAAACCTCTCCTTCATCTCTGTGAATGGAAAGAATATTAGAGTATTAATTGATTTTCACTTCAACTATGTATGAAAGAAAATGTAAAATTATCTCTCCTTTATACAAGATAGACTATTTCTGAAAAAGTCGAATTAGGCAACCCGGGATGGTCAGGGAATTCCTCAACATCAGACACCCAGGCTCTAAGTCTGCCCCGTGTCTTCTTGCTGCTTGGCCTGCCGTGGTCTCTGCATCCCAGCTAGAAAAGAAGAGAGAAACCCTCCCTAACTAAGGGAGTTTCTTGAAGTCCACATAGTTCTGTCCAGTATCCTTGACTAGAATTTAGGATTCTGGCTATTTTCAGTATAAAGAGAAGCTGGGAAGTGAATTCCACGCCCCCAAGCACTTTTGATTTTTGAGTCAGAGTTTCCACTGTATCATAGTCTTCTCTCTGATTTCCTCCCCACTCCATCCCTCCCTCCCACCCCACCCTCTTCCCTCCCTCCTCCCTTGCTCAATTGAGGTTCTAATCCAGGGTTTCCCCATGCTTGAAAACGCTTTACCAAGGAGCTGCACCCTTAGCCCCCGAATGGCTTTTTTTGGGGGGGTCTGTCCACCACACCTAGCAGGGTGCATTGTCACCCAGTTACAGAATTAGGGGTGTATCAATTTGCTAAGGCAAATAAGCCAGCAGGAATCATCCTCCAATGTTACTTGTCAGTTACTGTGTAGAATGACTAATATCCTTCCCCCTTCTTGGTGGTATGGACTTGAGAGGCAGAGAGCAGAGGGGAGGGGAGGTGCGTCCCAGCCCAGAAGGAAGAGGGAGGGGCAGCTTCTGAATGAACGCAGAAGTTCAGCTCCCAGGAAAAACAGCAGCAGGAGGAGCCCACCCGTGTGTGTGCAGCCTGCGGGCTCTGATTCTGCCAGTGCTCCCGGCTTTCTTCCCAACATTACATTATGAATGTGAATATTATGAATGGACCCTTGTTCCATCTCTTCATGATTCCAAGCTGCCCTACAGCTTCTACACACAGAAAAGGTCTCTCCAGCCCCTCCGGGGACGGAGCTTCCTGCTTTTTCTCTCTTTCCATTGCCGTCTAATTTGTTCTACTGCAGCAAATTGCTGTGCTTGGGAAAGAAACCCGCTCCATTGCTCAACTGGCCTCTTCTGATTTCCTAACCACCCCGGTACCTAGATGTGCAGCTCCCCTTTTAGGGAGGAACACGCTACTTAGGTGGATGAAATACTTGCATGACCTAAACCAAATTCACTCTTGTAGGAAACACCCACCCGAAACTCATGCTAACTTACCCGGAGATTTGATTCATGGTGATAGGCCTGGACGCCCAACTTCCTCCAAGGCCAAGAGGCAAAGGTCTTCTGGGGCTCACTGCGGAGTGAGCTGTGTCTCCATCCGCGTTGACCCTTATAAAGTGACAGAACTGACCTCGTTAGGTCAAAGTAAACTAAGTTATGGTAACCCTCACAGACCACCAGGCCCTGCCCTCTGGTTCTCCCGTTTATACTAGCTTTCTCTGTGTCACTGTCACCACCCCGCCCTCTTTCCCGAGCTCCTGAGGTGCCCTCACAAGCCTCCATGTGTCTTATTTCTCCAGACTCAGACACTAACATTTTTTTTTTTTTTTTTTTGGTTTTTCGAGACAGGGTTTCTCTGTATTGTTTTGGAGGCTGTCGGTCCAGCCTGGCCTCGAACTCACAGAGATCCGCCTGCCTCTGCCTCCCGAGTGCTGGGATTAAAGGCATGCGCCATCACCGCCCGGCGACACTAACATTTTTAGTACTGATTAGCAATCTCCACTTAAATGCTCTCAATGGAGCCCCACATTGTTTCTCTGTGCCTGAGTTCCCTGACTCCCGATCTCTGAGCCAGGCTTCCCGACCCCACTTGTCCCTGAATCCCATCATAACCCCACTGTTCTGGGCCAGAACACGTCTGCCCAAACTTTGAGGCAGCACCAAGGGAGAGGGTATACTTAACCACTAGGCTTCTCTACCATCATCGCCCTTCCCACTACATCTTTGGCCCTAACCCAGAATGTTGGGCTGGGAGTGGCTGGCTTTGATCCAGGCTTCAAACTTGGGAGTGGTGACCTCCCATCTGGTCGCCCAGCTGTTGGCTTCTGGGCCTCAGTCTGGGTTCTCCATTGAGCAGGGATGTGAGTCTCTTTCCTAGTCCCACAGTGCATGCTATTCGTGAGAACTTGTTCCCTAGTGGTGCCTTGCCTGAGTTCTGACGGTGTCTTCCCGTGCCACCAGGGATTGCACAACCAACCACCTCTAGCCTGCGCTTGGCACACCTGTCCTCCCAGTCCTTGGGCTGGCGGGTTTGCCTGGCTCTCCCAGCAGCGCGCTGGCACAGGGTCGCTGTGCTCTGAGCAGCCCTTGACCGGGTCACACTGGAGCTTTCGGGCTCCGATGTTGCACAACCGCTGGGAGTTTATCAAGCAGTCCAGTGGCTTTCCTCTGAAACGCGGAGCACTGGCGACCCCAGCAGTCCAAGTGCCCTTCCCTTTCGGATCTGAAGCTCATGGGACCAGGGTCCCCGGTTCTGGGCGAGGGGCACCCGGGATCACACATGCCTATCGAGAAAGCACGCACCAGCCTTAGTGGCACGGAGATATCCCAGGATCCCACCCAGGTGTCTGGGATGTCACCTGAGTAGTGCCGGGCTGTGTCAGAGACCGCGGAGTGCGTGGCTGGGTCCTGTCCTAGGTGGCCAAAGGCCACACCGAAGTGAAAGCACTCACAGTGAGTCAGCGCGCTGAGAGGAGGCTGGCCCGCGAGGCACCGCCCCTGGGTGGGGACCCGAGTCACCCACTGCCGCCCCGCGAAGTCTCTGGCCTCGCGCACTTCCCGGGCTGGGTGGCCTGGACCCCTTAGACCGCAGGCGAGGGCCATGGCCGGCGGGGCGGCCGGGCGGGGACCTGAGCCCCCGGACTTCCAGCGCCATCCAGAAGCCATCGCACCGCGCCTGGCCCACGGCTACCGGCTGCGCAGCATGAGAGAGCTGCGGGACCTGGAGTTCGGCCGCCTAGCAGGTGAGGGGCGGGTGCGGGGACACGCGGGGACACGCGGGGCTGGAACCTGCGTGCGAGGCGCGCTGTCTCATTTGGGGCGCACTTTGTGCTTGATCTCAGCTAAACGATCAAGAAGAGATGGACTCCTTGGGAATCGAAAGTCTGGGAGAGATTGTGAGCGCCTGCTTGGGTAGCGGGCTCCCCGCAGTCCCTTCCACAGTAGCAAGACTCTTTGCCATAACGGTTGCCTAGACTGCTCCGTGGTGCGAGACCAGCCTGGCCTCTCTTTGGGTCTCATTTTACACTTCAAAAAGGCTCTCCTTGCCCGCCTCTGTTGCCGAGAGAATATCCGACCCTAAAGACCCCATCGCAGCCAAGCTCACACAGTTCAGGATATTGAGCAGAGGTGTTTCTCGGATGCCCCACACGGGGTCAGGGGTGCGCGGGAGGCCATCGCACGCAGTTTGGAAAAGTGATTCTGTGGCGGCGGAGAACCCAGAGACGGTGATCAAACAACTGGCAGATCTCGCGAGGCCACGCCCCTCTCTCCGTAGCGAAGTCCTGTCTGCATTCTTTCCGAAACATTACTACTACTATTCCTCTTGGTAGTTTAAACAGGGTTCTATGTAGTCATGTGGTCCAGGTTGACTTTGAACTCGCTATGTAGTGGAGGCTTGCCTTGAACTTTGAGATCTGGGTTTAAAGGCGTGTCCACCCAAGATCGCCTGGCACCCAGCCTCATTTTTCTCTTTTCTGTAGCCAGAACAATGCTCTATGTGCGCTCTAGCTTGCTGGGAAGCTGGGAGAATTAGAGAAGAGTGCAATTTGAGCCTTAGCAGGACAAGCCTGCGAGCCTGCGAGTCGGACCAGATCACACCCTTTGGGATCACAAGGTGGAACCTGTTAATTGAGTTGGATATCAAGCTCGGATTAAGTGCAGGCGTAGCAGAGTCCAGCCCACTGCTGCGGGCTGAGTACTCGCCCTTAGTCAGGAACGTGACTGGGAGGGGGGCGCTTCATCAAACTTCAAGAACCCACTGTGGAGCAGGAAGGTCATGGGCCGGGGGACACGGGTCTGTTTGGTCACTCGGAGTGGTCACACACTGCCCCGCTGCGTGGGACAGAACAGCGGTGCTTTAGTCTTTTCCTGTTTGGAATAGTAATTAAGTATCCTTTGGTCACGGGAAGGTGGCCTCCTCCCTGGGTCTCCCTTCCTTCCTTTGTACGACTCCCCATTCTTCCCAATGCTGGGCCACTGGCTGGAGACACCCTTAACATCATGGCTGCCTCCCTTCATCCCCCTCTCCCTCTCTGCCCTTACTAGGGGGTTTCCTACCAAACAGAAGCAGTCGGCTGTGAGTACCCACAGGTGCACAGGGCAGGAGGCCTCTCTTTCTGAGGCAGGTCCCCGAGCCCGGTGAATGATTATTTCAGAGTCACAGTTCTATAACCTCAAATCCGCCAATCTTGATCTCTCAACCCTCAGCGATTCATACAGGTATGTTCAGGTCCCTCCTGGTCCCACTCCTTTTCCCCAGAGAGCAGCACCTGAACTTGACATTAGCTTATAGCAGCCGGTCCTCCAGGCTGGCCTTTAAAGCCTTTTAACACCCACAGTGATGGTATGTAGGTTCTTGTATGTATGTATGTATGTATGTATGTATGTACGTGCATACATGTATATATGTATGCATGTTGCATGTATGTATGTACCTATGCATGTATGTACCTATGCATGCATGTATGTATGCATACATTATGTATGTATGCATGTATGTATGCATGTTGCATGTATGTATGTATGCATGCATGTATGTATGTATGCACTTTTAGACAGTCTCACTCTGTACTCAGCCCTAGAAGTCATTATTTAGCCCAGGCTGGCCTCAATCTTGTGACCATCTTTCTGCCTCAGCCTCTCAAGTGGTAGGATTACAGGTGAGAGTCACTATACCCAGCAGGTCCTTTACTTACTTAGAGAATTCCCTGGATGCACTGTGGTTGAGGTAGACACCCCCCTAGAGAGAAGGGGTGGGAAGGAAAAGAGAGATTTATTCACTGGGTAGTCCTGGCTGGTCTGGAGCTTTCTATGTAGACCAGGATCACCTTGAACACACAGAGATTATCTGCCTCTGTCTGCTGTGCCTGGGGTTAAAGGTGTGTGCCACCATGCCTGGCCTAGAATACATTTTGTGCGTGTGCACTTGTGTACAGAGACGAGAGGATGTGACAAGTGTCTTCCTCTGTCGTTCTCTGCCTTATTTCTTGAGGCAGGGTCCGAACCCATCTCCACCTCCCTAGCCAAGGCATTACAGGTGTACACCGCCATGCCCAGCTATTTTATGCCCATCTAAGGGATGGAACTCTGGCCTCAGGCTTGGGTGGTGAGCACTCAGAAAACTCTCCATCCCTGAAGTAGACTTTTGTGGCCTAAACAGGTCCTTTTTCCTACCTCTGAGATACTGGAGCAGATTCACTTTTTTTTTTTCTCCATAGAAACAAGCTGGAGAGAGGCTGGGGAGTAACCCCCATGGAGCCAGAGTGGTCTAGCCTCTACCTCTTCTTCCCCTCCCTGGAGATTTTCTGCAGAGTTGAAAATGTACCTGCTTAACAACTGGTGTTCTGAGCAATTAAATGTACAGACTATAGGAGCTGAAAAGTTCTGCTCAACAACTAGTTGGATAGGGGTTTCCTGGCCTTGGTGAAAGGGGTGTATTGACTGTCCAGCTGTGGCCTGGGTAGACTTCCAGCATCAGGTGCCGACTGGCAATTAAAGGTTCATGGCCCGGAGGAATCCTGGTCTCTCTCCCCCTCTCCCCTTTCCCTCCCTCCTGCCCTCTGTCTCCTTTCCCCCTCCCCCTCTCCCCTTTCCCTCCCTCCTGCCCTCTCTCTCCTTTCCCCTCCCCCTCTACCTAGTCTCTATCTCCCCTCAGCATCTCTCTGTCTCTGAATATTAGTTTCTTAGTGCGAGACAACTAATGAAGCAGTCAAGTATTGCCAAAGAAAATAAAAGTAGTTTGACTTCTCTTTCTTTCTTTCTTTCTTTCTTTCTTTCTTTCTTTCTTTCTTTTCCGAGATAGGGTTTCTCTGTAGCTTTGGAGGCTGTCCTGGAACTCACTTTGTAGACCAGGCTGGCCTCGAACTCACAGAGATCCACCTGCCTCTGCCTCCCGAGTGCTGGGATTAAAGGCGTGCGCCACCAACGCCCGGCCTTGACTTCTTTTTCTGCAAGACCTAATGTTAGTTGGCTTTTGGATCGGTTGCCTGCTTTTCTTTATTTTATTTTATTTATTTATTATGTATACAATCTTATGCACACCAGCAGAGGACACCAGATCTCATTCAAGGTGGTTGTGAGCCACCATGTGGTTGCTGGGAATTGAACTCAGGACCTCTGGAAGAACAGTCAGTGCTCTTAACCTCTGAGCCATCTCTCCAGCCCCAGTTGCCTGCTTTTCTTCACTCTGAAAACTGTGTTTGTTGTGTTCCAGGCATCCAGCTGGATTCTGTCAAATACCTACTGTCATCCCACTTGCGAATGTCAGAACAGAGGTCTAGAATGGCTGCTGGGTGAGCCAAGATTCTGTTTGGCTGGCTGACTTGGATTTGCACTGTTGGCCTCCTAAGACCAGATCCCTGGTTCACCTAACTCAGTTGTCTTTCTTTGCAAGATTAACTGTTGAACCAAAGCCAAACAAAGCAGGATCTTTCTGAATGGTTTCCTAGTCCTTTGGAAGACTTTGGGCAAGGTGTACAGAGCTCCTCAGAGCCTGGGTCTCACCATGCATTGGATCTTCACCCAAAGATCTTTTTTAAAATTATAATTAAAAATTAAAATGTATTTATGCGTATGGGTATTTTGTCTGGCACATGTGTCTGTGTATTACATGCATGCCTGGTGCCTATGGAGGCCAGAAGACAGCATCAGATCCTCTGGGACTGGTTTCAAGCCCTCATGTGGGGGTTGGGAATTGAAGAGGAGCCAATGCTCTTAACCAAGAAGCCATCACCCCAGTTCCCACATGAACATTTTAGTACAGTGACTATTGGATGCCCAAAGCCGTTCTTTCATTTGGTGAACTTTTATTTCACAGTCTTCAGTGAATGATACAGGAATTATTTTTAAAAAGATGTTTTTAATTCTCTTAGAATTTTATATCATGTATTTTGGTTATCTTCACTTTCCACTTCTCCCCCAGCTCCTCCCAGACTCAACCTCCACCCTCCTACACCCTCTGAACTCTGTGTCCTCTATTATTATTATTATTATTACTATTATTATTATTATCCACTATACTCAATTTGTGCTGACCACATACTTGTGGGTGTGGGGCCATCTGGAGCATGGGTGTCCTAGAAAACACTTTTACAACATTGGGGGAGTTTAGATGATATATTCAGATTCAATATTAATAGTCATCAGACTCAAAAGATGACAAATGAACGGCCAAGGAACATTCCCTGGGTTCCGCCTGCTCTTACCCTGCCACCCCCGGGCCAGTGGCTGTCACTGGTGTGCTTCTTCAGCATTGTCTGTGTTGATACTTATGTGCCTCCTTTCCTATGAAGGCGAACCATAGCGTTTCTCACTTTCAGACACGGCTGGAGGGTGTGGAGATATGACTAATGATGATGATTTCGGAGGGAGGTGATGTTCCAGAACTCAAGCACACTACAACCACTAAGTGGTACACTCACAGAGAATGGGTTTTATGGTATGTGGGTTACATCTCGATGAAATTGTTGTAAAACAAACAAAAATCAGCCGGCCGTTGGTGGTCCACGCCTTTAGTCCCAGCACTCGGGAGGCAGAGGCAGGCGGATCTCTGTGAGTTCGAAGCCAGTCTGGTCTCCAGAGCGAGTTCCAGGACAGGCTCCAAAACAATACAGAGAAACCCTGTCTCAACAAAAAAACAAACAACAACAACAACAACAACAACAACAAAACCAAAATCTACCCTGCATGACACACAAAACTGTTAAGTGAATTAAAAAATACATAGATTCATTCCTATTTTATGAATTTGAAATGGAATCCCAGAATTTGCTTCGTCTGAGTACTGTGTTTGTTTGTGTGCCCAAATGCCAATGCTCTCAGGTGTGCGTGTGCGGTTTCACAGGTGTGTGTGAGCACTTGTTATGAGCATAAGGCAACCTGTGGCTCTTCAGTCATCACCCACCTTGATTATTTGCGCCAGGGTCTTTCATCACCCTGATGCTTGTGGCGTAGACAGGATGGCTGGTCAGAGTGGCCCAAGCACCCACCTGCCCTGCCCCCCCCCCCCCCCCCCCGGTGGGATCTGGAGATCCAAGTCAGATTGCTAAGCTCTCGTGGCAAGGGCTTTACCAACCAGCTCTGGCCCCATCTCATGCCAGCTCCGTCTCATGCCTGTACTTTAGAAGCAGTGAGTAGATGTGGACAAACCTTATCTGAGACACATACTAATGGCCATTCCTTTTTCAAACTTGTGATTTTTTTTATAATGGTGCATTAGACATCTTCATATGCAGGCCATTTTGCAGAATCATAGGTTTCATGAGATACACCTGCAGAAGGAGTTGTTGGGGCAACGTGACTGCATTTAATGTGTGACTGATGTGGCCAAAGTGCTATTATTATATTCCATGAGGCTGCCCCAACCCATCCCTCTGTTAGCCATTGACTTGCTGCCCTCATCCTTACTCCCCCCGTGAGGCACTCATCTCTCCATCTCTGCCGATCTGATCAGCAGATCCGAGTCTCTCCTGCTTGTAAGTTTGTCTTTTGTCTTCAGGGGCAAGGCTGTGAGGGTGGCTTCCTACCCTCTGTCTTCTCGGAAGCCCTATTAGTGAGTCTAGGCTCGAGGACAGCAGAGCAGCATGTGGATGGAAGGTCAGGGTTCGCCTTCCTGGAAACACCCAGTTTTCAGAATGAGGTGGGAATGAGTGTGAAACCACCGCGTCATCATTCGTCACAAAGGTCTGCTGGGCACTTCTTATTGGGTTACACTAAGAAACACACGTAAAGCAGCTCAGGGATGTCAGCTCTGTTGAAGGATTTGAGACAGCGGGTGTGTTGCTGCATACCTGGAATCCCAGCTCTTGGGAGGCTGAGGCAGGAGGATCAAGAATTCAAAGGCATGCATTGACTTCATAGAGAATTTGAGGCCAGCATGGGAATATGTGAAATCCTGCCTCAAAAACAAACAGAGACCCGATGAAACAAAAGAATGGGTACTGGTGTTTGTAACACGGGTAAATGAAAGACCCAGAGACTGACATGGGGCTTCAAGCTTCAAGCTGAATATCAGAAAAGCAAAGCAGCTGGACACTAGCTTCTTACCACTACCTCAGGCTGAATGGGCTGGTCCTGTCTCCACAAGCTCTCACCAACCTCAGACTGTAACCTCTCCTCACGGTGGCTGGAGAATAAATGTGAAAGACCTCGGCATCAAAGCGCCGGGCACTGAACCGAACCCTCTGCCCAAGAACCGGGGCCAGACCACTGGCTGCAAATGCAAGAGGTGATTTATTGAGTACACAGGCGCCTGCGGATGCTACTGCAACTCGGGTGCAGAGCATACCGGGCTTGCAGGGAGTACAATATTTATAGAGTTTAATGGTTACATAAGTAACAGGCATTTCATTGGCTCATTTTGGGGGCAGGGGTAGTTCCCACGGACTAAGTTTCCTGGTATTACTTCATGAAAGACCCCGGCATGCTTCAGCAATTATTATCCGGGTCCCATGACTACTATGGTGATCATAGACACAACTGGGGGCAGGGGTAGTTGCCAAGGACTAGGTGTCCTGGTATTGCCACATAAAAGACCCTGGCACGCTTCAGCAATTATTATCCGGGTCCCATGACTGCTCTGGTGACCACAGATCCTGTTTGACATCCTGCCAGCTGGGTGAGGCACCTGGTCTGGGTTTTTTCATTAGGCAACGGCCTGACCTTGTTTTTCTTTTCCTAGGGGGTCCTGGGTAGGGGTCTTTCACTATCTATCTTCAGTGTGGCTGGAGAATGAATGCCTCTCTAAGACCTTGCTTTTGTCTTACTTCCCTAATGTTGGGCTTAAAGATGTGAGTTATAATTCTTTTTAGACAAATTCACTCTTGTGTAGATCTGGGTGGCCTTGAACTCACAGAGATACATCTGTCTCTTAATCCTGAGTTCTAGGATTAAAGGTGTGTACCACCACCTCCTAGCTTCTGGATGCTGGGATTAAAGGTGTGTGCCTGGCTTCCATGGTCCGAGACTGATTTTTCTTTCTGAATCCTCGGGCAAGCTTTAATAAATCATAAACAACATCTCACCACAAATGTGTTCACAAGGGTCAGGTTTACATAACATGACTAGGGTGACTTTATGAGCAGTGGAGAAGAACCTGCAGCTTTATCTGTGATTTATTTTTTTTTTCAGGAACTGTCTACCTTGACCATGCAGGAGCCACCTTGTTCCCCCAGAGCCAGCTCACAAACTTCACTAAGGATCTCATGGAAAATGTCTATGGTAAGGAACACGACACACAAAGATTTTAGCCAACACACAGCCGATTAATTGATTAATTTCTGTTTATTCATGTTGGCTTCATGGAGTACATGGCAAATACATAGAGCAAAATCAGACCCAGGCCAGATAGAGGGTCTGTCCAGCACCCTGGGTCATTGTGCACCATACACATGAGTCTGAGGTAGAAAGTTCTGACTCAGAGACACACAGACCACTTCTGGAATGGGTCGGTGTCAGGAAGAAAATATATGTTTGAAAGTGCTGCGTTGGGTGGTGGCAAAACACTGTACAGTACACAGGGTATGGGTCCACAAGGAACATTCATTCACTCACTGTATACATTCCTTGAGCCGCTATGGTGTGTGGTTGTAGTGCTATAACATCAGAAGAAAACATAGCACCTTTCTTGGTGGAGACCTTCATCTAGACCTGGAAGACAAGATCTTAGCCAAACAATCTCCAACTAAATGTGCTTAGCAGCTGTTCAGAAGGTTGTGCATGCAGGCAGCTGGCATCATGGGCATCTGCATTTGTAGAAAGACAATAGTGTTGGCTGGCAGTGTGCATGTCAGCGGAGTCGGGAGAGGAACAGGTGTCGGATGATGAGCCAGAATTCACTGGGACAACAGGAGGAGACACCACGGAGGCGGTTGTAATGGCAAAAGCCAGGATCTAGGACCGCAGATGGGAGGAGAATGGCAGAAGTCTGAATGCATGGGGTGATGGGGCGGGATCATTCAGGATACTGCAGGTGATGCAGTGGTGGTCCTTACTCTAGGAAGGATGGATGCTCATCCAGGACATTCAGCAGCGTAGAGTGAGCTCGGGAGATAAATCAGAAGAGATGTGTAGTGCTAATCAGTTGATCAACACACCATTCGTTCACTGAGCACTTGGCAAGTTTCAGGTGATGCCTAAATGTGTGGCATGTATTGTCACCATGCATCTGTATGACATTCCAAGAACCACAGATTGTGTTACTAAGCTTATGTGCTATAGTTGTTTCTTCTAGGGAGGACATGGCCTCCATCTTGAATGAGTCACCTGTATGAGTCCCTCACAGGATGGGGCCCATTGATGGTCCCTTGTGGAAGGCTGATGGAGGGGCTCATAGGACTCAGTAGTATTCCCAAGATCCCCAAGGCCACCACCATCCCCACGGTTTATGCAAGAGAAAAATAATCGACTGTGTTGGGACTATGCTGTAGTTGGTAAACTGCCTATAGTTTCCCCAGGGGATGGTGTAGCTACCTTTGAGTGACCCACATTCTTGTGAGTAACCTCAGGAAACTCATTGGCTTACCAAGCTGGTCTTTTTTTTTTTTTTAACCTCACTGCTGCCTTTGATGTCCCGGTGTCTCCCCAGGAACAGTCTCCAGACATCTTGATTTACAGGCGAGCAAATGGAGCCCAGGAAGGGTGAGGAACTAACCTAATTCTACCCATTTGGACCATTCTGGAGCTGGGGGAATAGGGCCACCCCAAGATGCCCCTGTTCACGACAGGAGTTTGAGTCTTCACTCTGGGCAGTCAGGAGCTCTTTAAGTCTGAGGAACCCAAAGAGAAGGTGCCACTGAGAGATCTTATCTTGATTTGCATCTATGATTTGCAAAGAGACCTGAAATTCTCCTTCTGCAGCCTTGACAAAAGCCATTAACTATGGGAAAGCAGCTAGCTAGCCTGAGAGACGGCAGCTTCAAGATCCAAGGGATCCTAAAGACACAGGGCTAAAAACTGACCTTAGGAAAAAGGCAGCAAGAGTGTAGCTAAGTCTCATAGTGTGGCACCTGCAGTGGCCACAGCCAGTGTGACCCTTGCTGTAGGTTAGGGAAGACTATAAAGCAAGCAGGCCAAAGCTGCATCAATGTGCATGGCTTGCCCTTCCCTGGGAACGCGAGTGCCTGGCTCTGCAGGTCAGACCTTTCCAGAAATCAGTGTTCGCACCTCCTCCTAGGTGCCATTTTGTTTTTACAAATAAGCAGAATGGTTTTGAGTTATAATTTACACATTACAACATTCACCCAATTCAGTTGTGCAATTCAGTGCTTTAAAAAAATTAAATTGCTTTATTATTTTGAGAGTATTGGTGCTTTGTTTGGGTGTATGTCTGTGGACCACTCCTGTGCACTGCCCTCAGAGGCCACAAGAGGCCAGAAGAGAGTCAGGTCTTTCAGAACTGGAGTTACAGATGGTTGGGAGCTGCCTTTTGGATGCTAGGAATTGAACCTAGATCTTCTAGAAGAACCGCAAGTGTGCTTAACCACTAAGACACATCTCTAGGCCCTTCAGTAATTTTTAAGTGTCCGCAGTGAGTGATTCAACCATCTTTTGGGATGGAGTGTGAGTCGGTGAGTTTAATTAGGGTTGCTTATAGGAGAATGGTTGAGAGATTATTTATAGGACTATGGGCAACTTAACCAGCGGCTACTTCACTGAAGAAAATGTCTCTACTCCCCCTATTAACCATCAACTCTATATAGGTATTCAGGATGGCTAGGTCCTTATGAGCCCCTATCCTACTCCATGATGGAATGTTGAAGACCCAATCATGTGCAGGTCTTAATGCTGGTAATCACAGATGCTATGAGTTCAAGGGAGCAATGGCCGTGTTATACCTAGAAGACAGCATCCTAGAATGCTCTTTCTCTGGCTCCTACACCCCTTCTGTTCCCATTTCCATGATGATTCCTGAGCCTTGGAAGGGTCATATAGATATCCCATTTGTGGCTGAGTGTGGTGATATATTGTTTATGATTTATTAAAGTCACTGGAGATCAAACTAACAAAGCAGTCAGACTAGTTAGCCATGGAAGTCAGGCACACACCTTTACTCCCAGGACTCAGGAGACAAAGGCAGATGGATCCTTCTGAGTTCAAGGCCATCCAGGGCTACATGAGACTGAATCATTCTAAAAGAGTAACAGCTCACACCTTTAATTCCAGCACTAGAGAGGTATAAAATATAGGAGCAGGGTCTTCAGTCGTAAGTCTCAGGCTTGGATTCGCCAGCCATGCTGAAGAGAGGCAGCAGTCTAAGACTTGGTGAGAGCTCATGGAGACAGGATCAGCCCTTTCAGCCTGAGTAGTGGTGAGAGGAACCGGCTTGGCTGCTTTGCTTCTCTGACTTTCAACTTGACGTTTGAACCCCAGTATCAGTGTCTGGATCTTTTATTTTTCATGTTACAGCTGAGCACTCAACACTCACTTGTTCTCAGCACTTTGACGAGTTATATGTCTCTGCAGTAATTGCCACTCACGGGTGTGTGTGTGTGTGTGTGTGTGTGTGTGTGTGTGTGTGTGTGTAAGCATTCCTGACCAAAGCTGAGAGCATCACTAATCTATGGGTGTGAATATTGACATTCACAGGTAGCTTGACAGACGCATTGTATCTATTTATCAGAATAACAACAATAGTTCCCTTACTGGGGCCGATGACATCCCCAGCCACAGGTTTTTGATCATGTTTATAGTTCCAGATGTGAACTGCCTGCTATGGCCTCAATCGGAAAGCAGCTGGTTGACTTCATAGTAGTTATGCCTCTGCTGCAGTGGCTGGCGGAATTTTCTCACAGCAGCCTACAGAGTGCCTTCGTGCTATGAAAACCTTAGCATGTTTCTGATGCTCTTTGCTGTCTCAGCCGGCAGCTTTTTTCTTTTTTATTGCCGAATAGTTGCCCACTGTATGGAGATTGCTATACTTTGCCTGTCTGTTCACAGTCCCTGACCATTTCTGCTCCTTCCAGAATTTGGCTCTGTGACTAGAGCTGGTATGGACATTTGCATAGTCTGTCTGTGTGGAAGCATTTATTCCTTTTGAGTAGGCACCAAGAACGGAATAAGTTCTCGAGAAACAGAGGGGCAGGGACTTGAAGGAACACAGGGAGAGACCTCATTGTGACCCTGAAGCTTTGTCTCTGTAACCTTCCAGGTAACCCTCACAGCCAGAACATCAGCAGCAAGCTCACCCACGACACCGTGGAGCAGGTCCGCTACAGGTGAGCCCCGGGGAGGCCTGCCCGAGACGACTATGAGGAGGATGGGCTTCCTAGTGGAAGCCTGTATCCCACACAACGTGTGAGGGGGGCGCAGAACGAAGTCTGGTAAAAGCAACATATGATTGACAGCAGCCAGGAAGTCAGAGGACAGGGGGCAAGTGTGTATGGGTGACAACCACAGAGGGCAAGAGTGTATAAGTACAGTAGAGATGGAGAAACCCCAGGCGGTGACCCTGAGCGGATGCTGGGGACAGGAGTGGCTCGGGTCCCCAGCTGTATCTTCGGAAAGATTCCTTTTCTGGTTTAGCTTTCTGTAGATTGCTTTATTAGACACTTTTGCTTATTCATGACCCCACTGTCGTTGTGAGACAGTGTGTCCGGTAGCTTGCCTCTGGTTCTCTTTTGTAGCAGTCCTGGCCATGGACTCCTGATCACCCTGCCCTCGCTTTCCTACAGCCAGAAATGCAGGTGTGCGCCGCTGTGTGCTGCTGAGCACTACTCCGGTGTTTTCACTAGTTCTCGCATGAGAGAGCGCCCTCTAATGGTTCCCCATGCGAGAGAACCCTTTTCTGATAAATGATCTCCACATGGCGTATGCTACTTAAACCAAGAAAATACAGGCTATTTCAAATTTGAAAGTGGTATCAGCTTTAGATCAGGGTGCCCATAGTAAAAGCAATGGAAAACAGGCTGCTGACTTCAAGCTCATTGTGATAGGGACTGGAGAGATGGCTCAGAGGTTAGGAGTGCTCACTACTCTTGCAGAGGACCTGGGTTTTGTTCCCAGCACCTAGCTATCTATAATGAATGCTTGGGGGATCTGATGCTTCCTGTCCTCCATGGGCACCCGGACTCACCTGGTGCGCTTACGTACACTCAGGCACACAATAGGAAAATAGTAAATGAATAAATATATTTTAAACATTCATTGTGGTAGAGTAAGAGGAGGTACAAAGATGAAGGTGTTTTCAAATAATGGATTGTTACAGATTTGAAACACTTTTAGATTTATCTGTTTATTTGGTGCTTTGTCCACGTGTGTATATTATGTTCATGCCTCATGCACACAGGGGTCAAAAGAGGGTGTTAGGACCCTGAACTGTAGTTACAGATGGTTGTAAGCTACCAGGTGGGTGCTGGGAATCAAACCCGGGTCTTCTTTAGAAGCAAGAAATGCTTCAGAATGTGGAGTCGTCTTTCCAGTCCCCTTATAGATTTAAATAAATGTAATTCATTTATTAAGAAGGTCTGGTCCTGGACCCGAGGGCTCTCTGGAGCTTACTATGCATGCTGGAGACTCCTTCCTTCCTTCCTTCCTTCCTTCCTTCCTTCCTTCCTTCCTTCCTTCCTTCCTTCCTTCCTCATTCCCTTCCTCCCACCCTCCCTCCCTCCCTCCCCCCCCTCTCTCTCTGAGACATGGTCTCGTGTTTCTGAACTCACTAGGTTGCTGAGGATGTCCTTGTCCATCTCCCTGCTTCCATGGCCTGCATTCTGGGATTGCAGGATACAGTGCCACCTTGGGTTTATGAAACACTTGGGACTGAACCCAGGGCTCTTGAGTTTTAGGCAAGTTTCTCCCTCAGCCCTATGCTGTGGGTTTCTGCTGTCTAGGCAGAGATGGGACTCCAGAGGCAAGAAGTTGAAACTGGATCTTTTCAAGAACCCAAGGCTCTCATTAGCCAAATGGAAAGTGCAAGGCCAGCCTATATAACACATGACTTCCTCTACTCCGCCTTGACTGCACAGCTGTGACTTAGTGTCCCTGAAGGTAGACCTAAAACAACTTGGAAAGGTTCTGCGCGGAGCAGAGACCCAGCTGTGACAGTCTGCTTCTTTCCAGGGTCCTGGCTCACTTTCATACCACCCCAGAGGATTACAGCGTGATCTTCACAGCTGGGAGCACAGCTGCTCTCAGGCTGGTGGCAGAGGCGTTTCCATGGGTATCCCAGGCCCCAGAGAGCAGCGGGAGTCACTTCTGTTACCTCACTGACAACCATACCTCTGTGGTGGGGATGAGGAAGTTGGCTGCGGCCATGAATGTCACATCCACCCCAGTCAAGCCAGAGGACATGTGGTCGGCGGAGGAAAGGGGTGCTGGAGTCTGTGACCCTGACTGTCAGCTGCCACACCTCTTCTGTTACCCAGCTCAGAGTAACTTTTCAGGCACCAGATACCCACTGTGCTGGATAGAGGAGGTCAAATCTGGGCAGAGGAGCCCCGTGAATGTGCCTGGGAGGTGGTTTGTGCTGCTGGATGCAGCCTCTTACGTCAGCACCTCCCCCTTGGACCTGTCAGCTCACCAGCCTGACTTTGTCCCCATCTCCTTCTATAAGATCTTTGGGCTTCCCACAGGCCTGGGTGCTCTGCTCGTCAGTAAGCACGCGGCGCCTCTGCTGAGGAAAGGCTACTTCGGAGGAGGGACTGCAGCTTCCTACCTTGCAGGAGAGGACTTCTACATCCCGCGGACATCGGTGGCAGAAAGGTAACCTTGCCGTGGTATGTCCTGGGTGTGACCTATGAGATTGTGCAAGCGGAACCCAGGTCTGGAACCCAGGTCAAGGGAGTTTGGTGTCACCGTAGGACAGTCCGGGCCGGGGCTCAGATCTGGGAGGCGGAGATCAGCGGGCGTGTGCCGTGGGTGGCTCTGTGAACTCTGCACTGTGTGCAGCTTCGCCACCCGGGGGGAGGATGGCCATTTCAGCTGGGTAGAGGTGCGATCTACTGGTCTGGCTGCTTTGCTTCTCTGATCTTCAGCTTGAAGCTTGAACCCCAATATCTGTCTGTGGGTCTTTTATTTTTCGTGTTACGCAGATTGGTGTCCACATTGCTCGGCAGCCGAGGGTGACCTTGAACTTTCCATCCTCCTGACCCCACCCTGGTCCTGTAGGTTTTGATAAAGCCGTGTTGGAGCCATCCAGCTTTTCCGCCTCATGTCGCATCTGCTTCCCCTGCCGCTGATCTGCCGGAGTCCTGCCCCTCCCGGGACTGTGCAGACTCCCTTTCTCTGTAGAATGCCGTTTCCCTTGGAAACTCAGGTCGACACCTCTCCCTCTGACTTCTACTTAGCCTCCACTTAAGCCTTCACTGGAGAGGACTCAGTGTGGCCACACCTCTCTGTGTTTGCTCTTATCTGTCCTGTGACAGCTGCTTGTTTTCTCTGCCTGTGTTTGCTGAGCCTTGTTTGATGTTTTATAGACCACGATGCTGTGGGGAGAGGAACTTGCTTGTCAGTGCAGTGCTGTGTGCTTAGCTCCTGGAAGAGCGCCTGAGGCACAGTGAACCCTCAGAGATGAGTTTATGAAATGTGGATGAAGTTAGTGATTATGAGAAGTAAACATGGCGAACATTTTGCCAATAAAGACGTAAAGAAGGTTAACGCCTTTGATAGCAATGAGATTGCCTTATTTAACCCAGCCTGTGCTTCTGCACATTTTGGAATAGAGACTCCTTTGTCAAGAGCCTCACAGGGGGTTCCCCTGACTTGATGCCCTGTCCGTGGTGCCCTCTTGTGGCCAGAGTACAGTATTTCAAGAGTTTGCGGCTAATTTTGTCCAAATTTCCTCCTGAGATTGGCAAAGTGCATCTCATTCATGTTTCAAGGCAGTGACCGTGTCCTGTGTCTCACTGCAGCCCAAGTCTGAATACTTTGAAAGGCAGCCAGGTGGGTCTTGGCATGCAAAGACCCTCTCATGGTAGGGAAAGCCGGTTTTCTTTTCTTTCTCTTTTACTTTTTCTTTCTGTTTTTCTTTTTTTGTTTTTTTGAGACAGGGTTTCTCTGTGCAGCTCTGTCCTGGAACTCACTTTGTAGATCAGGCTGGCCTGGAACTCACAGAGATCCGCCTGTCTCTGCCTCCTGAGTGCTGGGATTAAAGGCGTGTGCTGCTGGTGACAGCCGGGTTATAAGGCCACAGAAGGGAGCTCTTCACAGACCATCGCTCAGCCTGTGCCTGACAGCCCTCACCCAGCACAGGATGCGTGTGGATTGTGTGGTACCTTGTTCCCTACAGGTTTGAAGACGGCACCATCTCGTTCCTTGATATAATCGCATTGAAACATGGGTTTGATGCATTGGAGCACCTCACAGGTCAGTGGACATATTTGCCCCAATGGACATAGCTTTGTTGCCTGCATCATTGAGGGACCCCAGGTACAGGTGTGGTGCTGGTGAAGGGGACAATGTCTGTGGAAAAGAGCAGCATTCGCTAAGTAGCTGGAGTCTCCATGCAGTGAGGTCAGATTCTCAATGTCTTCAGGGCACTCGGGAGGGCTTGGGAGGGTTGGTTTTCATTCTCCAGACACAGCCACATTTTAACAGAGGTCATTCCAGAGCCGAAGACTAATAGCTGTGCATGGTGGAGGCAGGGTCCTGGGTCCCTGAGATCTTGTTGGTTCTTGGCCACCTGAATTCTCTCTACAGTCCCACAGGTGAGCTGCTGACAAACCCATGTTGCTCAGCAAAGGAGAGGGTGCCAGACAAGCGCGTTAGTCGGGGTTCTCCAGAATAGCAGAACTTACAGGATGAATCCCTCTGTCTACATAGAAAGGCGGGTGTATTAGAATATCTTGCAGGCTGCAGCGGTCTTTTTCCATGGGTTCCAGGCATCAGATTCAGACCAGCAAGCCCGTGTGTGCTCAGCAAGTGCTGTTACCCATTGGGCCATCCTGATTCTCCTCACGTCTTACAGGGGTCACCACTGGTCATATCCAAAACATTTTCATCATTTCAAACTGAAGCACTACTCATTAAACAGTATCTCCTCATTTCCTTCTCTCCCATCCCTGGTGACCTCTAATCTATTTTCTGTCTGAATGAACTTGCCTGTTCCAGACATTGTTTTTAAAATATAAAAGGCATGATAATACAGTATCATCATTTACTCTGCTTAGCATGTTTTCATCCATTTGGCAGCAGGTAGCCTTAATCGCTGTGCATTATGTTAAAAAATTAACCACTAAGAACAAAAAAGTAATTTAACCATTAAGGGCAAAAATGATAAAAATATTACACATTTTTTTTGCCACTGACTAACAAAGGGTCTAAATAACTGAATGTTGCTTAAGTAACTATATGTAACTACAAATATATATGTATATGACTATGTCTACATGCATGTATGTCTACAATGCATATAATTATGTATTTAAAAATGTTGCAAGAATTCCTCAGGAAATATTCCATAAAACAACAAAGATAAACTTATCCAGTGCCAACTTTGGAGCTGAAGAGATGGCTCAGTGGTTAAGAGTACTGGCTTCTCTTCCAGAGGACCCAGGTTCAATTCCAAGCACCCAGCTTACAATTGTCTATAGTTTCAATTCTAGGAAATCACACTCCCTCTTTTGGCTTTTGCAGGTACTACACATGCGGTACACAGACAAAACAAAATAAAATACTAAAAATACGCCAACTTTGTCATAAGGGCAGCTAGAGTTAAGTCATTAGTTGGAGATCTGGGTTGACCAGTTGTAATAAGCATGTCTTAGACAGGAGTGAGCGACTTGTGTGTGAAATCCGTGTCTCTATGTTTTTGCCCCTAGGTGGCATGGAGAACATACAGCGGCACACCTTTGCTCTGGCACAGTACACCCACTCTGCCCTGTCTGCCCTCTGCTACCCCAATGGAGCCCCCGTGGTGCGGATTTACAGTGATTCCGAGTTCAGCGGTCCTGATGTCCAGGGCCCAATCATCAATTTCAATGTGCTGGATGATGGTGGGAGCATCATTGGCTACTCCCAGGTGGGACTTTGATTCATCAGGCTGACCTTGCACTCACAGTAATCCTCCTGTGTCTGCCTCCCCACTGCTGGAATTACAAGTGTTAGCCACTAACCCTGGCTCAAGTCATGAGGTCCAACTCTTCCTATATTTATCATACTGGCCCATTTATGCCAGAATTATTCTAACTTGGTAGCTTTTCTGACTCTTGAAATCCCCTTAGAAGTCCACAGAAGGAGCTGTGAGAAAGCCCAGGCTCTGTGGGAGAGCCCCACTCGAAGGCACTTGCTGTCTGTCTGTTTTTTACAGTCTCTTGTAGCCAAGGTTGGTGTAGAACTCACTGTACAGCCATGGATAACCTGGAACTCGATCTTCCTGCCTCCTCGTCCTGAGTGTGGGCATTAAATCAGCTCAGCGATTTTACAGCTCTCACAGATACACAGTTCTGCTCAGGCTGGGCTGTGTGTGTCTTTAGCCTCCTTCACTTAGGTAGAGAGAAAAGCAGTGTGGTCAGGACACCTTATGTAGCCCAGCAATACATCACATCACATCACAGCATCATGAGGTGAAGCCCAGGACCCCCTCCTCCTTACTTATTTAGTTTTTAAAAATAAGCATCAGCAGTATCTACCCAGCTTCGAAGAAGTCCTTATTTCTGCCTTCATCTATGCGTGTGATGACTCCTAAGAATTTGTGGGCTGGTTAAGAGCAGTTCCCGTGGAACACCCTCTGCAGGGAAACTGCGTTGCAGGTAGGAAGGTCTAGAGACGGAACAGACTCAGCAAACAGTTAAAGCTGGGAGATGCTGCTCATCCCCGCTGAACGACCTGGAACATGTGAATCTTCTTCATACTGCAAGCAAAATCTATTTCCTAGCTGTGCGCTCTGGAAGCTGAGGACTGGAGAATGAATGCTTGAGCCCAGTTTAGGACCCATCAGTGCACACCCCACAGCCTCCAGGGGGCAGCAGAGAATCATAGCACCTGGACTGAACCTGAAGTTGGAGAAATTAGAAAACGGACATAGATGCCGTATAACATCCATGTGATGCTCGTGACACAGGCTGTGAGCCCAGAACAGCACCTCACTGGGGCCTGCTCTGTGGTCAGACCCTGTGGTGGTCAGGTGAAGGAGCTGACAGTGACCCCAGCCCCATTCGCTGTTGTTCTGAGACTCACTGGGAACACACAGGCTCACGACTTCCACTTTGGACTGGACTTGGTGTTTTCTCAAGCACACTTCTGTCATCCAGTTGGATACCCCAACTTCTAGGACACTTTATAAGATGCTGACTAGACCCGCAGATTCTTCCGTCAGTTCCTTTTCTCGTCATGGAGATAAAATACCTGACTAAAACCGTCTCAGGGAGGGCGCTGTTCTCACGTGCAGAATAAGTGATATGGCCCATCGCCGAGACAGAGGAATGGTGGCCCACAAATTCCTCAGTGAGGCCCCACCTACCCAGTGGGCCCACAACTTCCCAGAACACCTCCGACAGCTGGGGACCAAGTCTTTAAGCACAGGAGCCCCTGGTGGCATTCATACACCTTTAACACAACAGCCATGAAATTTAGAGCCAGGTACAGACTCAGATCACCCAGCCTCTCTTTGTCAGGAAAGAGAGGTTCAAAGCCCTTCAGGATTCTGTTCCGGGGAATCGCAGCAAAACTAGACACTTCTGACACTGACCCCGTGTCCCCTTTATCCCCAGGTTGACAAAATGGCCAGCCTGTACAACATCCACCTGAGGACGGGCTGCTTCTGTAATCTGGGGGCCTGCCAGAGGCACCTGGGACTAAGTGACGAGATGGTTAAGAAACATTTTCAGGTTGGTACGAGAGCCTGGAGCCCACACAGACCGTGTGGTGACTGGTCACTGAGGCTGGTGGAGGCTGCTTCTCCAGGCTCACCTTGCCAGGCCCACCCCATGGATGGACCAAAGAGGAAAGGAGTGATGAAATAGAAAGTACTTGAAGTTATTAGCTCGGTGGAAGTTATAAGCTCTTTGAGGGTAATTTTAAAAACTACCCTGTGTGTGTGTGTGTGTGTGTGTGTGTGTGTGTGATGTGCTACAGCATGTGTGTGGAAGTCATCGGGGAGTGGGGGTGCGGCGGAGAGAGATCCCCCCCCCCGGGGGGCTGGGGCGGAGCATCGGGGAGTGGGGGTGTGGTGGAGCAGAGATGCTCACTGGTGGCTGACTGGGCGGTAGAAAGTGTGTAACAAGAAAGGACTCAGTGCCGGGCGGTGGTGGTGCACACCTTTAATCCCAGCACTTGGGAGGCAGAGGCAGGCGGATCTCTGTGAGTTCGAGGCCAGCGTGGTCTACAAGAGCTAGTTCCAGGACAGCCTCCAAAGCCACAGAGAGACGCTGGCTCGAAAAACCAAAAAAAATAAAATAAAAATAAAAATAAAGAAAGGACTCAGGTTTGTCGTGGTGACCTGCTTCCTCTACCTGGGGGCACCTGTCAGGGTTTCCACAACCTCCCAGAATAGTGCCACCAGCTGGGGACCTAGTTTCCAACCATGGCAAATGGCAAAGAGTCCGTGGCGTTGTATAGTAGTTGCTACCTTGAGTTTCTTTTTCTTGCCACCGAATATGCTGCATGTGCTAGGTCCCAGTTAACTGTTGTTGTTGTTGTTGTTATTATTATTATTATTATTATGTGTGTATGCACGATATATGTGCGGGCACATGCAGCACACTATGCACGCGGAGGTTGGAGAACAACGTTTTACAGTTGGTTCTTTCCTTCCATCTTTGCGTAGATTCCAGGGTTCAAACTCAGGTCACCAGGATTGTGTGGCAAGTGTTCCTAATCACTGAACCATCTTGCTCCAGCCTCTGAATTAGATTTCATTTTGAAAAAGAGGATGGGCCTACCAGGGGATGCAACCCTTAGTAGGTCGAATATAGTCCAGTGGAGTCGTATATCTAAGAGTAAATTGTACTTGTTTTTTCTTTTAAAGGGGGGACCCAAAGTTAGTTGGGTAGGGAAGGGGGTGGATCTGAGAGGAGTTAGGGGAAGGGTGCGATTATGATTAATATATACTACAAGACATTCTCAAAGAACTAATCAAAATGAGAAAAAGTGATCTCCACCCGAGAGAGAAAGGTAGAGGGAGGGGGAGGGGAAGAGGAAGAGGGGGAGAGAGGGAGGAGGGGAGATGGAGGAGGGGAGAGAGGAGGCAGAAGAGATGTACAGAACTCAACGGCTTGCAGCTCTGGCCATGGCTCTGGGTGGTGACATCTCTGTGGGTGACCTGCCTGTCCTAGGTGTCCCGAGCATCTAATGTACCTGCTTCCCAGGACCAACATGTGGCTGCTGGGTTTGGAGGTGGAGTGCCTCCGCCTTCCCATCCTGGTAGGGGCGGTTGAGTTCACCTGGGCCTTCAAGGGGCCATGGGCTGGCACGGCCGCCTCTCTCCTGTCCAAGGGCCTGCTGCCAGGGTGCCAGCCTCCCTTTGATACTTAGAGGGGCTGTCGGGAGTGGCCAGTGGGTGTTGTGCCTCACCCTGGGAAGGCTGAGAGGAAGAGAGGCTGAGAGGAAGAGCCTCCGGTGCTTCGGAAGCTTTGTCTGTGGAGCCCTTGGGTAAATGTTCCCCATGAAGCATTGCCTTTAATCTCTCTGAAGTCCCTCACATTGGCATCTGCTCCGAGTCACAGCTGAGTGAGGTGAGGCCAGGCAGTGTGTCCCCATGTCCGCAGAGTAGGAATGGTTTCTCAGGCACCCAGCCTTCCTGAGTTTATTTTAAAATAAACAAAATTCGTTTTTATGATATTTTTCCAATTTATCCATGAAGCATGAGTTTCCCTGGCCGACTGACCATCTGGCTAATTCTAGGCTGGCCATGTCTGTGGAGATGATGTCGACATCATAGACGGACGGCCCACAGGCTCTGTGAGGGTTTCCTTTGGATACATGTCCACACTAGAAGATGCCCAGGCCTTCCTGAGGTTCATCAGTGCCATCTGCCTTCGTTCACCCGGTGACCTGCCTGTTCCTCATGCCAACGCCAGCGATGCTGGAGGTTTACCCTCAGAGAGGGACTGCCACTCACCTCAGGAAGGTTCCTGCACAGACCCTGCAGTTCCTAGTGACTCCCATCCTGGCGCAAATACCGTGGACTTGCGCCTGTCTCTGAGCGAAGGCAGCAGCATCCAGCGGACCCTTCCAGAGAAAGCTGCAGGTATCCCGAATGGGGAGCTCGGGCCCCACACTGTCACCAACATTTACCTCTACCCCATCAAATCCTGTGCTGCGTTTGAGGTAAGGGCTTTTCAGAAGTGGCTGCCTTGCTCTTTCCTTGAGCGCCGTTTCTCCCCTCCACACTTTTTTGAGGCGTGTATAGCACTTTTTGAGGCGTGTATAGCACTTTTGAGGGGTGTATAGCACTTTTTGAGGGGGTGTATAGCACTTTTTGAGGTGGTGTATAGCACTTTTTGAGGTGGTGTATAGCACTTTTTGAGGCGTGTATAGCACTTTTTGAGGCGTGTATAGCACTTTTTGAGGGGTATATAGCACTTTTTGAGGCGTGTATAGCACTTTTTGAGGGGTGTATAGCACTTTTTGAGGTGGTGTATAGCACTTTTTGAGGTGGTGTATAGCACTTTTTGAGGCATGTGTAGCACTTTTGAGACGTGTATAGCACTTTTTGAGGTGGTGTATAGCACTTTTTGAGGCGTGTATAACACTTTTTGAGGCGTGTATAGCACTTTTTGAGGGGTGTATAGCACTTTTTGAGGTGGTGTATAGCACTTTTTGAGGTGGTGTATAGCACTTTTTGAGACGTGTATAGCACTTTTTGAGGCATGTATAGCACTTTTTGAGGTGGTGTATAACACTTTTTGAGGTGGTGTATAGCACTTTTTGAGGTGGTGTATAGCACTTTTTGAGGTGGTGTATAGCACTTTTTGAGGGGTGTATAGCACTTTTTGAGGTGGTGTATAGCACTTTTTGAGGTGGTGTATAGCACTTTTTGAGGTGGTGTATAGCACTTTTTGAGGCATGTGTAGCACTTTTGAGACGTGTATAGCACTTTTTGAGGCGTGTATAGCACTTTTTGAGGCGTGTATAGCACTTTTTGAGGGGTGTATAGCACTTTTTGAGGTGGTGTATAGCACTTTTTGAGGCGTGTATAGCACTTTTTGAGGTGGTGTATAGCACTTTTTGAGGCGTGTATAGCACTTTTTGAGGCGTGTATAGCACTTTTTGAGGCGTGTATAGCACTTTTTGAGGGGTGCATAGCACTTTTTGAGGGTTGTATAGCACTTTTTGAGGCGTGTATAGCACTTTTTGAGGCATGTATAGCACTTTTGAGGGGTGTATAGCACTTTTTGAGGGGGTGTATAGCACTTTTTGAGGTGGTGTATAGCACTTTTTGAGGCGTGTATAGCACTTTTTGAGACGTGTATAGCACTTTTTGAGGCGCGTATAGCACTTTTTGAGGCGTGTATAGCACTTTTTGAGGTGTGTATAGCACTTTTTGAGGGGTGTATAGCACTTTTTGAGGCGTGTATAGCACTTTTTGAGGTGGTGTATAGTACTTTTTGAGGGGTGTATAGTACTTTTTGAGGGGTGTATAGCACTTTTTGAGGCGTGTATAGCACTTTTTGAGGGGTGTATAGCACTTTTTGAGGGGTGTATAGTACTTTTTGAGGGGTGTATAGCACTTTTTGAGGGGTGTATAGCACTTTTTGAGGGGTGTATAGTACTTTTTGAGGCATGTGTAGCACTTTTTGAGGTGGTGTATAGCACTTTTTGAGGCATGTGTAGCACTTTTGGGACGTGTATAGCACTTTTTGAGGCGTGTATAGCACTTTTTGAGGGGGTGTATAGCACTTTTTGAGGCATGTATAGCACTTTTTGAGGCGTGTATAGCACTTTTGAGGCGTGTATAGCACTTTCTGAGGGGTGTATAGCACTTTCCCTCCCCTTTTTGACAAGAGGTGAAAGACCATGTGGAAAGTGAAGAAAGCAGGCAGACCTCAGCAGTCCGTGTGCTGTCGTTGGAAGAACCCTTTTCCTTCTGCCTCTCTTGACAGGAATGCTTACAGGGTTTGCCCCGTTTCTGTGGGCATATGGTACATGCATGTATGGAAGTGTGTTCGTGTGGAGGGCAGAGACGGCGATGTTGGTGTCACTCCCTGGGTGCCTCCACCTTGGTTTCTGAGACTGAGCCTCTCACTAGCCTGGGTCTCTCAGAGCAGGCTCAATGGCTGCCCAGCTGGACTCGGTCATTTCCTGTCTTCATCTCCACGGTGCTGGCGTTACAAGACCATGCCACCACGCCTCGCGTTTTTACCTAACGTTTTCCTGGGGACCTAACTCAGCTGGATTGCACAGCAAACACTTCATCTCCCCAGCCTAGGCCTAACTGCCTCTGACTGCAGCTGGGTGGCTGTACTGACTCTTTCTGAAGCTCTTGACAGGTCTTGTTTTATTTGACCCAGAAAACCGTAACATGAGAGGTACAGTAACATTATCCCTCGGTCATCACCGTGGAGCCTGAGGTTAGACACCTTGTTTAGCTCACCTGCAAGAACTTGTATTTGGGTCTTCTGATCCAGGTTCACTCTCTCCAGTGATCTCTCTGTCCGGTCTTCCCTGTGGAAATAAACTGCAGTGGGTCATTTTGACCCATGGATTTTATATCAGTGGAGTCAACCAACGGTGACTCCCAAATATTAGGAAAAACTGCAGTCGTAATGATACTCCCTGAGCAACATGACAACTGTTCACAACAATTGTGCCAGGTCACACAGGTAACTTAGAGATGGAACATTTTACAGGGAATGTGCATAGGTTACATGCAAACGTAAGAAGGATTTGAACATCTACAGACCTGGGTGTTTTAGGGGAACCTGGAGGTAATCTATTGCAGATACTGAATTCTGTCATACATCTATAAACATGCTGTTATGGTGATCCTTGCATTGGGGCACAGATGGCTTGCCTTGGCTAGCAGCCTGCCTTAGTTACCTTAAAGATGGTCTTCCTTGTTGTGGCCAACCTGAGGCTGCAAAGATCCTAGACTCATGAGTCTCTGGGATAGCCCAGTCTGTAGATGACACAGTCTCTGGGATAGCCCAGTCTGTAGATGACACAGTCTCTGGGATAGCCCAGTCTGTGGATGACAGAGTCTCTGGGATAGTCCAGTCTGTGGATGGCAGAGTCTCTGGGATGGCCCAGTCTGTAGATGACACAGTTTATGGATGACCTAGTCTCTGGGACGACACAGTCTGGGATGTCAGAGTCCATGGATGATGCAGTCTCTGGGACGACACAGTCTCTGGCTCCTCCTAAGACATACAGAGATCAAGGCTGTTTATTGGCCTGCTCTCCATGGTGGTTCCATGGGAGCCTGGATGTAAAATGTCCCTCACAGGCTCATGTGTTTGAACATTTGTCCCCACCCGGTGACACTGTCTTAGGACACTGTAGGATCCTGGGAGGCAGACGCAAGCTGGAGGAAGCGGGTCTTGAGATCTTCGGCTCAGCCCTGTTTCTGTCCTCGCACTGCTCCCTGGTCTGTGGAGACGTGAGTGAGCAGCCTCAGACGGCTGCCGCCACCACGCCTTCCCCACCACGACGGGCTGTGCCCTCAAACCATGAGCCAAAGCAAGCTATTCCTCCTATAAGTCGCTTCCTGTCAGGGGTCTGGTCACAACAAGGAGACTAATGCACACAGTGGGCGGCACACGGACTCCTTCAAGCAGGGCTCCGCCTTCCGTTCTGTTTTTACAGACCGGCTGTGTTCGTAGGTCAAGCACAGGGGACACGACAGGACTCTGAGGCTTGGGAAGGGTTGGTTTTTCCCTCAATCCATTCTCCAAGGAGCCGCAGTCCTTTTGGTTGTGAATGGCATTGGAACACAAGATCTGGGCACGTCGATGTGCTTTGTATTTAAATTCCATACAAATAGGAACATTGCCAGCGGGTTTGCTGGCTGATTTTTGTTACCAGCTTGATGAGACCGAGAGTCACTTGGGGAGGGGAAACTTCAGTGAGGAGTTGTCTAGATGGGGTTGGCCTCAGTGCATGTCTGTGGAGTGTTTCTTCATTGTTAATTGGGGGGCGCGGTCCACTGCTCCACGGACAGCGCCCCGCACTGTGCGAGAGGGGAGAAAGCTGGCGGAACTGTTATAGCAGGGAGCGAGAAAGCAGCCTGGGTGCGTTTATTTCTCTCTGCTCTGACCGGGTGTGACACAATCCCCGGAACCCCTGCCTCTGTGACTTCCCAGCAACGATGGGCTGTGACTTACAATCATAAGCCAAGCAAACCCTCTCCTCCGCAGTTACTTTTGTCCAGGGTATTTGTCACAGCAACTGAAATGAGGACAATTGAAACATTTGAAGTGGGCCAGTTCGGTGGCCATTTCGGTCTAGTCACATGTCTGTAGTGTCAGGAGACACCTGGACTAGTGTCCACTGCAGTGCAAGGCTATAGAGAAGTCCTGTTCGGTGAACGCCTGTAGGGAGGGATGCCAGCCTCGGGGTAAGACAGAGCATTGCTGCTGTGGATCCTACACTCCGAAGGTTTCGCATGCACATGTGTTCTCGGTCAGTGGAGAAGGGCGGAGACTGGTCCTGGAGACTGAAGGGAAGGTCTGTCACCCCCACAACTCCTCCTTTGCAAAGCTCTCTCTGGGATGTGTTTTTCTCCTCTCACCCTTCAAGAGTGTGCTCTGAATTCACGAGAGCCATCTGCGTTTGGGTAATGCTGTGAAAGCCTTGCTTTGAGGAGCCCTGGCCTACACGCTTTTCTTCTGTTTAGGTGACCAGGTGGCCCGTGGGGAGCAAAGGGCTCCTGTATGACCGGGGCTGGATGGTTGTGAATCACAACGGCATTTGCCTGAGTCAGAAGCAGGAGCCCCGGCTCTGCCTGATCCAGCCCTTCATCGACCTGCAGCAGAGGACCATGGTCATCAAAGCCAAAGGTGGGAAAGGGGTTTGTTTCCACAGAGACCACTGGGGACAGCTCTCATTCTCAGGTAAAAACTAGACCAGACCAGACCAGACCAGAACAGACCAGACCAGACCAGACCAGACCAGACCAGACCAGACCAGGCCAAGCCAAGCCAAGCCAAACAGATTGATGTCTCTCTTCTACCAAATGTGAACATTATTTTCAAGCAAATGAAATGATGTCCAGGAGAGACAAGAAAAAGGTTGTGTTCTTTCTGTTTTGGGAAACTTGTCAGAAGTAAGGGGATACAAGCCTAGCATCTTAGGTCTCTCGACATCTGCATTTCTTCTTTTACCCACAATGCTTTGTATTTTAGGCTTCGGTTCTTCCCTCTTGACTTTCCTTGTGAGCCACCCACTCATAGGAGAGTGCGGCCACTTCTGTCTGGTGCACTTTCCGTGATGATGGCAGTGTTCAGCATCCACACTGTGTAGTTTGGCAGCCGCTGGTCACATGTGGCCATGTATTCCTCAAAATGTGGTCAGAAGACACCAGCACTGAATTTCAAAACTTACGATATTCTAATCCATCTAAATAGCTACACGTGGCTTATGGCAAAAAGTGTTTGCCACCATACAGGTAGAAAACAATGTAACTCACAACTCTGCCATTCAGTTATAATACATTTTAACATTTGGCTTAGTTCCTTTTTTTTTTTCCAAATTTGTTTTATGTGCATTAGTGTTTTCCCATGGATTTCAGGTCCCCTGGAACTGGAGTTACAGACAGTTGCGAGCTGCCATGTGGGTGCTGGGAGCTGAATCCAGGTCCTCTGGAAAACAGTTAGTGCCCCTAACCATTTCTCCAGCCCCTGGCTTAGTTTCTTAAGATTCTCTCTTCCTATATGTCTTGGGTGTGTGTCTGTGAGTTTGTGTGTCCATGTGGTATGGCATGTCTGTGGACGTCACAGACCACTTTTAGGGAGTCAGTGTGTCCATGTGGTATGGCATGTCTGTGGACGTCACAGACCACTTTTAGGGAGTCGGTTCTCTTCCCACTGTTTTTGAGACAAGGCGTCTCCTGTTTCTGTTGCTGTGTTGTGCACTCCAGGCTAGCTGGCCTCGAGCTTCTGATTCTCCTGTCTGTTCTTCCCGTCTCATTGTCAGTGTGCTGAGATTACAGATGCACGACACCTCTCTAGCTTGTCACGTGTGTTCTCGGGATCCAACTCAGGTCATTAGACCTGCGTTTTAGGCACTTTCACCCTCTGAGTCAATGGGCAATGATGATGACCATTCCATCTATCTGTCTGTCTGTCTATCTATCTATCTGCATATATATACACATACATACATACATATATATATATATATATATTCCTGACTTTCATCTTACCCTTTCCCACCGATAGAACATCATGACTTTCCACCCAACCATGACTGAGCTTCCATGATGTTCTACATTCATGTCTTCTGGACTTTGTTTCTTGCCTGTGCTTTTTCTGGTTCTGTGGTTGAGTTTTCCTTAAACCAATAGGTCAATACTTTAGAGTTCCAAAGGGAATTCTGATATTGACCCTTTGTGCCACTGTCTGAATTTTAGCTCTTGTACATATTTGGGCAATCACCCTCATAGCACAAGTACAGAAGAGCCCATCCTAGGAGAAGTTCATGGTGCTACCCCTGTGTGGTTTCTGTTTCCCCAATCTTAATGTCTGGTGGTCAGAGAGACTGTGGGATCAAGGTCACTGTGTGGTATGTAAACTTTAGAAACAGCTTCTTTCACTTAGCAAGTTAGTGTTGAGATCCACCCAAACCCTGCTTGTAACACTACATGTCACTGCATGTTACTGAGCAGTGTGTCTGAGTGTGGATGTAATAAAGTACATTTGTCTACTTGTTCACTGAAGGGTCTGAGTTATTGCTGATTTTGGGCAATTTTAAGTTTTAATATCTGTTTATTCATTTAAGTTTTTTTTGTTTGTTTTTTTGAGATAGGATTTCTCAGTATTGTTTTGGAGGCTGTCCTGGAACTCGTCTGTAGGCCAGGCTGGCCTTGAACTCAGAGATCTGCCTGCTTCTGCCTCCCAAGTGCTGAGATTAGAGGCGTGTGCCACCAATGCCCGGCTCATTTAGCATTTTTGAATAAAAGAATGACATTTAAAAAGCAAGTCTCGCCAGGTGGTGGTGGTGGTGCAAACCCTTAATGCCAGCATTGGGGAAGCAAAGACAGGTGGATCTCTGAACAGGGGGAGTTCCAGGACAGCTAGGGCTACACAAAGAAACCCTGTCTTGAAAAACCAAAAACCTAACAAATAAAAACCAAGTCTGTCTGGCTTGAGCCTCATGATTCCCAGTGTCTTGGGATGCACCTTCCCAGTCTCTCCAGTTACATCTTGGCTTCTTTTTTTTTTTTTTTTTTTTTGGTTTTTCGAGACAGGGTTTCTCTGTGGTTTTGGAGGCTGTCCTGGAACTAGCTCTGTAGACCAGGCTGGTCTTGAACTCACAGAGATCCGCCTGCCTCTGCCTCCCAAGTGCACATCTTGGCTTCTATAAGACATAGCATGCCAGTATCCTGGCCAGGTTTGCAGCTACCAGTGGACTGAAAAGCCCTGAGGGTCTGGATGGTCTCAGAGAGTCCTCCCCATTCTGCCATGGAAGAGCTTCCTGGAGCTGGAACTCCCCTCTGTCCCACTGAGGCACCTTCATAGCACAGGGTAGACCACAGTGGGTCCCGTTAGGAGTGGTTCCCCTGTCTCTTCTCAAGGGACTCCTGTGCTGGTTCGTCATCCTGTTCTCTGTCTCAGACTCAGAGGTCCACACAAGTGGTCTTGGAGGATACGTGACACAAATATGCTTAGTTCTCATCGCCTGCTAGTGTGACGTATTGTGTTAGTAGATTTTCTTGTGCTGAATTATCGTTGATGCCTTGAAGAAAAAAATGCTATGTGGCAATATGTTTTAATACTTTGCTGGCTTTGACTAGATAGTATCATGTTGATCTTTTGAAAATTAGTGATGTTGAAGTATAGCCTGTTATTACTGTACACTTTTTGTTCAAATTTATGTACCTAGGATACTAATATGCTATTATTTAACCAATTGCAAGTGCATGTTAGTCCTTTATATGTGTGGTGTATTTAACAACTGAAAGACACTGGAATTCCTTTCCAATCCCATAAATGCAGCTTTTTAGAGCAATAATGATTGTTGATGCCTGAATCTAATCTGACTCTGGAAATGTATACTCTCTACCAGTATCTTCACAGTATCATCCTGTCCATTTCTCCCATCCGAGTGCCAAGCAGGCCTGACCCTGCTGAGCTTCTGAGACCAGATGAGATCAGATGCATTTGGGGTGGTGTGGTCTCACACTGGCTGTCTGTCTCTAGACGCTTTAAGGTAGCTTAGAGAACAATGACTTCAGAAGGCGGCGACACACAGAGCAGAGAAATCTATCAAAGCAGTTTGTAGAGGGTCCTGGGGACTGTGGGTGTGGTGGCCCAGGGCTGCTGTTCCAGCAGGAAGCTCCTGAAAGCACACACTGTAAAGCCCATGGTGAGGAAGAGAAATCTGTGCTACCAGTTTCTGAGAGCTGGCGGTGTGTTTCCTCGTCTAGCCAAATGCCAGCGTCAGCCATTACAATTGGTGTGTTTCCTCGTCTAGCCAAATGCCAGCGTCCGTCATTACAATTGGTGTGTTTCCTCGTCTAGCCAAATGCCAGCGTCGGTCATTAAAATTGGTGTGTTTCCTCGTCTAGCCAAATGCCAGCGCCACTAAACTGATGTGTCTCGTGGCCCTGAGCATTCGCTCGCACAGCCGCGGCTCCTGCGTGGTGCTCAATGCGCTTCTGCTTGCTCACTAGGGATGGAGCCTATAGCGGTGCCTCTTGAGGAAGACGATGAGCCAGCTCAGATTTGCCAGAGCAGAGTGTGTGCCGACAGGTGAGGCCCCGGGGCAGGTGACACGCGCGGCTCCGTGCGCACAGTGGCCGGGGGAGCAGGCCGCTGTGCCCTGGATCTCCTTATACTTCCCGGCTGTCTGCCTCGCACCCACCGCAGACACACTGGCTTCCTGGTCTCCTTCACACCTAACCATGTCAAGTCTGTCTTTGCTCTTCTCTCTGCCTGCCATGCCCGTCTCCTAAGTCTCATTCCCCGCCTCCACGAGTCTCACTCACAGCAGGAAAGTTTGGGCTCTAGAGCATTGCAAGATAAATATGACCTACACCTAAGAACATGGAATAACAATTTTTCCAATCGCGGGAAACCTGACCAAGCTAATACCAACCTACCTTCTTCCTCAATAAGATACTCAAGTATAGACAGTTCACTAGAGACTTCTGTATAGTAAGCAGGAGCCCAGGAGACAACTAGGTCAACAAAGTGCTTGCCACTCAAACACGAGGAATAAGCTGGGTGTAATGTTATAGCCTTGTAGTCCCAGCACGGGGAGGGAGGAGGCAGGTGATCCCTGGCATTTGCTGACCAGCCAGTCCCAGGTTCCAGGAGAGACTCTGTTACAAAAACATGGGCTGGAGGATGGCTCAGTGGTTAAGAACACTTGCTGTTCTCAGAGGACCCACACGATGGTTTCCAACCATGTAGCTGTAACAGCTCCTGTCCCAGGTGATCTGACATCTCTGAGTTCAGCAGACACAAGGCATACAGGTGGTGCACATACATGCACACAGGCAAACGCTGGGGTTCATAAAGTAAAAATGAATAAATCTTAAAAAGAGGCATAGAGTGAACAGATTGAAGTTTTTAAAGAAATAAAGCTGGATGGCTCCTGAGGAATGATACCCAAGTTGGACCTCTGGCCTCCATACAGACACATACATACTCATATACCTACACACATGTGTGCGCCCCACATGCAAACATGCATACCCACCTCCCATCCCCCACCCATAACTTCATACTGTTAGTTATTGCAAACCTCTGATGGGGAGAAATACAGGTGTGCTCAGTAGATGGTGACACCACATGGATACAAGTGTGTTTCCTCTGCAGTGGGAATTTAGTCACCCGAGTCATGATGGGATTTGCTACAGCTACATCCAAGCTGATCCCAGATGACTGTGCCAGTTACTTTTCCAGCGCTGTGACCAAATAGTGGGGAGCCGTTTATTTCGGCTCTCTGTGACCAAATAGTGGGGAGCCGTTTATTTCGACTCTCGGTGTGAGGGTCTGGTCCCTCAGGGTTGGGAAGGAATGGTGTCAGACATGGCTGCTGGCAGTGGCAGCCGGAGTTCAAGGGAGCTCAGTCACATCTTGACAGGTAGAATCAGAGAAAGGGGAAAGTAGCTGTTGCATATTTTCTCCCATCTCCCTTTACTTCCAGGGACACCAGACAGTCAGGGTGTGTCTTCCTTCACTCGATGATCTCTCTGGAAACACCCTCACAGGCATGCCTAGAGAGGTGACTCATTAATGCTCCAGCGCTCTTATTCCCATCAACGTGCTAGTCAGAGGTAGCCACGGAGCCCCAGGCAGGGACCCTGTAACTCTTTAATTGCTGCACCACTAGGAAATAAGAGGAAGGTGCTAAGAAGACATTGATGGCCAATGGCATGTCTCTCATCTTGGTGGCTGAAGTGTTGAGCACAAGCTACATCTTCTTGTTAGCAGTATTTGTACCAATTTGACAGTTTGACAATTTAAATATCCATTCCAGTACATTTTCATCAGGACAGTGATTTTCAGGCAAACGTTTTTTCCCCCACATTGTTGTAAGCACGCGTCTCTCTCTCTCTCTCCCTCCTCCTCTCTCTCTTCCTCCTTTCCTCTCTCCTTCCTTCTTCCTCTCCCTCTTCCTCTCTTTTCCCCATCCCTGACCCCAGTATGTCCATGCATGCTCCCCCTGTCTCTCTGTGTGTGTGTGTGTGTGTGTGTGTGTGTGTGTGTGTGTGTACGCTCGCGCCATGGCATGTGTATGGAGGCCAGAGGAAAACTTGTAAGGGTTGGTTTTCTTCCACCACTGTGTGGATTTGGGGGATCATGGCAGATTGTCTGGCTTGGCAGTGAGTGCCTTAGTCCACTGAGCAGTCCTGCCAGTCTAGAATATGTGCAGTTTTTTAAAACACAAGTCACTTGGCTGAGATGAGCACCGTGTTCTGGTTAATAACCTTATCAGACATCGAGGTGGGAGGCACTTCTTCTTGGAGATCCATCGTGATGACTGTGATCTTGGTGTGGTCTCTGAAAGCATGGGGTGAGCGCTACAAACTGGTTTCTTGGTCCCTGGTCTTCCTGGAAAAGGAACCAGCTCTTTTCCCCAGGAAAATGTCAGTTTTTAACATTATCTTCTTTGTAATCCTAAGATACTGTGATTCCCAGGTAAGATGTGGCCTTAAATATTTGTGATAAACATTTTTAAAGATTCTAGAGTATTCTGTAGTTTTATTTTATTTCACCCATATGAGTGTTTAGACTCTAACTGTATATTATGCCTTCCTGGTGCCCTGGAAGCCAGAACTGAGCACCAGAACCTCCTGATCTGGAGGCACAGACAGTTGTGAGCTGTCATGTGAGCTCTGGGAACTGAACCCAGGTCCTCTGAAGAGCAGTCAGTGCACTTAACAATTGAGCTCCAGCTCCAGATTGCACAATTTAAAACACCAGATCAATAGATTTACTTACACATCAATACCTTATGGACACAGCATTCAATTTTATGAAGGAAATGCGTCAGCTCATGTGATCTGACTGCGAGAAAAATTCCATCAGGCAACTTGGTAAGAACCAGGGCATGATTCTGGGTATAAGGCCCTAAAAATATCACTCCAGAAGCCTCAAACTCTGAGCTTTGTGCTCCTTAGTGCCAGTCTTTAATACAAAGAAGATTGTTTGGGAGGGTTTGGGAAACTTTGGTTGGCTCTGATGCCTCCCATGAGCTCCATATCTCAGATCTTCTTGGGGCTGGGAGAGATCCCTGTACCTTTCCAAGCCGTTTGCTGCTTCAGGCTGCCTGCTAGGGGGAACTTTGCAGTGTTTTATTTTGTGTTCTTATTTTAATTTGACTATTTTCTATTGAAAAACTATTCAAAGAATTGCTACATAAAAATTCATGGGTTTTGTTTGCTTGTGTTTTTGACCAGGGTAAATACTTATGATTGTGGAGAAAATGTTTCAAGATGGCTGTCAAGGTTTTTCGGCCGTTCATGTCGTTTAATCAAACAAAGTCCTCACTCCGAGCGGAATGCAAGGAAGACACCTGGAAAAGGTATCACACTGGGATGGCGTACTACAGGGTGGAGCCCTAGTTATTCTGCATGGGTCGCAGTCAGCCCAGAAAGCGGATTCCCAGGGCAACTGGCTCCTGACTTCATCCTGTGGCTGCAGAACACTCTGCATGGTTCTAAGCTGAGAGTTTTGTGACCTCCCTCGAGGCTTGGGGTGCAGCCGCATCACAGTAGGAGACATGGGAGCAAAAAACCACAGCTGGTACCCGGAGAAGAAGCAGGCCGGGTGCAACAATGGCGGTGGGAGAGAAGAGAGGAGAGAAGAGGCCCGCACCTGTGTGCCTGCACCGTATGGACTCAGAGCAGGAGGGCGGGGCTGACGGCTGCCTCCAGGATGCCAGTCCCGGTGCAAAGCTCCCTGGGGCTAGCTGGTCTTCCACCAGTGTTGTGTTTGGAGACTTCAGGGAAAAAAGATTCCCCAGAGTATTTTTATATTTTCATCTAAGGTTTTGAAGGTAGTTTAAACAGTTGTAAAATATAGTATCTATAGAACATTTGATTTATTTTTGTTTTATGTGCTTGCATGTATGTCTATGTTTTGTTTACATGTATGTCTGTGATGTGTTTGCATGTATGTGTGTGTGGTGCTTGCTTGTATGTTTGTGTTTTGTTTGCAGGTATGTCTGTGTTTTGTTTGCAGGTATGTTTGTGTTGTGTTTGCATGTATGTCTGTGTTGCGTTTGCATGTATGTCTGTGTTGTATTTGCATGTATGTCTGTGTTGTGTTTGCATGTATGTCTGTGTTGTGTTTGCATGTATGTCTGTGTTATGCTTGCATGTATGTCTGTGTTGTATTTGCATGTATGTCTGTGTTGTGTTTGCATGTATGTCTGTGTTGTGCTTGCATGTATGTCTGTGTTGTGCTTGCATGTATGTCTGTGTTGTGTTTGCATGTATGTCTGTGTTTTGTTTGCAGGTATGTCTGTGTTTTGTTTGCAGGTATGTCTGTGTTGCATTTGCATGTATGTCTGTGTTGTATTTGCATGTATGTCTGACTGCGTATCGTGTGTATGCAGTGTCCCTAGAGGGCAGAAGCGGGAGTCAGATCCGCTGGAACTGGAACTGGAGACAGCTGTTAGCCACTGTGAGAGTGTCGGGAACTGCACCCGGGCTCTCTGGAAGAGTGATTAGTGCTCTTACCTGCTGAGCCATCGCTCCAGCCTGCAGCACATTTTACTTAGTGTTGTTTCAAGTTAAAACTTGTACAGGAATTTTTTTCCAACATGGCCACAGCTATTTCAGGGCTGTGATAATCATCTTAATGCCATAGCAATTTAAATTTCATGAGTTTTCATTAAAATACATAAGTATGTGAACATATCTGTGTTTGTATGCATATGTATGTAGCATATATACATATGTCTTTTTAACGTGTATATGGTGTGTGTGCATGTGTGTGTTTGTGTTTATGTATGTTGTGTTGTGTATGATGCGTGTACATGTGTATGTACATGGTGTGTTGTTTTTAGTGTGTGTGTATGGTGTGTGCGAGTGCATGTATGCACCCGTGTGGACCTTGCTTACAGCAGAGGGTCACTGCTGCATGATGACCTCAGGCTCCCAGGGATTCTTGTGGTTTTGCCTGTCTCCCCTTCCATGTACAGGGATTACAATGCACACCCCTGCATCTGGCACACACAGGTCCTGACAATCTGAACTTCCACTCTCATGCCTACACGGCAAGCACTTTATGCACTGAGTCATTTTCCAGAGACATGGTTTCTCTGTAGTCCTGGCTGTCCTGGAACTCATTCTGTAGATGAGGCTGGCCTCGAACTCAGAGGTCTGCCTGCCTCTGCCTCCCGAGTGCTGATTAAATACATATGCTACCACACTCAGCATTTTATTTTCAAGAAAGAGTTTCTTTCTATGTAGCCCTGGCTGTCCTAAAACTAGCTCTGTAGATCAGGCTAGCCGTGAACTCAGGGATTAGCCTGCCTCTGCCTGCCAGGTACTGGGATTAAAGGTGTGACACCATGCCTGGCATTTTAATTCTCTCCTTTTCCTTTTTAAACTTGTATTTCATTTTTCTTCTCCAGTGGAATCTCGTCTTAGAGTTATTTTATACATAGAAATCTCTTATTGGCCATCTCATATCTCTATAAAACTAAAAAAGTATAAATTGAGACATATACAAGCACTTTGAAGTTTGCTTAGACCATCTGGGTCTAAGGGCTAGGACATTTCTCTGTGTAGTCCTGGCTGTCCTGGGCTCTCCTTTGGTGCTCACGTTTGAGAGTGGCTGTCATTTACAGACAGACTTGGTGGCACTCAGTGCCACTCACTTCTGGGAAACCTCATGCATCAAGAAGAGTCAGGTAAGAAGGGATCTTGGCTAGCATACTGTCACTCAGGCCTTTCTTCTGAGGTCACAGACCTGAGCACAGGGTTCTAACATGAGATGCTTTTCATGCCTGTGACTTGACAGCTTAATTAGGTCCTGCAGTTCCCTAGCCAGGGAAGGACTGGACTGCACCTGACCTGTGGGAGGATCATTTGCCGGGGCTGTGGAGACTTATTTCTCCAGCTCAGCTTCAGGGTTTGAATGGGACAGAGTGGACCCTGGAGACCACAGTGCACGTTTGAAGATGCTCCCTAAACCCTGGACCAGCCAACCCTTTCATCACCAGCTTGGATAAAGATAGAAGAATTTTACAGTTTCTTTCTATAGTTTTTCCCCCTTTTCAGTGGCTTTGAATCTTCTGTTTATTTCTCTATAAGTACAGTATGCAAACCCACTAGCTGTGGGAGTATCCTCTTCAGTTTATTGCCAAAATCTCTCTCTCTCTCTCTCTTCTCTCTCTCTCTCTCCTCTCTCTCTCTCTCTCTCTCTCTCTCTCTCTCTCTCTCTCTCTCTCTCTCTCTCTCTCTCTCTCTCTCTCTCTCTCTCTCTCCTCTCTCTCTCTTTCTCTCTCTCCCCTCTCCCCCCTCTCTCCCCTCTCCCTCTCCTCTCTCCTCTCTCTCTCTCTCTCCCCTCTCCTCTCTCTCTGTTTCTCTCTCTGTCTCTCTCTCCTCTCTCTCTCTCTCTGTCTCTCTGTCTCTTTGTCTCCCTCTCCTCTCTGTCTCTGTCTCTGTCTCTCGTTAGTTATAGAAGGCTTTTGTGGGGCTGGTAAGATGACCCCGTGGTTAGAAGCACTGGCTGCAGAAGGAACAAGAACACCACAAGAACCCACAGAATCAGCTGACCGGGGCTCCTAGGGGCTCACAGAGACCGAACCGACAACCAAAGAACCCACATAGGTCTGACCTAGGCTCTCAGCATGTTATGGTGGTGTAGCTTGGTCTTCTTGTGGGACTCCTAACAATGGGAGCAGGGGCTGTCTCTGACTCTTTTGCTGCTTCTGGGACCCTTTTCCTCATACTGGATTACCTTCGATGTGAGGGGAGGTGCCTAGACTTGTTGCAACTCGATATGCTATGTTTGGTTGATATCCCTGGGAAGCCTGTTCTTTTCCGAAGGGAAACAGAGGAGGAGTGGGTTGAGGGGCGGGGACTGCAATTGGGTATAATTTATGATAGAAGAATTAATTAACAAAAAGCACTGGCTGTGCTCTTCCAGAGGACCTAAGTTCAATCCCCAGCACCCACGTGATGCCTCACAACCATCTGCCGTTCCAGTCTCAGGGGATGCAGCGCCCTCTTCTGGCCTCCACGGACATGTAGGCTAACATCCGTATGAATTAATACACACACACACACACACACACACACACGTATGCATGCATGTATGTAAGTATGTATGTACGTACGTATGTGTGTATGTAAGTATTATGTATGTATGTACGTACGTACATATGTATGTAAGTATTATGCATGCATGCATGTATGTATGTATGTATGTATGTATGTATGTATACACTGGTATAACTGATGGAAGCTGTTTGAAAGCCTGCATACATTGCATGCATTGTATGTCTCTCTGTCTTGCCCAGGGCAGGCAGGGCTCGCTGTAGGCCTGCACTGTTTCTAAAGACTGTCTCTGAGTCTCAGTGTGGTGGAACATGCCTGTAAACATGGGGAGGTAGAGGCAGGAGGATTGTGAACTTGAGACCAGCCTGACTGTGTAACAAGACGCTGCTGCAAAAACAGAGCTCTTTGTCACAACAAACTCACGTCAGCGTTTTATTGTTACCATCTCTGGAAGCAGGGGCCTAGTATGTTCTAGGGTTACTAGCACTGGGATACAAGTGGGTGCCTCCAAGAAGGCTTTTTACATGGGTGCTGGGGGTTGACTTAGGTCCTCATGCGCGCGGCATGCTTTTCCTTCTTCCTTCTGTCTTTGGAGAGGTTTGAGCCATGCTTAGAACATCGTAGCCTTCCCCAGGGTTGGCATTTTCCCTTGTGGACGGCGTCTGCCTTTAGAAACCATGGGCCTTGGGAATGAGAGTTTTGAGCAGTGCTGGAAAGTGCCTCTTCTTTCCACGCTTCCTTTCAGGGCAGTCTCCGGGCGTTGCCGCCACCCTCTCCCTGGTGAACGAGGCACAGTATCTGCTGGTGAACACATCGAGCATTCTGGAGCTTCAGCAGCAGCTAAATGCCAGGTGAGACCCTATCCCTGGAGCCAGGAGACATGCACGACTATTTGTCCCTGGGGGGCCTGGGGCCCACCTGGGAAGGAAAGATCTGGAAGTTGGTGAGTCCAGACCCTTAAGTTACAGGTGAGAAATCAGGTCCAGTGAAGTTAGCAAACCCTGTGGGCAATTCTTGCCTGCCTGTCTGCCTGCCTGCCTGCCTGCCTGTCTGCCTGCCTGCCTGCCTGCCTGCCTGCCTCTCTCCCTCCCTCCCTCCCTCCCTCCCTCCCTCCCTCCCTCCCTCCCTCCCTCCCTCCCTCCCTCCACCTCTCCCTAAATTGAGTGTGAGCACGCACATGCACACACGTAAGTATGAGTGTGCACATATATACAAGTTGGTGAGGTTAGAGATCAATCTTAGGTTTCTTTCTCAGTCACTCTCCACCTTGTGTTTTGAGACAGGGTCTCTCACTGAACCTAGAGCTCACAGATTAGGCCAGGCCAGTCAACTTTCAAGCCCCAGGGATCCCCTGTCTCCCCCTCTTCTGCACTGGGATTATAAGTGGGTGTCTCCAAGCCAGGCTTTTTACATGAGTTCTGGGGCTTGCCTCAGGCATTTTACCTCCCAAGCCATTTCCTCAGTCCCAGTTCCTGTTAATAACTCTGAGTGGTCTTGTTTACTGCCGGGGCCAACCAGCCTACCATTGCAGTAGCAAAAGCTTAGGACAATCGACTTGTAAGGACTGTGCTGTGGACACCCACAGTTCCCTTGGGGGATATTTAAGGCCAAGCCTATAGTACCCTGCGTGGCCTCTCTTGACACTCCCATGAAGCATGGAGAACCCCAGATCTGGTTTTAATTATTCTATTTCTACACCTTGTTTTAATTCGCCACCAGCTTGACCTGATTTCATTGCCCGCCCTCCTACCGTGCCAGTCTCTTAGGATTCCTGCCCTACTTCACACACGGAGTGGGATTCCAAGCAGGTTTCCTTTGTAAGATACGCCTTCAGACATAGCGCCCCTGGCTGCTTACTCTGTCCAGTGCTCTCCTGAGGGCCCAGACACTTTTAGGATACCATCGCAACTCCTGGGAAGTTCTACCTGTACCAACTCCTCATTTCTCCTTAGAGGAAACGCAGGCCTGGCAGCAGGCGATTAATTAGGGACAGTCACCCAGCCATGATGGACAGGCTTCTCACTCCTAGTCGTCAGACCAGGCACTCCTGGTACATCATGTCATGTGCCACATGGTCTTGGGCACACATGTTCACACCTTGAACACCTACATTCCTTGATCTTCATTCAAGATTGACTGTTGGGGTTTCTAGTCTTTTGGGAGAACACACATTAAGGTTCCCTGGACATGGGTCAAATTTGTCTTCCTCAGGTGCAGGATTGTAACATAGCTTTGGAGTTTCTGGTGGCCATCATTACAAGTTCACTGGTCAGACATCGATACATGCCCCCAAGTGACTCCAGATCAAGAAGGGACCATACCCCACTTATATGCCATCTGAGACAACCTGGCTGAAATCACCCTTATTTAGATTTCTTAGATAGTCCCGTTCATTCTTTGACGTAGGATGAGCTCCTGCATTGGAGAAGTTTTATGAGCTGCTTTCTGAATGGACCGGGGTGTATGGGAACACAGGAGGTCATTTTGTAGAAGCTCGTGACAATAAACAAAACATTAAAACAGGGATGATGTAAGCTGGGCCTGGTGATACATGGCTGTAATCATGGCACTTGGGATGCCAAAGCAGGGGGATTGATATCTGTGGCCAACCTATCTAACACAGGGAGATCCTGATTCATTAAACAAAGAACCTAACCCTCTATGGTCTTGTTTACTTATGTTCTAGCCTGCAGGAGAGAGTGTGGTCTCCACCTAAGCGATCTTGGTAGTTCAGATGCTGACAGCTTTTATCTGTCCATGTCCTGCCCCATGTTATAGAACTAGTATTTTCTGGAGACTTGTTCATCTGGTTTCTTCAGCTAAGATGTATCCACCATTTGCCTCCTGTGGGCTTCTCCCTAGAGGTGGGACCATATCCTGGGGAGGGGCTGTGCTTGTGTCTAACAGATGGGTGTGTCTTGCTCTTACACTCACGGGAGAGCTTCTTCTGACCATCTAGGCCTCGGGCCAGAGGAGAACGGGCATAGTCAGGGATGGAGTGCCAAGCGTGTAGGATTGTAGCGACAGTGTGGGCATCTGCCGCCTCCCTCCTTCACCCTTTCTTGGTCTGTCTAAACAGTGGCGAGCATGGAAAAGAGGAGCCATTCTCAGTGAAAGATCTCGTCTCCCGCTTCCGCGCCAACATCATTACCAAGGGAGCCAGGGCTTTCGAAGAAGAGGAATGGGATGAGGTTTCGGTTGGCTCCTTGCATTTCCAGGTAAGTTTTAGGCGGTGGCTATCCTTCCTCAAGGGCTGCCAGTGACTGTTGATCTCAACTCCATAACTGGATGGTGGCAGGAGCCCCTCTCTCCGTAGACCGTTTTCTGTGTGTCGTGTTGGGGCTGAAGTCTGTTTTCCGGGAATCCATGTGTCTATGGGAGCACACCCTTTCGAATGATGCTGGGTTTTCCGGCGTGTGGAGCTTGCAGGGGGAGACACAGAAGCCTAGTGACCCATTAGTGCCTTCTGTTGCAGGTGCCTTCTCTCCTCCCTCCCTCCCTCCCTCCCTCCTCCCTCCCTCCCTCCCTCCCTCCCTCCCTCCCTCCCTCCCTCCCTCCCTCCAGGATGCTGTTCCATCCTTCCTCCTCATCACCCTCTTTCCCCGCTTAGTCTACTTTCTCCCCTTTCCTTCCTCCTCCTCCCTCCTCCTCCTTTCCTCCCCATCCTCCCCCCTCTCCCTTCACACCCCTACCCCCCCTTTCTTTTCCCTTCTGGCTTCTGCCCTCAGTGGCAGCTGGGGAAGGGATTACAGTTAGAGGCAGACCGTTGTCATCTGTTCCCAGTGCTCAAGTCTTAAATATATGAGAGCCGGAAGGGAAACCGCACCCTAAACCTCTATTCCTCCCACGACTGGCAGACTGGCCTGCCTCTGAGCCTGCCCAGCTCGGCCCTCCCCCATCCAGGGACAAGCCAGTCTCCCGCTTCAGGCCTTTGCCCCGGTGCCCTTCTTACTTGGCTATGTTGCTACTGGGCACTGACTTAGAGGTCAGCTGGGCAGAAGCCGCCTGGTAGCGTGGTTCTCCTCGGCATGCTGCCTGCACTGTCCCCTCAGAGCACACACGGTGTGGACCACGTCGGCTTCTTTCCCAGCTTGCCTCTGGGACCTGGGGCATCCTGGCTGGGCCAGTGCCCAGTGAGTAAGAGCTGGAGGAGGCAGACAGAAGACAAGGGCTGACTGGAGGCTGGAGAGGACGGCTCACGGCCGGACCACGCGCTCGGCTCTCCAGTGGGAATGAACCGAGCCTACTAACTGCAGGGGTGCAGCCTGGCTGTCACCGGCTGCCTCGCGTCCAGGCTCCGTGCTTCAGTGGAACACCGGCCTCCCGTCCAGAGGAAGCAGTAACAATTACCTAAGTCGCCATCCGTGGGTCTCGGGTCTGGGGTGGGGGACACCACCAGAGGACCCGATGACCTTTCTCACCCGCGATCTCTGTAAGTTGTCATGGAGGCATTGCCATCTTGGAGGCCTCATCCTGACAGCTGTGACGTGTGAGGAGGGGGAGGGAGCGCTTCACATGTGACACGGAAGGAAGGATACTCACTGTGTGCCGGGTGACCTCTCAGAGGTCGGCATGCTTCCCCAAAAGGTGTAGCGGGAGGGCCTGGTGCAGGGGCTGAGAGCGGGGCCACCTTCAGCCCGGGCTCAGCGTCCCACCATGGGGAGGTCGGATTGGTTCCTCTTCTGATTGACAGCCCTCCTGGTGCAGGGGCTCAGTGCGGAGCAACGGTCAGCCCGGGCTCAGTGCGGGGTGACATTCAGCCCTCGCTATAGCGTCCCACCATGGGGAGGTCGGATTGGTTCCTCTTCTGACTGACATAGTCTCTGAAAAAGCAGCTTAGGTGAGGAAGAGTTCATTTCAGCTTGCATCTGAGGGCACCGTCCATCGTCCATCACAGCCCAGCAGGAGTGAGGCAGCTTGTCCTCAGTCAGGAAGTGGGGAGTGCGGGTGCTGGTGTGTAGCTGTGCTTCTCCTTTAATCCAGTCTGGGACCCCAGCCCATGCAGTGGTGGCGACTACATTTAGGGTGGGTCATCCCTAGCCCAATCTAGAAACTCCCTCATACACGCGTCTGGAGATTAGTCTCCAGGGTGAGCCTAGATCCTCTCACGATTCCGTCTGTTTACCACAGTAGAGACATGACTGCTTACTTGTCCCTTTCAATTCTGTGTGTGTTAGTATTTGACTTACTTTTCATCAGGCATTTATAACTGCAAATGATTTTTAAAGATACTTTTTAAAAGAAAACTAAGAAAGACTTAACGTGCATGTATGTGTATGTTTATAAAAGTATATCTGGCAAACGTCCCTCCTGCCAACTGAGAGACTTTTCTGAGGATCTTTTCAACAGAATGGCTAGGTTTTGATGCAAAGTGTTGTCTGTGAGGAGAAGCTGGCCTGGACGTGGACCTGGAGGCTGTGGTTGGTTCCTGGCATCGCTTTTGCCAGCTTGTGGGAGACGCTCTTTCCCAGGGGAAGCTGAGAGGGTCTGCGTTCTGAGCTGAAGTGCCCCCCCCCCACTCAGAGCGCTTCCAGTAGAGTGCGAAGGTGTGTCAGCCGGGACTTGGCATCCCGCAGACAGTGTCTGGGCTCCTGGAGGAATCCAGCTAAGCAGCTGGGGGAGGAAAGGCAGCTCAGTTAGTGCTGCAAACACCTGCTGTTCTTTCTAGCACTCTCTGTCACTCACAGGGCCTGGGAATGCGGAGCGCAGAACCACGTGGACCGTGCTTCCCAGTGGATGGATTCCAGCAGCTAGAGTGCACTCTGCAGCACAAGCAGGCTCAGCTACGTTAGCGGGCACGTCCGGTTTCGGTGAACAGTGGTTACCCACAGATAAGCAGAGGCACATGAGGAAACCTAGTTGCTGACACGGTGGTCCCAGCTGCTCAGGAGGCTAGGGCAGGAGGACGACTTGAGTTCAGGCATTCAAAATCAGCCTGACTCTGTCTGTCTTTTTAAAATAAGCACTCCTGCATTTTATGTGTGTAGTAAAAGAGCAATCTTATCCCTGCTGAGATGCAAACCTTCTGCTAATATTCATGTTTCTCCTCTTGTTGCAAAAGTTATAAGGGAACATGGCCAATGACTACTGAAGTTCTCTCATACAGTCTGGCCTATGCCAAGCAGCCAGATGTTATTTTATGTCCTGTGCGTAGGTATGCGTATCTGTAGATGTATAAAATACACATATACTCTGCATTCTGCCTCAATTACAAAATGTGACTATTTACCCATTTTATTTAAAGGCCCTTGTGATTTTTTTTTTAAAAGAGTACTGTGTAGTTCGGGCAAGCATCAGACTTGCTGCGTGGCTGAAGATGAACTTGAGTTTCTGATCCCGCTGAGTGCTGGGACCGCAGGTGCGCATCCCCACATCTGGTTTATGCAGTGTTGGGAATGGAGCCCTGGGCTTCACGCATACAGGCAAGCACGTAGCTCCCTGAGCCACAGCACCAGATCCTGGTAGATTAATTTTAATTCTTGTGACAACCGTCACATAGATACGGTATCTTCAACAGCACAAAAGTGATGCCTAAGACACAAATTTTCCACACTGTCAGCAATAGGAGGACAGATCCCTGCTCGTGGTCCTGTGTTTGTACCTCTGCGTCTTTGTAGGTTAAGTCTCTATGTGGATGGCGGGGCTCAAAGCGTACGGGGCCTGGCTCAGTGCTGGCTTCTGTCTGACTTTGCAGATCTCTCCCACCTCTAGGAACCATCAAGACTGTCGTCCACTCCTTTCAGCCAGCAACCCCAGAGAGTGCTGCAAAGGGGGGGCACTTCTGTGTTCAGGGGTTGCCCATATGTATGTGACTCCACCATGTATATGCCTAATAGTGAAATTGCTGGATCTTGTGGTAGACTGAGTCCCATTTTCCTGAGGAATCTCCATACTGATTTCCAAAGTGGCTGTACAAGTTGGCACTCCCACCAGCAGTGGAGGAGTGTTCCCCTTTCTCCACATCCTCTCCAGCATAAATTGTCTTCGGTGTTTTTGATTTTAGCCATTCTGACAGGAGTGAGATGGTATCTGAGAGTTGTTTTGATTTGCATTTCCCGGATGGCTAGGGATGTTGAGCACTTTCTCAAGTGCCTCTCAGCCATTTTAGACTCCTCTATTGAAAACTCTCTATTTAGTTCTGTAGCCCACTTTTTAATTGGATCCTTTGGTGTTTTGGAGACCTGCTTCTTGAGTTCTTTGTAAATTTTGGAGGTCAGCCCTCTGTCAGATGTGGTGTTAGTGAATGTCTTTTCCCATTCTGTGGGCTGCCTTTTTGTCTTGCTGACTGTGTCCTTTGCCTTACAGAAGCTTCTCAGTTTCAGGAGGTCCCATGTATTAATTGCCGATCTTAGTGTCTGTGCCACTGGAGTTATGTTCAGGAAGCTGTCTCCTGTACCGATTCATGGTTCCCTTCTCCTCTGCCAGGTTCTGGGGCCTTGTCACAGGTGTCAGATGATCTGTATCGACCAGCAAACAGGGCAGCGGAACCAAGATGTCTTCCAGAGGCTCTCCGAGAGCCGGCAGAGAAAGGTAGGTGTGTGTACACAACGGGCCACCCATCTTAAGATCTTGGCATGCCGTTGCCGCATAACTATACCGATTGGAGGTCTGCTATGCTTCCCACAGTGAATGCTCTTCAAGGTCTCAAGCTTGCCCATGCTTCCCGATTACTTTATTATGAGCACTTTAATTTTCTCAGATCTTATTGAGGATAGAAGGAATGTAAAGATAACGGGGCTGGGTTGTGGCTCAGTGGTAGAGTGTTCACTCACCTGGCATGCACCTGTGTCTGGTTCCCATTCCTACCACTTCAAGAAAAAAAATCATTCTACTATCCCGATGACGATTTTCTTCACCACAAAGATCAGCTATCTGAAAAGGTCAGATAGCTCGTGGGTAGAGGATCTGCTGAGAGGGCTCAGTAAAGTTCACGACACCAGGCCCACAGGTCATCTTCTCAGGGGTTAAAATGACTCAGTTTGTAGATTCTTGATTACAAGAACCGAGTGTCTACTATATTGATTCACTAGAAGTGTTTATTTTTAGCATTTCATATTCTGTTAAGACTTTGCGAAGAATTCCAGTTAGGCTGCATTAAAGCTTTCTTGAAGCAAGGTATGGTGACAACTCGGAGATCCCCAGAAAGGCTCAAGGACATTCATGGTGACATAGAGAGTTTGAGGTTGCCTGGATTACACGAGGTCCTGTCTCAAATAAATACTAAGTAAATACGCTGGGGAGATAGCTCAGCCTGGAAAGGGCATGCCATGTAAGCTTAAGAGCACAATCTCTCTCTCTGTCTCTGTGTCTGTCTGTCTGTCTGTCTGTCTGTCTGTCTGTCTGTCTGTCTCTCTCTCTCTCTCACACACACACACTGAAAAAGAATAAAAGCTGGACACCTTGACACACATTTATAATCCCAGAGCTGGGAAGGCGGACTTCTGGGGCTTTCCAGCCGGCCTGCGCTGCCTGGTGAGCAACAGAACTCTGAGGGACCCTGTCAGTAAACAAGGTGGACAGCATCTGAGAGACGGCAGCCAGGGTTGTCCTCTGGTTCCCACATGCACACGTGTGCACCTGTACACACATGAGCACACACCTCTGCATTCTGGAATGCTGGGGTTAAAAGCATGCTACAAATGGTTTTAACTTTTAAACTAATGTGGCTTGTCTTGTGACTATTGCCTCGCTCACAGGTGAACTTTGGTGTGTACCTGATGCATGAGTCCTTGGATTTATCCTCTCCATGTTTCCTGTCCGTGGGATCCGAGGTGCTCCCTGTGTTGAGAGAGTGTGGAGTGTCCTGACTCTCCTGCTTCCCAGAAACACGCGAGCGTCATCTCCTATCATTTCTTCCCCAGAGAGCATTAAAGTTCCTCTTTACAGCGCTGCCTACCCTTACTGAGACCTGCAACTTGATTCAGCGGATCTTAGCTTTAGAACGAACACTGCTCTTTGCCTTTGGAGGTTGAGCCCACTCTTGTTCATTGCCCTCTGACCTCTCTGCTCACCGTCACTGACCAGGCTCAGCAGAGGACATTAATGCCCACACCAAACAAGGCTCCCTCACATCTCCCATATCCAAAGAATGAGCAGTAATAGTCGATGAAATTTTTCATGAGACTCAGAAGATTAAGTTGTTGTTGTTGTGGGTTTTTTTCCTCGTGTGAGAGTTGGGTCTTTCTACCTTGTGGATCCTGGAGATCAAACTCAGGTGTCAGGTTTGGTGGCAAGTGCCTTTACCTGCTGAGGCACTTTCATGCCCCGCCCCTTTTTACGTGGTTTATAGGGCCAGGTGGTGGTGGTGGTGGTGCTGGCACACACTTTTAATCCCAGCACTTGCGTGCCAGAGGCAGGCAGATCTCTGTGAGTTTGAGGCCAGCCTGGTCTACATGAGTGAGCTCCAAGGCTACACAGAAGGACCCTGTCTCAAAAAACCAAAAGCAAAAAGTTTATTGAGTACATTGCAACATTACAAAAGGTCAGCAGGCTTGTAGTACCTAGAGTGTACTGCCTAGTTTTCAATCTATATATTTTTGGTGGCAGGGGTTGGGACAGGGTTTTCTGTCTCTCAGGCTGGCTTGATTTTCTGGCCTTCACCTCCCAAGTGCTGGAATGTTCCACCATATCATAACCAACTTGATTTATATATTTTGAAGGTTTCTTTACTTATTTATGTATGGATGTGTGTTAACACTTAAGATTTCTATGTTTTTTTCCCCTTAGTTTTTCATTTTTAGACGGGGTTTCACTGTGTGTCCCTGGCTGGCCTAGAACTTATTCTGTAGAGCAGGCTGCTCTTGAATTCATGGAGATCTGCCTGCCTCTGCTTCCCAGGTGCTAGGATTATAGGCTCATGTCACCACACCTGACTTCTACATCTTTTTGATGGACTGGGGCTTTTTGACATATGTATCTTTTTTGTCACTAGTATTTTTTTTTCCGGCTGTCTAATATGTCTTGTTGATGTAGCTATTTCTGAGAATTATTCTGAGAATCCTTTCATGAATAAACATAAATCCTGAAATTCTTGAAAAAGTATCAAACTTAGTGTAGCAATTTCTAAAAAGGTTATATATTATGGCTGCGCATGTGTTTTGATTTTATAAGATGAAGTGTGTTGACACATTGCACAGACCGCCCAGCTAGAGAGTGTGTCTTTGCACATTGCAAGTGTGTGCTTTCATCTCCAAAGACACACTTGCTAACGTTTGTGAATGAATAACACAAGCAAGCCCTCTGCTGTACACCTCACGGGTCTAACTTAATTCCCCTGAGCGCCCCACGGTGGGCAAAATGGCCTGGTGAAGGTGTGATGGGAGAGGTGCCCGGCAGAGATCAAATCAGAGCCAGGCGCCCTCTTCCCTGAGCAGAGATCAAATCAGAACCAGGTGCCCTCTTCCCTGAGCAGAGATCAAATCAGAGCCAGGTGTCCTCCTTCCTGCCGTGGTCAAATGCCAAGTCGTCGTCGTGATGGTGGGCAACAGTCTGAGCACTGCAGGTGGGTCGAATCACGTGATCCTTTTGAAGAACTTACTAGCCTCCTGTCTGTTTATAGATGAGGAGGCTTAGGTCAAGATTAGTCGCTTGATTCAGGCTCTCAGAACTGGTAAGTGATAGGCCTGAGGTCCCAGAGGCTGAGGTCTGAGGGGCTGAGTTCTGAGACCCCAGGGGCTGAGATCCGAGGGGTGAGGTCTAGAATTTGTGCTCTGATCACTGTTGCTTCATAGCAAGTGGCTTTGCTTCAGACGCACATGAGTAAGAATAAGCCCCTCGCCGGGCGGTGGTGGCACATGCCTTTAATCCCAGCACTCAGGAGGCAGAGGCAGGCGGATCTCTGTGAGTTCCAGGCCAGCCTGGTCTACAGAGCGAGTTCCAGGATAGGCTCCAAAACAATACAGAGAAACCCTGCCTCGAAAAACCAAAAAAAAAAAAAAAAAAAAAAAAAAAAAAAGAATAAGCCCCTATGAGTGTTTTCTCCCCAGCGGCATATCCCGCTGCATCAACAGGACAAGCTCAGTGGGCCTGGTGGTTCCTGTCGGCCAATCAGACGATGGTGCTTTGAACAGCAGTCCAGGGACAGGGCGGCATCTAGGAGAGGTGAGAATAGCCTGGGGGGTGGGTGGGGAAGAAAGTCCCCTGGAGATGGACAGGACAGTGCCATCACCTGTCCAAGCTTCAGTTTACCTGTTCTTTTCTGCCTACAGCTGTCTCTGGTCTCAAGGGCCTCAAGCGTGTCTGAAAGTGGTGTTGGCTGTCCGGAGTGACAGTGCCTTCATTAGACGATGCTATCAGAACCAGTTGGTCCTATTTTTGCCACCTCTCCCTGATGCATAGTGCAGTTGTGATGGCTTAAGCTGTCAACCTGACAGGATCTGGGGTTACCTTGGAGACAACCTCTGGACACACCTGTGTGGGATTGCCTAGGTTAATGGGTGGTGTGTCTACCCCATATGTGGGTGGCACCATCCCATAGGCTGGGGTTCTGGACTAAACAAAAGGCAGAAAGTGAGCTTAGCACCAACATTCATCTCTGCTTTCCGACTGGATGTGATACACCAGTTGTCTCACACCTTTCTATTTTTTTCCTGTGCCACGTGGATTTTATAAACCCAAATAAATGCTAATTTTCTTAAATGGCTTTTGTTGTGCATTTTGTCTCGCCAACAAGACAAGTAGCTGTGGGCTATTCCTTTACATGGTGTGAATGTATGTGATTGGTTTCATAAAGAAGCTAACTGGCCAGTAGCTAGGCAGGATTTTCAGGGCAGAGAGAATGCTGGGAACAAGGGCGGAATCTGAGGGTCACCAGCCAAACTTGGAAAGAGCAGCATGGAAAGTGGATGAGCAAACGAGCCTTGGGGCAGCACACAGATGAATAGAAATGGGTTAATTTAAGCTCTAAGAGTTAGCTAAGAACAAGTTTAAGCTATCAGCCCAGATTTCGTAATTTATAAGGAGTCTCCGCGTGGTTATTTGGGAGCCAATGGTTCCCGATGAAAAACTCCGCCTACAAGTAGCTAATGCAGAGGCGGTGGGTCACCAAGGAGAGAAAGTGTAGGCTTCAGGGTCTAGAGGACCCAGTGACCCACTGTGGGGATTGAAATCTTGCTTGGGACTTGAGGATCCTCAGGGACCTGGTAGCAGCCCAAACCTTCTTTGGTCTGTATTGTTTCAAGCACCTGGGATTTCTGAGCCAGGCGGAGTCCCTCTGTCACAGAGCAGTTCAGGGAGCATGCGGAGGCAGAAGGGAAGCTAGGCCCCACGGCCAGCCTCCTCCAGTCTCTTTTTAATCCCCCTCTTTTGCGCCAGCAGAATCGACAGCGACATACTTCACTTCACAAGCCCCCAGTTTAAAATCGTGGCAGATAAAGATAATACTTTCTCTGTGTAAGTGAAAGAGCATCTCTAAATCTCATCTGAAAGTGGAGGAAAACCACAGTTCTTATAAAATTAAAGGTGACTTCAGTGTGTAGTACAGTGTCTTAAACCGCTGACGTCGAGCCAAGTCTACCACCTGGTGGCAGCATTAGGTAAGTACAGCCTTTTCTTCCCGGATTCTGAGTGCTAGGTCAAACTGGGTCAGCAAATCTCAAACCCGAGTGACAGCGTTTTTGGACTCTGGGGGAAATTGCACTGCTGGCGGTGGAATCCTTCAGAGGTGGCTTCCTGAATTATTGCTTCAGCACCTTACTTCTCTACTTAGCATGCACTCGTCTTTTGGGGTCTGTTTTCCTTAGGTCTCTGCTTTTTTTCCCCCTTCATGTGTGTAGCTTTGAACTGACTGGTCCAGCCTGCTCCTATTCACCCCTTCCCTTTGTGTGTATGTATATGTGTGACCCCATACATGTGCCCAGACTGTGTCTATAGAGAGCGGTATGCATCTAGGATTGTATAGCACATATTTGACTGTGGAAACAATGACTGTAGCAGTTCCTTATCTTGGGGTCCTCAAGTCTGTTTATCTCTGCAGGGGCAGAAGCCAGGAGCCAGTTTCTGAGTCAGGGGTGGCTCTGATTGACCTTGTGTCCAACTCTCTCAAAAGTTGTCAAATGGACACTGTGACTTTTTGTTTTATTTATTTATTTATTTATTTTTGTGCGTGCCTGAGTGTGCAGAAGTCAGAAGACAGCCTGCGGGAGCTGATTCCTGTCTTCCACTGTGTAGCTACAGGGAGACAACACAGGCGATAAGGTTTGGCAATTGATTTACCTGCTGAGTTGTATCATAAGCTGCAGCTCCATTCCGAGTCCAGGGATTGAGACCCTGTACAGCACCTGCCTTCGAGTCTTAGAATCTGCCCCGGTCTGCAGACTTCACGTGAGGAACACCGGTCCAGCTTTCCATGAGACACCGCATGGAACAGAGATGAGCTGTCTCACAGAAGGCCTCCATACCAACCAGCGGACACTCAGCAGATACCCCTCAGACATGGCGGGAGGCGACTTTAATGGCTTGGCTCCAGTGATGCTTGCAGATGACAGCCACAGCAGGAGTGACACTGCTGAGCCCAGCTGAAACGATGACCTCTAGAGTCAAGGGCAAGTGGGATGGTGTATTGTGTGACAGCTGTTGACTCGAAACATATCTGTACCTGGGAGTACAGAGCTACCGCAGTCAAAACCCAAGCTAAGCGTGGTGGTTGAAGGAGAACTGTTTCCCCAAGGTGCGTGTGTTTGAATGCTCGGCTCCCGTTGGTGGCAATGCTTGAAGGGGTTATGCAACCCTTAGCAGGCGGAGCCTTGCTGGGGTGTGGAGAGTGGGCTTTGAGAGTTTATAGCCCACTTCACCCTCATTTCTCCTGTGTGTGGAAATTCCTAGGAGGACTTTTCCGCAGTGAGGGAAAACCACAGTTCTTAAAAAATTAAAGGTGATCAGCTAGCTTCCTACTCCTGCTGCCTGTTGTCATGACTCTCCTGCCACTGTGGACCCCCCTCTGGAACTATGTGCCAAAAATAGGCCCATACTTCTTTAAGTCATAGTGTTTCATTGCAGCAACCAAAAGTGACCATACACTGTGTGACACAGATCTGAGACACAGGCAGCACCCCGAGGCTGGGAAAGTGGCCAAGAAGCCACTGTCCGAAGGTGCGCGCAGGCGAGGAGACCTTTCAGGAGAAGCACATCCTGAATTCTTATAAAGTCAGGTTCATGCTCTCTGTGTACCCAGTAGTCAGTGCTGGGCCTGGGGCACAATCTCACCAGCACACACTTGCACTTAGAGAGCGAGCTGGAGACACGTGTGACTGGTTTCTGCACTCCCAGGCTTGCCCTTGGGGATGGTTAAATTCATCCTTCTCTGTGACCCTCAGCTCCAAGCTGTGGTGCAACCCTCGTTTTCCCAAACTCCTTTCAGAGAAGCAGTTTCTGTGGCTGGTCCTTCCCCATTCAAGCTGGAGGTCAGAGCTCTCTAACTTTTGAACAATTTCTAGTTCTTCAGTCTAAACTGGAGGTGTTTTTGTTCCTTAAAATCTCTGTGGATTGTCTGTGAACTTTACTAAGATATATTTCATGCGTCAAACCCTGGTCCTCTGTGAGAGCAACTGCTGATTCATCCTCCAGCCTCCAACAATACATTCTAGAATATATTTTACAAAGTTCATTTCTTAGGCCCCAAGACTTAGGGGATTGGGCACACTCTTCTGGCCTCCACAGGTATTGCACACAGCTGGTGCACAGATATAACAGGCAGGCAAAATACACAAAAGATATATATTTAAAAATCTTTTGCTGTCTGAAAGGACTGGGGGTGAGAAATTGCATTATTTTACAATTCTAAGTTTAGAGGTTCTTTCCTTCTTGCAAATTAATATGTGCAGCTGGAAGCACCCAACAGGTACTTTGAACATTTTTAGGGATTTCCTTGATAACGTCTTAGCTTCAGGCTATATGCTTTATTCATTCCAGATGACTGTAGGTAAATGTTTCCTTGCTCTATAGAATAAAAAGCATCTTTCTAATCTTCAGAAGCCCTCAGAAGCATTTTTCCTCGAGGAGACTGCTCTCCTGGCCTGTGGTCTCAGGCTGGAGCTCTCTGAGGGTGAGAGGAGGTTTTGCAAAGTCTTCAGGTCTGTTCTCAGAAGTCACACACTGTTACTTCCTCACACGCTTCTGAGAGCGAGTAGTGAAGCCACCTCAAAGAATGGGGAGTCGGTATGGTGGAGCACGCCTTTAATTCCAGCATTCAGTAGACAGAGGCAGGTGGATCGCTGTGAGTTCCAGGCCAGCCAGGACTGCATAGTAAGACTTTGTCTCAAAAACAAAAACAAAACTATCGCGGAACGGAGAAATAGGATTCACCTGTTAATAGGAGAAGTGACCAAGCTATGAAAGTATGAAGAGAGTGAGGGAAATGGGGAGAATATGGAGGGGTGTGGGGGAGATGGGGGAGTTTAGGAGTATGAGAGAAACAGGGAAATATGAGGTATATGAGTGAAATGGGGGCTATAAAGCAAGTGAGGAAACCAGGTGAGTATGAGTGAGGGGTGTTAGGGAAATGGGGGGAATATGAGTGGTGTCGGGGAAATGGGGGGACGTGGTGGGCGTGGGGGAATGTGGGTGTATAAGGGGTTTGCACGAATGGAAATGTGAGGGGTGTGGTGAAATTTGGGGTGTGAGTGTGGGAGGAATGGGGAATGAGTGGCGTGGGGAAGTGGAGGGGCAGGAGGGCATGAAGGAAGCGGGGTCATGTGACCATTGTGGGGCAAATGAGAGGAGTGTGTGGGGTTTGGCGGAAGTGAAGGGGGTGTGAGTGGTATGGGGGAAATGGGGAACGCGGGAGGCATGGGGAGACTGTCGCCATTGCCATCTTTGCAAAACTTCCACACCACACCAAGCACAAAGACACTGGAAAAAGACACTCAAAAACTTGCCCTTTCTAGGGAGGGTACATATTTATATCACCCCCCAAAAAAAAACAGAGGAGGAAACTGTGTTAGTCCCTCTCATGTTGCGAGGTAAAACACGGGACACAGAAACTTGAGGGAAAGGTTTCTTTGAGCTCATCGTTAAAGAAAGGATCTAGTTAGTCCCTCACTGCTGGGGAGGCGTGCAGCTGGGGTGAGGTGGCCGCAGGAATGCATGTGTGCTCAATTTTCTCTTAGTGTGAGCCCATGGGATCACTCCAACCAATAGGGTGTGTCTTCTTTTCCTCATTCAAACTTTTCTGGAAACACCATTAAAGAAAGACACCCCCAAGAGGCATGTTTCAATGATGAGTCTAAATGCACGCACGTTACAGTAAGTCTTAACCATCAAAAATCTAAGAAAGTGTAAGTGAATCACATGCGGTGGGTGCATCATGCCACTGGAGAGGCTGAGACAGGAGGATTGTGAATTTGAGGCCAGTGTGGGCTTCATCAACGCCCCTCCCCTTGTCCCTTGTTTTTTGAGATTGGGTCTCTCTCTCTCTCTCTCTCTCTCTCTCTCTCTCTCTCTCTCTCTCTCTCTCTCTCTCTCTCTCTCTCTCTCTCTCTCTCTCTCTCTCTCTAAGAAACTGGGTCTCTGAATTACAGTCTTGGCTGTCCTGGAACTAGCTCTGTAGACCAGGCTGGTCTCGAACTCAGAGATCTGCCTGCCTTTGCTGGGATCAAAAGGCGTGCACCATCACGCGTGGCTCACATTTCTGTCTCAAATAC